ATAAAGAGGCTAGCAGTTAGGGATTGCATAAGAGGAGGAAAGATATCTGCGACGGATGCTGCGTTCCGTACATGCTGTAACATGGTTAGTTGTGGCCTGTGGTCAGGTACTTTCCGTCAGCAAAGCCACGGATTGCCGTACACACGACACGTGTCAGGTGTATGGTCCGCGTAGCATAGGTGTCTTCATTGTTCCTGTGCGCTGTGCCGCGGCCGACAAGCACTCGCATTAGAAGCAAGGGGTCATGCAAGCCGCAAGCGAGTGCGTGCATACACAGCCCTTCCAGTCTATAACCAGCGTGTTGTTCCTGCTGCAACCGCATATATAACCCCAGGTGGAGTATGCGCCCATCACGTACGTCTTGGAACCAAGAGCCCCAGCAGCTGACAGCAGGAGCGGTGGCAGCACCAACACTAACAGCAGCGGCGCCGGCGGCAGTGGCACCGGCAGCAGCAGCAACAGCTACAGCACAGGCAACGCTTCGTCGTCCGACCTCCCATCCTTTGCATACTGGTTCAACACACCCTTTACACAGATGTTCCTTAGGTGAACTCTTGCCGTAATGTAATGCGTGGTTACAGTCATGGCGTCCCTATGGGTGCAGTGCTTCAATATAGGCGGCATGCAAGCGGGACATTCATTGGGCCCAATTAAGCGTAATTAGGTAGTATACATGTCATTTCGTTACATCTCTCATACCCCGACTCGCTAGTTAGGGGACGTGGCTGGAAAATATACTTTTTACATGATGTTAATCAATCCTGTTTTGTCAATAGAATAAGACCTGGGGTAATTGAACTAAATTGAATGAAGTAGTCCATCAAGCACCGCTTCCAGCAGGTGCGTTACAAGGCCCCCTTTTGCCCGTGTATGTGCAGGATCTCAAACAATCACAGCAGCAGCGCGATTCCCTTGGAGCGCATCAACGTAAGATGATGGGTGCCACACATACATCCTGGGTGTCTCCCGGCTTTTCAAAGTAGCAGGCATGTGACCCATGGGTCAAATATTGTCACGACGATACATACATTGGTGGTCACCAGCTTTGCGCGTATTGGTAAGGCAGGCCAGCGGCAAAACTAAAACCCCATATACTCCTTACCGCGTAGGTCTTGTACTATTTCCAAGGCCCTGACAGCGACGATGCCAGCGACAGCAACGCTGGGGACAGCAACCGGACGACAGACAACTTCACACTGATATGCACCGATACCTCTAAGGACCTACGTAAGCTGCGGTTGTAGATAGATGGGAAACATGTGGTTACGTGGTTAGCTCGCTGTAATGTGGTATTCCCTTTAAAAGCAAGCCTGCAGGGCGTCCCAACCCGGCTCAACGTGCTGCTATTCCAATGTTCCAAACTAGGCAACGTAGGCCTGCATAGATATGAGGATGCCCGCTCCTGAGCCTTAACCATCGCCTACGCGCGCATGCTCCCAGGCGGCGGCTGCGGCTCCCTGAATTGGTCCTTCGGCCCTGGCCTGCAAGCCCGAGGCGCCCGGCACAGGCTGGTGTTATCCTTCGCACCGGGCTCCGGAGTGCTTGCGCCGCAAGGGCAGGTCATCACCGGCAGCAGCAGCAACGACACCGGCAATGCAACGGTTGCCCGCACTACCACAGACCACTACAGCAATAGCAGCAACAGTAGCAACAACGGCAACTCTTCCGGCCCCTTGCTGTCTGACGTGGAGCTCATCATTGCCATTCAGTCCGTGGGCGATGAGGTTCTGGACGCGCGGGAGGATTACAGGTGAGGTCCGGTGCTCCTTGGGGCCAGGGGGAGAGAAGCCAGGTGAAGGTGGCTGGACGTTTTGGTGTTGTGCGTGACAAGCTAATGCTAAGGCTCTTGCCTGTACACGCACGTCTACGTATGCATGTATCGACGGTACGGCGATCCGAGTGTACGGCATCCCTCCCTATTTACAGCTTCATGGACACCCCGGTAGAGGGAATCAAGAACGTGACGATGGGCACTCCAAATGCAACCTACCGACTGGTCCTGCGAGAGCCCCAACCCAATCCAAGGTAAGGCAAAGGGGCGGTACGGCGGTACAGTGCTATCTGGGGTTCCTTATTATTTACCATGCATGGCCGTCCTTCCTAATGTCTCTGTTGTGTACAGCAGCACGTACCTGTAGGGGTGGGCAGTAAGCATATAATCCAACAAATTAAACGTACATACACGTATATTATACGCGTACCTGCACCTGCATGCATGCTTGTATGATTCATGGCCGCGATAATGCTGAGGCGGGTGGCTACGGAACTCGTATGACAATTAAAGACGCACCAGTTAGGGCCTTATTACGCTTTACAGCTCAGGACCGACCTGGTTTCATTCATGCGTTGCCACCCTCCCTAGGATCCCCGCATATTTTGCAGGCGGCCTCGACGAGGCCATCCCCGCAGCTTCCATCATTGTTTGGGGCAGTCCCCCCACTGCCGTGACGGCGCCCACTCTTGATGTTGCCGCTATCAATGCCGCACTTCCGGCTGGGAGCAGCTGCAGGCTGTCCAATGATGATGACGTGGTGCGTGGAAACGGATTGTTAGTTGGGCAGGGCTGCTTGTGCCTCATCAGCATGTACGTCTTCCTAGGAAGTTGGGTATCACAGTATCTTCTTCATGCTGAGCCCCGTGTGCGAATGGTCTGAGTGCGGATTCTATAATAGTAGGGGGTACGTATGTTCTTGTTCGCGGATGGTGTGATTGTGGCGAGGAGCAGTGGCACGGGTTTGTGACTTGCTTGTGGGCCAAACCAGGTCTTTTCCCTTCATCCCTTTCCATTTATTAATCTCAAGAACCTTTATGACGGCAGCCCTGCTGCTCATTGCTGCAGGTTTGCGGCGTTAGGATGAGCTACTGCTGTACGGCTGATGAGGGGCCCATCGCAACTGCCGTACCGGAGGATTGGCAACAGCAGGCCGCACGACCCAACGTTACGATGCCTTAGGATCGTTCCGTTCACCAGCAGCGACACTGACTGTTTAGCAGTTTGTCCGGCAGAAATGCAAAGGACGGGGGCATGGTTTCATGGACATGCACTAGCATTGCTACTGGGATCTCTACCGTTGGGATTTGGTCATGCAAACCTCGCTAGAAGGGTTTAAGTGCATGTGTTTACATGTAGGCCGGTTGTCATGTCCTTTGAGTGGCCAACGGTACGCTTGCAAGCAACGCAAGCTGGTACCAGTTGGGGAACGTGTTGTGAGTGTCGGCAGTCGGTCGCGCACCTGTAGATGCGTGTCCGTGTAGCCCGAACATGAATGCCGACACCGTTTTAGCTTGGCCTTCATTTCATTAGGGGTCCTCGCAATGTCCTCACATTGTAAGGTGAGGAACTGCCTTTGGAGGCCAAACGTTCCAAGCCGTACATACACACAGTGTTCGTGGGCGTTAGTCAACAAGTCGAACAACAGTCGTACGCCAACCATTGCAGTCCTAGACCTTCCAATCCCAGGTAAGAACACTCCACTGCGCCACAAGAGGAGCACCCGGAAAGAGCCGGCAGGTGCCGGTCGGACGGATCCTGACCCGTGGGTCATGACTCCCTCCCTTGTGGAGTTCCCCGCACACACTCATTCGCAACCGGAATGCCACTCCAACGCAAATCATCCGCATCACATGCGAAGCGGCAACTCATCAGGACGCAACGATTGCCACCGCAGCAGCGGCAGCACGACACAGCCTACACAGCGCGGGGCAGCATAGCTGCTAACAAGCAACCTGCTCACTCCGCGTGCTGCGGTCCCTTACGTACGTACTACACTCTTGCAACCGGCCCAATGCAGCATAGCACGCAGTTTGGCGCACATACCACTTTACCAACCAACCAACCCCAACTGCCTCCTCCATCAATTGTGTCGCGCACTAGTATTAAGACAACCACCCCAGCAACTGTTGAGGCACGCGCACACATGAAATGCCACACGTGTATGCCTAGCACCGGTAATAACCCGACCGAGCAACCAACCAGTCATTAAACTAATCCACCAACCGCATTCCTCCTCCTCCGGCATCCAATCCCATCCCCGTCACTCAGGGCCCCCGGTCCGTGCCGTTCCTCCCTCCCTCGTGCTGCTGCAGCACTTCGAAGGCCCGCTGCCAGTCGGGAGGTACGGCAGTTACGAGGGAGCCGTGCGCCATACAGCAGTACACGAGCGATACGCCGCAATTCTGTGTATGGAACCAACCGGCGGTGCAAGGGGGGAATGACGACGGTTGAGAAGTCGGTTAGGGGTTGGCAACTGGTCTGATTGGATGTGACTAGGATAGGCTTGGGCAGAGCGGCCATCTACAGCTGTCCAGCAGCAGTTTACACAAGCAACTCCAAAGTACGGCGGCTAACAAACGAGACGTGCTATGACCGCTGATTCCGAGCAAACCACGGCTTGCAACGTAACCCCCCACCTGCCCCCTCGTGCTCCCCACCACCCACCCACCAGACTGCCTCCGCTCCCCAGTGGCCCCGGTTGACAGAAGCTTCCGGGCGGTAAGGGAACACTGGTGAGATCAGCCTCCGTAGCAGCAGGCGGTGGCGGAGGAGGCGGCGGAGGAGGAGGTGGAGGAGGGGCGGGAGAAGGAGGGCCAGCAGGCGGAGGAGCCGCAGAAGGAAGAGGGGCGGCTACGTCGGTCGGTAGGGGCGGCGGGGTGGGCGGGCTGCCCCAGGCCAGCAGGCCATCTACGTAGGCGGCGATCCTGGGCGCATGGGGCGGCGGGACGATGGGGCGGTGAGGCATTAAGTTGTGCGTTGGGGCGTTGCGTCTTGACGGGGTATGGCCGCATGTGCAGCACAGCTCTAAATACGGGAGTCAGGTACGTGCGTAACGCGTCAAGCAGTCGGCTGCTTCTAGGAGGCACCTGATCCCTTCAATCACCGTCTTCCCGTCTGTCCAATGTCATCATTCCTCGCGCCGCCTCCCCCGCCCTGTCCTCTTCGTTATCCATGATCAAGACCCCAGAATAACAGCTCCTTGCCCCCTCACGCCCTCGCGCCCTCACCTGGGGTTGGGTCGTTGCTCCCGAAGCACCGCTCGCCACAGCGAGCCGTCGGGTCCCACTGCCGTTGCCATCACCGGTTGCGCGGGAAGTTGAGGAGACACGTCGGCAGTAGCGTTGGCGCTGCTGCTGACGCTGCCCCCATCGCTGCGCATAACGGGCGGGGACGATGGCTTGGACGTCGCTGACGATGATGCTGGTGACGATGCTGGTGCTTTACGTGTCCGCCGCGTAAGGAAAGGAGTATCCAAGTAGCTGTGGCAGCGGGGGAGGGGGGAAAGAGGATGGCATGCGAAGTCAGGTAAGGAGAGAGAATATGCCATATGTGTGTGAAGGCGGGGAGACAGGAGGGCGGTCAGGCGAGGCAAGAGGACTGAACAGCTGTAGGGGAGAGTGTGAGCAAGTGTGAAAGCCGCCGCGACCAATGGTTAGCGGAAGCAAGGCCAGTACCGGCGACGCAACCGTCCATCTATTCACCAACGAGGAAGCATTAATGAACGCCGCACGACAACAGTAATAAGCTACAGTAATAGAAGGAACCAGGAATACCGTAAACCGCTGGAATACCGTAAAACAAACCGCCGGTGCATCTGTGCAGCTAGCTACAGGCCACCCCCACACGCACCTGAAATCGTGCTGAATGTTCCACACTTGCTGCCTGGACATGCCTTGCACCGCCATAATCATTCCCACAGATGATAGCAGTGGAACCGCCCCGGGATTCGATCCGGGAACCTGCTGCCTCTCCTTCCGCTGTTGCTCGGTCCAGGGTGGCGTAACGCTGCTGTCGCTGCCGTCTTCTTCGCTACCAGTGTTGCTGCTGCTGCTGCTGCTGCTACTGCCGATGCTGTTGTTGTCCCTCTTAGCAATACTTGGGCTGCGGGAGCCGCCGTCAGAGCTGCTCGCCTGTTGCTGGGACGCAGCTGCTGGTACTGCTGGCTGCTGCTGCTGCTGCGCCCGCGGTACGAGCAGGCCCGAGCCCGGTGCGAAGGACAGGACGAGGGCGAAGCGAGCGCCCCGCACCCCTTGGAAGCCGCGGTGGACTGTCCAGCGGAGGGCTCCGCAGCCGTCGCCTGGTCCGCCGGGATAGGTTTACCGGCGTAGGTAGTAATGCGGGGTGAGGAGGAGGAGGAGGGGGGCACCGATACGATGTGGGCAGGCAGGTACGTTGCGACGCCGTTTACCTTTTCTAGTTTGCATGAAAAGGCGGGGGGGGGAGCTCGAAAGGCGGCGTGCAAGCGCGCATGCAATCATCCCCGCCCTGGAGGCAGCTGATGGGGCGGAAACCCAAGACAGGTAAGGTCCTCGTGGAAGCCACCTTCCCGTGGCTCCAAGCAACCCCACCAGCCCTGACTGGCCACACTTACGTAGCTGAGGCGAGGCATCCGCGCAGGACACCGTGAAAGGCGGCTCCCCGCACGGCGTCAGACCCGTCTTGTTGCTGCAGAGGAGCAGGTGGTTGATGTGGCCCAGAGTTCGGTTGGGATGTACCTCGGGACCCACATCGGGACCAACCGCCCAGTGCGGCTCAACCACCAACGGCCCAGATGGCTGGCCAGGAACCGCGCCCTCGAACCAATATAGCAGCTGTAGATGCAGGAAACGTGATGAGGCGGAAAGGGCGAGGAGTCAAGGGCGGTGGATCAAGAGAGGTGAAGGTGACCCATGGGTCTGTCTGTCTGGGAGAGGATTACTGCATCGCTTCTCGAGAAGGAACAAGCATGCGAAGGAGATGCACGCCTCAACCCTCAGTACAATTAAACCTACCAACCAACGATGACTCAACCAACCAACCCCGGGCCTACCCTGATAGACTCCAAGGGAATGCTGCGGTTGGTGCCTACGTTGGTCACCCTGGAGGGGGGAGCAGTGGGGGGAGCATCGACAGAGGGGGCAGAGGGGGGCGCATCGACACAGCACAGCACACACCGGTGGCGGCCGCGGGGGGAGGTTACGTCCATTCACACCCGGGGAGCCGAGTAACAACGTCTGCTGGGTGCGGTCGACATGCATAACGCTGCGGGGTGCTTCGCTAGTCATCAGCAAGGAGGCAGGAGGGCTGCCGGACATCTCATCAACCGTCAACGTACCGTATTGTAGGTGCAGGACGTGAAAGATGTATGCAAAATGTTGCAAGCGACATCGCCACGCCACCGCCACGCCGCCACTACGTGATAGTGTTCATGGGTCACGTGGCGCTCTATCTTCGGGTTTCGGGACTGTAGGACTCACCTTAGGTACATTTGGGTGAAGTATGAGAGGCTTGAGATTACGTTACTACCGGTGCTGTTGCTGCTGATGTTGCTGCTACTGCTGTTCCTCGCACCGCCGGCCGTGGCATTGGGTGAGGGATGCGCTAGGTACGTGATCGGGATGTAGTCAATCTGCGATTTGGACAGAAAAACGACCCCTTTTGTTTTGGGTCGTAAACCTTTCTCATGCCGGTACATTCATGCATGACACAACGAGCACAATCAAACTACGTCGCGCGCCGCTAAGGTGCAACTGCACAACCCAACGCCACCGGAGTCTGGCTGGTCATGTACGCATGCTTGTGCAGATCGCTGTAGATGCACGACTGTACTGCAACCGCTACTGAACCGTACGGCTTACAAACGACATGCAGGCGTTACGCCGAACGCCGAATGCCGTACAACCGTACGGCTTACCTGTAGGTCGCGCGGCATCACTGACTCTGGAATGAGAGGCGTCCCCTCAACTTCCACCAACGGCTCCCTCATTGGCTCCTCATCTTCATCATGGTGGTCATGATGGAGATGACGACCGTTTGAATTCCGTTGTACGGCAGTTATCGTGTCAGATCCAGATTTGCTGCCTGGTGAGCTACTGCTGCCCGTACTGTTGCCGCTGCGGCTGCTGCCATCCTTGGCTGCTACAGCAACGTACGGTCCGAGGCCTGCTGGGTTGAAGTTGCTACCACCGCTGGTGATGTTGCTGCTGCTGTTGCTGCTGCTAGCAGTGTTGGTGATGTTGCTGCTGTTGCCGCCGGAGGTGGTGGTGTTGGAGGTGCCGTCGTCCTGCTGGAGGAGGGCGGTACTCCGTTCGGCAGTCTGGCAGGAGGCCGGCATGAGGCCCATCCCTCTTCCACACAAACGCAGTAAAACACGACCATACCCATGCGCGTCTCTTTAAGACATCCACCACTTCAACACAGCACATTAGCACTTCCACGCATGCATGCTTGCATGCTTGCTCGCACGTACTCCGTTCACGTACCCCGGAACCCCCCCCCCCTACCTCTTGTTCCGACGCCCTGCGTGCCTGCTGCACCACCTCCACGAGCGGCACGCAGCGCATGTTGTTGAGGGACACCCCGGACGGCAGTCCCACCCGCAGGGGGGCGGAGGGAGGGCCGTTGAAGGCGGCGAGCAGGGCGGAGGAGGAGGCGGGAGAGGAGGAGGAGGGTGGTGGAGGGGGGGCGGCGGGGGGTCCTCTGATACCCGCCACGTAGAAGGTGAGGGCGGGGCCGAAGCGGCGAAGCGTACCGTTGCCTGGATGATGGTGGGGGAGCGAGGGGAACAATGGAGGATGAACACTATATAGGAGCCTTAGGAGGAGACTCTGACACGCCCCAAGCTTGTGTTTGCTTGTAACTGGCTCTGATACCACACTGATGAGACACCCCTCTTTTTCCCAATGTCCCAGCAGGGCCTCCTTGCCCATCGACACCTACCCATGACCATAACCTCCTGTTCGGGAGGGGCGCCCGGGTTGGTTCGGTCCAGGGGCGCGTCCTGCGGGGAAACAAAGGGGGGGGGAGGGAGGAGCCGGATACCGTAGGAGTCAAGGATGAGTGGTAAGTTGTTAACCTCCCTACCGCTGACTCCTTACCCAAGCCCACCGCCCCCCGGCCGCGTCCTCCCTACTCCCCTACACCTCGCCCCTTACCCCAAGAGCGCTCACTAAACCCCATACCCCACCACTCTCCCCACTGCTCACCCCACCGCCCCCGCCCCCACCGGAGCTGCGTACCTGCAGCATCACGCCACTAATCAGCGGCGGCCTCACACCCCTCGACATGTTGCCTGCAAGACCCGCCGCACCGCCACCACCGCCACCGCCACCGCCCGCAGTGGCGGGACTGCCGTAATAGCCTCCACCTGCTGCTGCTGCTCCTCCTGCTGCTCCCCCTGCGGCTGCTGCTGCTCCCCCTGCTGCTCCTGCTGCTGCTCCCCCTGCTGCTGCTGCTCCTCCTGCTGCTCCTGCTGCTGCTGCTCCTCCTGCTGCTCCTGCTGCTGCTCCCCCTGCCGCCGCTGCTGCTGCCGCCGCCGCTTCCTTGCTGAACACTCCTTTGTCGGAGGGTATCCGCTCGCCGGCTGTGAAGGTCCAGCGAAGCACCCAGGAGGAGATGGGGGGCAGCTGCGTGGGAGGGGGATAGGGGTATAGGGGAGAGGCCACACGGGGTCACATGGCCTCACATGGGCCGCGAGGTTGGTGGACAGAAAGGTACCGCGTAAGGCTGATTGGGATGGGGATGGGTGGGCAGTGTGATGAGCAAGCTCGTTATTCATAACCCATACGTCATAGCAGCACCTTCCATGAAGCAGCTCTCACCATCCATTAGGACCCCCACCCACAAGGGCGACCCACCCTTGCCACCCACCTGCAGCGCCAGCGTTTCAACCGTCCACGATGCCGCAAAGACATCCCCACCGCCGCCCCCCGCCCCTCCAGCACCCTCAACAGCATCACCACCGCCGTCTTTCTCTGCAGCCCCTGCTGTGCTGGCAGCGTATCTGCCCCTGCTGGCAGCGGCGAGCGGGTCACCCACCGTTGCCGAATATCGCAGCAGGACCCCGCAAAAGGTTCCATTCGTGACCCCCTGGGCAATCCGCATGTCGGCGGGAATGAGAGTGTCAGCTGTCCGGGAGGATGATGTCGAGGCATTGGCTGTGCGTGGGAGGGGAGAAGTGGTGGCAGCGGCGCCGCTCTGTGCATCGCCTCGCAGTCGCCTCCGCGCTAACGTACGTATGGCAGGAGATGAGGTGTAGGAGGACCCATGGGTCACTTCTCCATCAATCGGGGATCTGGACTCGGATTCCGGGCCTAGCAGCAGCGAGCGCATGCGTCGCTGCACTGGCAGTTGCTCCTGCGGGGGGCTATGGCTGCTGGCGAGATAGGTTGCATCTCTGGTACTAAGAGTGTAGTACGGGGGTGGTAAGAGAGGTATCAGGAGTTGCTGTGGCGGTGGCGGCATTGGCGCCGCCTCTGATGCGGCCTGCACTATCGACGGAAGCAGGGATGCCAGCAGCAACCTGGGGGGCGGAGGGAGCGGCGGCAGGAGCACCTGCAGCTGTTGTGGCGGTAGCAGCGGTGCCAATACGCTGCTGGAGCTGGTCGGGGCTGCTGCTGCTGCCGCTGCCGCTAGCATGGCCCTATCACCAACTGGTGTGGTGGCATTCGCACCGGCTACGGCAGCCGTGTCCTCATCAGGACCTGCCGTCGCAGCTGCAGCTGTAATGAACAAAGCCGCTGCCGTAAAAAGTGCTGCTACTAGTGATGTCAGGCGTCGGCGGGAGAGGTGTTGAACTGTGCAGCCTGGTCGCGTCAATCGCAGTTGCGACGGCCGTATCGGCGGCGGATGCGACGTCATGAGCTTGCTGGTTGGCCTTCTGTTGCTATTTGAGGCTGACGAAGTTTGCATTATAGCCGTACTGTAAGGCTAATCAGGAAAAGGCATTATGGCAAGGAGGATGCTGCTGTTCCGCGTTTGGAACCCTGCCAGCTTCGACAGCGCGGTAGCCTCTTACGGCGGTAGCCGTCTTTAGGAAAAATTCCTAAAGCTGCTAGCACAACTGAAAGCGCCAAGCTAGAGCCAGGTAAGGCAAGATAGAGGGACAGCGACCCTCAGCACAACTGCTGGCGCCTCGCTAAAATCAATTTTGAGACGTGTATGGGAGAAGATGAGCATTGTCTTTACAGAATACACCGTCTCTGGGCAGTTAATATGTTGTACCTCAGGGGCGCATAAAGCGCATGTGATTCATCCTGACCTTGTGTCAAAACGTGCCCACGGTTACCGAGCAACAAAAATGGTGGAGCCACGTCAGTTGTAGGTAACATTTACTCTCTGCTGCTTTCGTACAACGTCTGCGCATGTTCGAGGGTCCTAGGGTTCAAGGTTTGCAGATGGTCCGCGGGTCGATTCGGGCTCGCAAGTTGGCATTGGAGCGGATTCCGCAACTGCATACGACCGCAACGTATCTATGAAGGATGACTGCATGTTGTGGCTACGCTTTCCGGAAGACATGACTTGATGGTTTCAAATGGGGCAGTCCAGACCTCGTTGGAGGATGCGATTACTTTGGACAGGCACAATAGAGGATGTAAATTCAGGTGGATTTTACAACATATTCAACCATATTGTAGCGTTTGATTGACTGGCATCGGCGATGAAGCCATGTCAAGGATAGGGCTTGCGATAGGATAGCCAAAGTCTTAACCTCATTGGGGATTGTCTTATCACCTCAGCCGTTGCGTGGCATTAGCATCAGCAGACCCTAACCCACGCGCCGTGGAACGTTGATACAAGACTCATGGCGAAATAAACAACAGCATGCACAGAAGTAACAACTATAATGATAGAGAGTATAAGAATGACGGAACGGCGCACGCACATGATGCTAACGGCGTCTCCAACCGTGCGCTAGAATGTATGCTGAATGTATGATTTGCGAGCTAATGCCGAGTATCGTTGCAGAAAACAAAGATCACGCGCTCGGGGCTCTCATAACATTAACCATTGCGATTAGTGGTAGCAACAGCATCGACACATGTTTCATTACCCCACGCTGAACCATGGGTCACATCGCGAATACCTAGCTAAACCCGCTGTGTGTATACTACTAGCCACCAGACATCCCTGCATCCTAACACAAGAACAGCTCCTAAATCCGAACCTCGTAGCGACCAGGCATGTTACCAGCTATGCGGTGGCGGGCCAGAAACATCAAGAGACCCTTGCTCACCTGGGAAGCCATATAACACCATCTCGTACAGAGTCAACCAACCGCCACCGTTGTTGGTTGCAACGCACAGCCGGTAGAACGAATAGTTGCTGGCGCCAGTAACGTCAAAACTGTACCCAGCCGTCGTCCAGTTCGTAACGGCCGCCCGCTCGTCTACAACAGCCCAGCTGGAACCATCGTTGGATCCAATCAGTACGAAATCCTTAGGACCGCGGTCCAGCATGTCGCCATCACGTGTCCACAACTTGTACTGTACCAACCTGATTTGCTCAGGCATCTCGATCTGAATCCACTCGCCCAAATACCACTGACTACCGATCAGAGTACTGGTGCGGCCCAGGTATCTGTACGGGTAGCTGGAGTCGTACAGATTGTAATCAGCAACCGTCCACATGTGCCCTTGTCGGGTGTTGAGCTGGTAATCAAATGCCTCCCAAGCAGCCTCCGGGTACCCGAGGTCAGAAGAAGCGCGGACGCGGTACATGCCGTTGCCGTACGCCTGATTCAAGAGGTTACTGTTGTACCCGGCGAGAGGAGCAGGCGGGTAGCGCATGGGGCTGGGTGGGGAAGAGGGGTACTGAGGATGGGAGGGCCTCTCGGTGTAGTCAGTGAAGCTGGGTGATGACGGAAGATCGGGAGAGGAAGGGATGCTGGATGGAGGGTTCACAAACGGCGGCTGAAATCCTTGCTCAGAAAGGCCATACAGAACCATCTCGTACAAGGTCAACCAACCGCCACCGTTGTTGGATGCGACGCACAGCCGGTAGAACGAATAGCTGCTTGCGCCGGCCACGTCAAAGCTGAATCCAGACGGGTTCCAGTACGAAATAGACGATCGCTCGTCTACAACAGCCCAGCTGGAACCATCGTTGGATCCAACCAGTACGAAATCCTTAGGACCGCGGATCAGGTCGCCATCACGCGTCCACAACTTGTACTGGACCACCTTGACCTTTGTCGGCATCTCGATTTGGATCCACTCGCCCTTGAACCACTGCTCGCCGATCTGAGTACCGGCTGCGCCCAGGTAGCTGTACGGGTAGCTGGAGTCGTACAGATTGTAATCAGCAACCGTCCACATGTGCCCTTGTCCGGTGTTAAGCTGGTAATCAAATGCCTCCCAAGCAGCCTCCGGATACCCGAGGTCAGAAGAAGCGCGGACGCGGTATATGCCGTTGCCGTACGTCACATTCTCCAAGTCAGTGTCGTAGCCGGTGAGAGGAGCTGGCGGGTAGGGCAGGGGGCTGGGCTGGGCGGAGGGGTATTGAGGATAGGAGGGATAGTCGATGACGTAGGGCGGCCTAGCGGGAGCATCTGAAGTATTAGGAGGGAAGGAGGGAGAGTAGGTAGGCACCGGGGGAGAATCTGGGGGCGAAGAAGGACCACCATACGTAGAGTAGGTAGGCGGCGGTGTATAATCTGGGACGGGAGGAGGAGAAGGAGGAGAACCGACAGGCTGCCCATTCAGGATGGCGACGAGAACCAGCTCATTGATGCTCAAATAACCGGCACCGTTGTTGCTCTGGACGACAAGTCGATAGTACGAGTACTCGCCAGGCTGTGCAGCAGTAAACCAAAAGCCGAACATGCTCCAGGTCATGATGCCGTACTGCTTGTCAACCAACTGCCAACGGTATCCATCGTTGGACCCAAGCAAAGCAAAATCCTTTGGGCCGCGGTGCGGCATGTCGTAAGGGACATACACTGCATAGGTTGTCACCCGAATGGCTTCCGGCATCTGAAGCTGCACCCACTCGCCAGCATATACCTCTGTCGCCTCGTACGTCTTTGCGGCCCCGTTGTAACTGAACGGATAGTAAATGTCGTACAGCGAGGAGTCGGCTGTCGTCCACGATCCTCCGCTGCCATAGTATTGCTTGTCAAACGCCATGTAAGCGGATGTGCTCCCCGGATACGATAAATCCGAAGAGGCGCTGACACGATACACGCCGTTGCCGAACCATAGGTTCTCGAACGTCGTTTCGGGGCCAGTGAGGGCGTCCGGCGGGTAGGCCACCCAGACGGGCGTGGGCGGCGAAGGCGGGGCGGGCGGAGGAATGGGGCTGACGGGCCAGGAGGGCGTCCAAGGGGTCCAGGGGCGCCAGGGCGGGTAGTTGTAGTGGTTATCGGGAGGGGAGTAGTGGTGGCCCTCTGGTGGGGAGGGTGGAGAGAAGGTGGAGCCGAACCGCTGCTCCAGAGCCTCAAGACGCTTGGTAAGATCGGTGATCTGAGAAGGAGGATTGAGAGGTGATTGAGAGGGAGGAAGGTGTGCGTTAGGTGGGCTTTCAGGGAGTTTAGCGGAAGCGCTGGATGCGAGAGAGGCGCGCTATGCGCGTTAAGGGATATCCTATGGAGTATGGCTGGCGAAGGTCAAGATACATTACAAAGCAATTGCGAGGCGGAAAGCGTTGAGGTGCGACTGCACGTAGCGCACATGCCGGGATATTATTGTCCTAGCGCTATGGGTCGAGACCCTTCTGGCCCTAGGGCGCCCCCAAGCAATGCTTCAATCAAACCCAACGCCTTGCCAGGAAAGGAACAAAAGCGGTCGTACCTTCTGTTCCAGCTGCACGATGCGCGCAGTCCCCTCGTACAGGAAGGTGGGAAGGTCAGCGCACTGGATGGGCAGCACTGCAGCACAGGCATCCATGGCTGGGGGCGGCGAGGGGCCCGTGTAGGGGGGACTGTAGGAACCTGTAGGCGCGTCCATGTAAGGAGGGCTGAAGGAACCGTAACCATATGAAGGACCCGTGGAAGCGCCAGTCCGAATGCGGCCTGCAAGTGGGGAAATGGGAAAGGAGGATATGTTGCAAAACCAAAGTGAAGAAAGGGAATATTGGAAATAGGCCTTAGATGTGAAACCTAAAGGAGTGTATACTGTAGCAGTGCTTGGGGTTACATAGTATGATATCTGTCGGAAGAATGTTTGCAGCGCTGTCCGTTAGTTTGAAATTGCCAGCCGGACCCTTTCGTATGGTAAAACATCGCGCCAAGTTAAAGCAAAGTATACCGCAGAGCCTCAGCGGCCCAGCGGCCAACTTGCAAACATGTTTGCTTTGTCTATGGGCTCACCTGCTGAGACATTGCTCCATAGCTCACCACTGACGGCAAGTAACAGTGCTAGCAGTGCACCAGGCCGAGCATATATATGTCTCTGCAACATGGTTCCGCCCCCGGCTGCTCCAAAGGGAGGCCTATTACGCGCGGCCCCGGGCTATTGCGTATTAGCGGCTGACCGTTCCCTTCTATAGGTCCATGTGGGTGTGAACCTTGGGAACTCTTTAGTTACTAGGTGGTGCCTTGTTTTTATACGCTTTGCGTTTACCACTTGTGGTACAAACCGCCACTACAGCGTGGTACATGAACGCGAATGGAACTAATTGATGTTCAAGATCTACAGTACTGAATCAGGTCCACCTCGAGGCGGGCTGCCTACTTCAGCCAAGAAAAGTGGATGGCTTGCTGATGAGGGCCTAGCCGGCGAGGTTAGCAGCCTGTCGCATAGATGCAATAGTTCGTTTACATCCATTAAGCGGGACAGTGTTTTGTTCGTTAATCGGTCGTTTTTAGTGGCATGGCTACTTCTTGTAAAGCGCAAAGCACGCAATCTCTCAGCTGCCAGTTACCCAGATACATTACACAGATACATTACAAACATCCTTGCCCCTAGTAATCCTTACTAAGATCCATGATCTTCGCCAGCCAGAATCCATGACATGCCACAGGCCGGCTTCGATGTGTATGCTGAATTGGAAATTGCTACGAGCCTTTTCAAGGTGTATTTCCAACCGAAATCTTTGAACACCTGGATATTCCCTACTGTAATGAGGTGTACTACTGGGATGGCGATGCCTTATCAGAACCAAATGTCAAGAACGCCTGGTACATTCCATGCAGGGGTTACGTCTTTTTCTGCGGGGCGGGTCACACCAACCCCCAGGTCTGCGGTGATCACCGGCCCTCCCATGTTGGCGGGTGGATTGTTGACCCCAACCGGACGCGTGTTTGAGTTGAGAATTCGGGTTAAGAATAATAACACAGTCAAAAGGCAGCCACAGCAGCGAGCATTCCAATCGCTGTGGGGAACAACACGACGGCGCCTCGGCTTCCCCGCACGCAGCGGGAGCGCCAAGTGAAGCAGCGCCCGACAATGCAAGTACTGCCTGCGTACCTGGTCATCAGCGATGCGGCCTCTTCTGAAACCTTAAACCCTAAACTCTCCACCGCCACCACACGCCACCTCCATGCCACCCGCGCTGCCCCTGCAACAGGTATGAACGATCCATGCCAAAGGGATCAAACTTGAAGTACATGTACCTTTAACGGCCGAGGGCCTTATGCCTTCAGCGCCTCCCAGCACGCGTTTCCGTGCGAGCAGGCACGATTCCCGTGTAGACGCCCGCCACAGTGTACGGAGCCGCATTTCGGGGCCGGCTCCAGCGCCCACCACGCTCATCCGTGTTGAGCAGTAGCACACTTGCTTTGGAATGGGGCCCGCCGCATCGTAGCCGCCCCATGCATGCATGCGCAGACTCCGTGCGCGGGATGCGCAGGCAGATAGGGCAGCAGGACCCGCCCGCTGGCCATCCAACCATCTGCACATGCGCAAGTAAAGCACCACCTACCCAACCACCCATGCATGCGCTGATCTAGCTCCTGGACCCGCCTCCTAGATAGCCAGGCGTCCACGCACGCACAGCAGACCACCAGCACCCGCCAGCCGTGCATGTGCGCATTGGACTGGCCGAGGGGTGGAGGTACGGCGTGCAGGCCTCCCGCCAACCCGGTTACGCGGCCAAACCCGCAAAATGTCGGTTTGTGAGGGCTGCAAAACATACCCAGGGGTTTGCACGTGGTCCCCCACCGTACTACTGATCTGCCCAATGGTGCGTACGTGTCCAGTGCTGATGGGATGGGCGGTTTTCGCCATGGTATGAACGATCCATGCCAAAGGGATTAACCTTGAAGTGCATGTACTCTAGACGGCCGAGGGCCTCATGCCTGCACCGCCTCCCAGCACGCGTTTCCGTGCGAGCAGGCACGATTCACGCACCTCCACTGTCCAACATGCCGAGCGTCAGCCGCTGCAGCAGCCTCTCCACGTGCACCGTCACCGCCGCCACCACCGCCTCCTCGCCAGCGGGCCCCAGCGCCAGCCGTGACAGGCAGCCGCACACCGACACCAGGCGGCGCACACAGGAGGAGCCAATGGCTGCCTCCAAGCATGCGACAATGGACGCCATGCTTGCTAATGGTGGATACCGAATGGTTGGCAGCCACGCTCAACAGCTATGCACATACGCCTTGTCAACACCGAGGCCGGTCTTGGTCGCACGCTCGCGTTTCAACTCCAGTCTCAGCAAGTGCACGACATGAAGCCACAAAGATTGTAGACACAGTGACAACCATGGGGAAAAGGGCCTCAGGTGGAGCCCGACGCACCACCTGCATACCGGTACATGAAGAGGCGGAACAAAGTAAGGTAACGACACCTTTGCGGAACAGCACGTCAGTCTTTAATGTGGGAATACACCTTGGTCACCCCTTCGTCCTCCCTCTTCCCTCCTGCAAGCGCCAGCACCGACACACTACCCACTATCATTGCCCAAGTCACACACCGTTACGTCCCTCACTCGTGAAAACCTCGAAGCGCCGACCAATGGTTATCATCGCCGACACCGCGTCCTTGCAGGGCTCCAGAACCGCCACCTTCTTGGACAGTGCGTCCTGCACGCTCTCAATCTCGCACCGTTGCACGGGGTGCGCAAAGCGGTCGCGGACGTCCTTGCAGTCCATTACGGCCTGCCACTGATTGAAGGCCTCAAACGAATTTTTTGTCATTAAGTCTTACAGTCTGTACGGCAATTCAGTGGCAACTACTGTAGGCGGGGGTAACGTCCCAACCCGACGCGCAGCACTGCATCTATGGCGACCCACCTTACCCGTGCACTTCCAGCCTTGAACAAGAATGATGTTCCTCTCGATGCGAATGCCCTGATTTCCAACCGGCCATCATATTTCTTCCTGTGCCACACGACACACGTATTGCTGCGATTTCCCCACCTTCACCAGCCCCCATGAATACCCCACACACGAGCGCACAGGCGTATGGGAAGGGAAGTGCAAAGGGCGCTCACACCCATACATACCGGTAAAGTCCTCTTACAGGACGGTCGACTGCTCCAACAGCGCATGGCAACTGACAATCATCATTCCATTACAAGTACCGCACAATGCCTTCCAATGCCGTAGACAACCGCCGTACAGTGATTCATCAGCTTCAGTTTTCATCCTTCCTGCGCCGCCTACCATATGCCACCACCCGCCCCAGCCACTCGCGCCCCCATGCATGCCCACGCAGCCCTCAATCCTCGTGAGTGGTGCGCCCCCGACTGTACTCCTTCTCGCGTCAGCAATGACCCATCCCTTCTCGTGTTACCCAGGCCCCCACATTAGCCTCATTTCGATGAGTGCTGTCACCGCCCGTGTACGGCAGCCGCAGGGCAATCCCAACATGCATCTAATTTCTTGAACGACCATGTCAAGCTTGCCCGGTAATCGTACATAAGCCATGCCAAACTAACACAACATGTTTGCTAGCAGGTAACGAAGTTAATGAAGGGCGGGGCAGCCCGATGCAGCCCCATGGCAAGCAGCTACTCCTCCGCACCTCCTCATCCTAGCACATCCTAGCACATTAACAATTTTGCCATCCCCAACGGCGCCAGCGTCTTGCATGGACCACACAAAGGCCCAGTCTACCGCTGCTACTCCTGTTACCGCTGCCACAGCTGATATTGCTGCCCCTGCTACTCCTGCTATCGCTGCCACAGCTGCTATTGCTGCCCCTGCTACTCCTGTTACCGCTGCCACGCAGCTGCTACTGGCGCTTGTTTGCAATGCTCCTGCACACCGGCAGCTGCCACCAGGGCGCGTAGGGCCAGCGGTGGTGCTCCCAGTGCAGGTCGAAGTGGTAGCAGGTGAGGAAGGAGCGCAGGCGGGAGGCGGCGGAGGAGCGGGAGAGGGGCCAGGGCATGGGGCCGGTGTGGCCGGGGGGCGGGTGGTGCGGCACGTAGGTACCTGGCGGCGGAGCAAGAGGGGAGAAAGAAAGGAATGGAGGGGTGGGGTGGGGTCCAACCGCAGCAGAGGAAGCCAAGCTTTTACAAGACCAGACGACAAGACCAGACGAACGGACGTCAACCAAGTCCCAAGTCCCTAACAAATTTCCCGCACCCCACGACATTGCAGCACCCCTATCCATCTCCTCGACACGCCTCCTCGATGTACCAAACAGGTCGCAAAACAGCCTGAACCTACCCCCCACACAGCACCCCACTGACGCGATCCTCTCCCACACCCGCACCCGCACCTGCCCTGCCCTGCGCCCTGCCGTACGACTACCCGGTCGTGCTACCCACCATAGTAGAAGAGCCTGAACGCCGACAGCAGCGGTGCGGCCGTCATGAACACCAGTTGGTTGGCAATGGGCGCCCGCAGCAGCAGCAGCACGTTGGACCAGGCGGCGATGCGCAGCAGCTGCGGCAGCGTCATGTACGACACCATGAACCTGTGCATGGGGTGGGGATGGGGAGCGCAAGAGGGGGCGGGAAGAAGGGAGGGAAGTTGTTGTTGTGGTGGTGGTGGTATGAAGGGTGAGGCTGTTGCAAGTGGTTGGGAGTGGTTTCATGTTTCATGTGCGGGAAGCGGCGCATCACGCATGGCTCCTTCGGGTTAAGAGCTCCTCAGAGCGAGCGGCGCCTTCTGCAACGCGCGCTCCACGCCCTTCCCTTCTCCCAACCGGGGCGCGAGTCCGCTTTGTCTCTTGCGACCCGGGCGGCATCTACCCACCCATCCACCCGCCCGCCTAGCCACCCACCCCCACCCTCACCCAGTTACCTCGCGAACCAGCCTGCCAGGTTTGGGTTGCCGGTGTGGAAGTCGGGGTCCACGCGGGGTATGCCTGTGTGGTTGTGGTGCTCCCAGTGCCTGGTGGGGCGAGGGAGGGAGGGGGCGAGGGAGGGAGGAAAAGGGAGGAGGCGGAAGGGGTGTTTGTGACCAGGACCCGCGGGAAAGAGCGGGTGAGGTATACGGGTTATACCCTACAGGACATCGGGTGACAGCCGGGCCAGGAGGATAGTGATGGGAATGGGTTGTCTCGCTCATCCGAGGAAAGCTTGCTTCCCTCCTTTGCTATCTTGAGAGTCTCCTTGAGTGCTTCGTTTGGCCCCGTCCCTCCTCTGACTCCTCTGCTTTGCTTCCCTTCCCCCGTCCTCCCTCACTTGCGGTGCAGTAGTGAGTAGTCAAACCAGGCGTACAAGCTGATGGCCAGCTGTCCTAGGAAGTCTGGATTGGGAGGTGTGCGTGGGAGGTTGGAGAGCGGCAGGGAAGGAAGGGAGGGGCAGCGGAGGGAGGGTGATGCAGGCAGGCAGGCAGGGGCGACGGATTGGGCCAGAGAGCAATGAAACTGCGGCATAGGATACAGTATGTCCAGCAGCTTATAACGTACAGCTGCTTACAATTAGATCAAATGCCGATTGGCATGAACCGGCAAGGAGAAGGGTTGGCTTACCATTGAGACGACGGTTGCGCAGAGCTATGGTGCCGTGCATTGCATCATGCGTCGTAATGAATAGACCAGTATATAGAAACTCCAGAGATATGAAAACCGCAGCTATATGAAGCCAGGAGGTCGCACGCTCTCCATGCCCAACGGTCCATGGCAATTTTATGAACCAGAGAGCGTGGATGAACAGCCCAGCCCAGCAACCAATCACTGTGCATGCAACCAAGATGCCTGGGAGGTCACTGCGCGGAGGCCTGTAAAGATGAACCTTCTCCTTTAGCGTGCGGGCCCCATCCTCCTCGTGTGGCAAATGGTATTGCCGCTCCCATGACTTCAGAACGTCATCTTCTGCGGCAGCCACACCCATCGTGTACCAAAATGTTTGTTTATGTCTACCGCGAAATTGCAAAGGATTGGGATGTTTACTGCTTCGGTCATATTGATGTGGGTCCACTTAGTCGCACACTTAAGTACGTGTTCCACTAGAGGCCCTCGTAGCCGGCGACAGTGACGCGTCGAGCGCATACCTTGGATACATCGAGTCATCATGGCGTCGACTGTACGGCCTACCTAGCACATGCACAGCACGGCATAGCACGGCTGTGGGCTGCCAAGAGTCGACTTCTTCAGCGTGAAGCCGAGATAAACTATACAAAGTTGCACATGATTTAACTATCAAGCCCTTAGTTCAGCTGTGGCTGACCCACACGGTGGTTACGTCTACCGGTAATTGGCGGGAGCTGTTAGGAGCCTTTTTGGGGTGTCTTTCCAACCGAAATCCTTCGATACCTGGATATCCTCTAATGAGGTGTACTACCGAGTTGTAGTTTGGATGTTACCTCTGAGCGCGTGACCGCCGAACGTCCACATATGGATGGCCACCGGCTCCCATCTGGTGGCTCGGGCCAGGTCCTCGCCAGTAACAGAAGTGACAAACATACCGTAGGAGATATGCAAAATGGAGGTACAGCTGACATCTTCGAGGGCAGCTTGGCTTTGGGAGGCGACAACCGGGGCGTCGCCATCGAAACGCCATTGTCAGCTCCACCAGCTTCGCTTAAAACTAAAGATGGCCCAGAAAGCAACCAAATTAACACTTCCCGCACGCCGGGCTACCATCCAATCGGCGCAGCACCCACATCCGGTGCCGCTGCTGCCACCACGCCGATCCCGCTCCATCGCGCCTACAGCAGCGGAGGCAGCGCAGGCGCGGCCGCCCTCACCCCATCCAACACCACTCCCAACTTCAACCTCTTCTCCAACAACGCCACCGCAACCACCCCCCTTCCAACGCCCGCAGCCGCACCGAAACCTCCCGTACCCCTCCCGAACACCACTCCCATTGCCACTCCGGGCATGGGCGCTCACACACCCGCTGCTGGCGGCAACAGCAACATCCCAGGCAGCGGCCCAGGCGGCAATAACAACAACAACAACAGCAGCAGCACCAGTGGTGGCGGCATGGTGATTGCGCTGTCGCGACTTGGGCTGCGCATGTCGGGACTGGATTGCGAGCTGGCAGCTGCGAGGGCGGAGCGGGAGGGGCTGGTGAGGGAGCTGGAGAGGAGCCGCAAGGTGCGGGGGTAAAATATAGATAAATGCATGCATGCGGGGGTGGGGGTGGGGGCGAGGAGGGCCCGATGTGGGTGTAAGTTGGGTCGGGGACTGGCTTTTTCTGGTTGCTCGTGCGGAAGGCGCTGGCCGGGGGGGGGAGCCTGAACGGTTTGCCATACGGTTTGCCCATGTTACGGGTGGGTAGGATGGGTGGTGCCATGTGGGTCGGTGGCTGCTTTGGAGCCCTGAATGAGCGTCTGGGGGGTAGTGCCGCGGCGTGCCGCAAGGTGATGCCATGTGGGTCAGTGAAGCCTCGACAAAGAAGGGCTTGACGGCCGCAAGACGTGGGCGCCCCGTTGAGTGCGCTCTCCTCAACATCCAGCACCCCCAGCACCCCCAGCACCGCAATCACGTATGACGTACGACCTGTCAGCCCGTTAGCCGTCACCTACCTGCATGCGGTGCCGGTACGCCCGCAGGCCCAGGCGGCTCACATCCACAACCCCCACCTCGAGCCCTAACTTACGCCGTACTCACGTATGACGTACGACATATGTCACCCCGTTAGCCGTCGTGACCCAGCCCACCCATCCCTACCTGCATGTGGTACGCCCGCAGGCCCAGGTGACTGCCGAGGCGGAGCTGTCCGCCTGCCGCGCCGCTGCCCGCAGTCAGGTTTCGGAGCTGCAAGACGAGGCGGCGGCTGCCGTACGGCGTGCGGCTGCGGCTGAGGAGGCGGCTGAGGAGCTGAGGCGGCGGCTGGAGGGACAGCGGGCGGCGGTGGAGGGCGTGCTGGCGGGGCGGGATCGCCGGGTGACGGAGCTGCTGGTAGGTTGGGGAGAGAGGCAGGGATGGGGGAAGGGGACGAGGAGCGATGAGGTGGTAACACCTGACTGCCGGCTGCCAACCCCTGTCCCGCCTTCCCTCCCCTTCCTTCCTTGCCACTATCAGTCAAAGCATGGTACCGTCTTCACTCCTTCCTTCCCCTTCCTCCTCTCCCTCCCCCTCCTCGCCACCCACCCACCTTCCCACCTCACCCCCGCAGGCCACTGTAGCCAGTCTGCGGGAGGAGGCCGGGGCCCGGGAGGCAGAGCGGGCCGCTGCGGCGGGGCAGTTGCGGGGCATGAGTGCGCTGCTGGGAGCGGTGGAGGCGGAGCAGGGGGCGCTCAGGGGCCAGGTGGGGGCGGGTGAGGAGGAGGAACAGGAGCAGGAGGGGACACGCTGCTGGGGCAAGGATAATTTGAGCCAGCTGATGGGAGAAAACACAAATACAAACACTCCAGTGCGTTCCTTCCCGCGGCCAGTTTTCTCAACACACACACTTCCTCGCTATGCCACACGGTTCCTATTGCATGGCACACGTCTTGCATGTTGCCACCCCGCCCTTCCGCGTTGTTGCCGCTGGGCTCCCGTCGCACCCCTCCGGGGGCAGGTTTCGGAGCTGCGCTCCCGTCTGGCGGCTCAGGAGGCGGCTGTGTCGGGGGTGCAGCGATGGAGTGAGGAGGCGCTGGAGGGCCCGGGGGGCATGCGGGAGCTGCAGCGGGCGGCGGAGGGAACCGCGGAGAGGGTGGCCCGGATGGCCGAGGTGAGCTGAAGGGCGCGTTGGGGCTGAAGAGGGGGGGACTTTGGGGGTGGCACAGCCTTTGAAGCACCCCCCTGCATGCATGCTTGTAATGGTGTTCAATCCCAACACTCTCTCTCCCTACCTACCTGCAGCGTCTGAAGGCCGCCGAGGCCGCCGCGGCTGGTTTGCGGCTTAGGACGGTCGAGCTGTCGGCACAGCTGCACTCGGAGCAGGTGGGGAGAGCACGAGCGCCGGGAACGGAGGGCAATGTGGGATGATGACAGCATAGCATGGTGTGAAGGAGAGTGGTGAAAACCATGTGGGGAGTGCATGCACCAGAGGGAGGAGAGGGCAGGCAGAGGCAAGGATGTGGCAGGGCGGATAACGTGCGGTCGGTGTATGGGGCTGTGGACGGGTGCTGGGGAAGGGCAGCTGGAAGGATAGCAAGGTGGGATAGCATGCTCAAGGTGTCGTCCCAGCTTGTGAACACGTAACACGTGACTCGGGTGTTCGCGTGCCCACGCTTTAGGCTGCTGTGGCGTCGCTGCAGCAGCGGCTGGCGGAGAGGGACGGCCAGCTGGCGGCGACGCTGGCGGAGCGCAGCCGCCTGGCGGAGGCGGTGGCGGCGGGGGAGGCGCAGCTGGCGGAGGCGGAAGCGGCGCAGCAGCAACTGGCGGAGGCGCTGCGGCGGATGCAGGAGCGTTTCGCGGGCGGCTTCGCCGCCGCGGCGGCGGCTGCTGCCGCCGCTGCCGCTGACGCGGCGGAGGCACGGCGCAGCTCGGAGGCGCTTCGCGCCTCCGCCGCCGCCGAGGCGACGGCGAGGGCAGTAGCAGCGGCGGCGGCTGCCGCCGCAGCTGCTACTGCCGCCCCGACTGCGCCCGCTGCAGCCGTTGTCGTGAAGTCAGAGCCCTCAGGAGGCCAGGAGCAGCCAGGGAGGGGCAACAGCAAGCCCGAGAGACCGTACGAAGGCGGTACTACCGGTGCTGCCACTACCAATGACGCGTCAGGGAGGAGCGCTCCCGCAACGGCCAAGCCATCCTCTTCGGCCCTGCAGCCACGACAAATGCCGGGCCAGCAGCAGGCAGCGCCGCCACCACCGCAACTGCTTGTACGACGGCAGAGCTCCACTGCCTCCGGCGCCTCAGGCGCTGCTACTGCTGCAGCGGTCCCCCCGGTACCGACGGCGGAGCCATGCAATGATGCAGGGCGTACGGACACGGGCACAGCGGCGGCGCCGCAGTCAACACTGGCGGCGGCGGCGGCAGCGGCGGCGGGAGCAACGTCGCCGCCTGTCGTACAGCCGTCAGCGACGGTGGCGGAGGCCACGGCGCCGTCAGCCCGTACAGCGGCGGCGCCTGCGCTTGCAACCAACACGGCCCCAACAACCGGCGCTGGCTCCCCCGCCGCTGCTTCGCTTCTACAGCCTACATTGCCTGGTGAGACGGCAGGTACTCCCGCGGCGGCGGCTGATCCAGCGGCGGCAACAGCTCTAACGGCGGCGGCAGCGGCATCGATGGCGCCACCTTCAGCACCGCAAGTGGGCCAATCGCCGCTGCCAGCTTCAGTCACGACAACGAGAAAGGAGGGGCGCAGGCTGGGTGATACGCTGCATGCTATTGCTGCCGCTGCTGCTGCCGCGGCAGCGTCGGGCGCAGCCAGAAGTACGGCCCAACTGACGCCACAAGATGGTTCAAAGCCCCAGCCGTCGGCCATCTCTGCAGCGACGGCTTCAGCGTCAGTGCTAGCGGCGACAGCGGGCGCGACGGCGGCAGCGTCATTGCACGCGGCGGCGGCGGCGGCGGAAGTTCAGCCGCCGGGTGTCGTACAGAAGCGCCGTCGGTCGCTGCCGTCGCCCGTGTTGGCATCGTCGCCGATGATGACGTCAGGGCTGCAAACCAGCAGGGAAGCACCTGCGCTGTCGGGAACTGATTGTGGACCTGTTGCTCAAGGGGATCGCAGTGGCAGTGGAGGGGGCGGCGGCGGCGATACGAGCAATGGTGATGGAGGCAGTGACAATGACAGTCGCAGCGGCAGCGGCAACGCTGCCCGCACCAACAGCACCAGCAGCGGCGGCGGACGAGCCTCTGCTGCAACCCATGTTACCCAACATGTGGCAGCACCTCCGCAACCGACTGCCGTACATGTTCCGGAGCAGCTACCTCCGCAGCAGCAGCTACAAGTACCACGCCAGGACCACCAAACGCACCACCACCATCACCAGCAACAACAACGACAACCCGACGGCGAGGGCTTTTCGGAGGACGTGAAGGAGTCGTCGACGGCGGAAGGTGAACCAGCCTCAAAGCGCTACCGTACGGACGCGGCAGCCAAGGATGACGCCGCTACCGCGCCTGCCGCTACCGGCGCCAGCGCTGATGGTGGGCTGCTCGGGCGCATGGAGGGGGCTTTTTCAGCTGCCACTCCAGCCGCATCCCAATTGCAACAGCCGCAGCCGACACCTCATAACAGGGGCCTAGTCACACGCTATTCAGCTGCGTCCGGGCCCACCACCGCATCAGCGGCAGCAGCAGCACAAGCGGCAGCCGCAGCAGCTGCCCCGAGGCCTAAGAAGATGCCGGCGGTGGCGATGGCGGCGGCGGCTGACGGAGAGGCTGCGGAGGGATGCATGTCCGCGTCCTTTGATTTCATTCGGGAGGAAGAGGGGCCCGGGCCATCGCAGCGTGCGGAGCCTGTGGTTGTCAGACAGGAACGCAACGTAGACGGCGGTGGCAGTGGTGGGGGCGGTGGCAGTGGTGGGGGCGGTGGCAGTGGTGGGGGCGGTGGCAGTGGTGGGGGCGGTGGCAGTGGTGGGGGAGGAGGCGACAAGGACCATGGCGTAGTGGCGCTGTTGGCGCCGGCGGCGGTGAGGGAGACGGCAGATGCGGTGGATATTAATGCTGGTATCGGCAACGCCATCGCAGCGGACCGCCGTACGGCCCGAGGCGCAGCGGAGGTTATTCCAACACTCGGCGGCATTTCTCACAGCTCTGCTGGTGCTGCTGGTGGCGGCGCAGATGGCGGCGGCGGTGGTGACGACGCTGCCGCTACTGACCTTGGATCCTGCCACAACCACTCCTATCAGCCGCCGCATTCAGAGGAGCTGTTGCTTTCAGCGCTGCAGACGCAGCAACCACCATTGCCTCAACTGACGGCCGTGCATGACCTGTCGTACATGGAATGCGGAGCAGCGCTAGGAGACGACGCCACTGCCGCTACTGATGATGAGGTTCACGATGGGGCGGGGGCGGCGGCGGCAGTGGACGGTACGACAATCCTCAACGGCGCCCCCGCAGCAGCAGCGGAAGCGACAATGAGTGGTGAGGGCTTCAGCACGCTTGGTGACGACGGCGGCGGCCGCGGAGGCGGTGGCGGCTTACCTGCAGCAGAGGAAAGAGATGGCGGAGGTGACAATGCAGCCGCCGCCAACCGGGGCAGCACTGAAGGCAACGGCGGCAGGCCTCGTAAGCGGCAGCGCTCAGCGCTTGCAGGGCTTTTCTCGGCCTTTGCGGAAAGCAGCGACGAAGGGGAGAGTGAGGATGATGATGACCAGGATGGGGATGAGGGAGGAGGAGCAGACGGGTTCGGCTTCTTCCAGCTTTAAATGTTGTATGGTTATGATGTTGTAAGCCTGAGGTGGCCTTGCGCCGGGTACCAGGTATGTACCGTACCTCGTGCAGCGGGCTTCTTCCTAAAGGGGGCTTGGTGGAAAAAGCAGGTTGTGTAGGTTGCTAGCTGTAGCGCTACGTGGGCATGGCATGCGTAGTGTTGTTCATGGGGTGCATACGGTAGCGGTAATAGAGGGGCCTGCATAAAGGCGCTCTACGTGTGCAGTGCAGGGGCGTGCCGGGCGTGGACGGGAACTACGCGGCTGCGATGTCTGTGTGTACATGTGGCATATGTGTTGGGAGTGTGCACGGCTTGTATTAGGCTCGTCCTGTACTGGGCTCGCACTGCAATAGCCTGTGCGGCAGGATGTATAGCAGCAGCATGGCTGGTTAGAAAACCTGCAGGGACCTAATGCCACCTACACTGTTGAAGAATTTGCCAGGGCGATGCAACATGGGTGTGGAGTGGTAATGGCATCGCAGGATGGGCGAGCGACTGAACAAAAGAAAATGGGGTCTGCGACAGGAAGTGTTATGGAAATGAAAAGCTCTGTATGTAGCCTACCATATATAGCAATTTCCCTGGCACTTTAGTTGTTCCCTGCAGAACAGGTTCCAGCTTTTGTTCAACCGAAGTAGTTTTGCAGATGGTGTATTCCGCATGCGTAGGGTGTTGCAAATGTTACGTGACATCATATTTATTGCCTGTACGCGCATAAGTTCTACGTAGGGTATGCAGGCTTGAGCTTGGCCATTGCCATGGCTAGCAGACATTCAGACGGGCGACCGATGGGAATCCGCGGTAGCAAAGCAGAAAGGATTCCGGTATCTTGTTACCGTCGAAAAGACGACGGTAAGGGCAGCCCATACAAAGAACAGGCTGACGACAAGAAATCGTTGTTGACCAGCCGTAGGTTGGGACCGCCCCAGGTACGCAAATAGGTTTAACAATTTGCCGTCACCTATCAAACTAGCGAACGTTTTTGCTGTCTTTGCAGCGGGTCTATTCGCCGACACCCTTTGCGAAAACAACAGCCTCGGCCGGACCACAACGCGTTATCGACCCACAACGCACTCCTGCCTGCAAGGTATGACGATGTAAAATACGGGCAATAAATGTCGTATGCGATTAAGCTTACTCTGCTCATGACTGGTGGCCATGTACGCTGTCACAATGCAGGCTTTGAGGCCCGCGCTTCGAGTACCAACAGACGCTGCAAACAAGGATGCACCTCCTTATGGTCATTCTTCAGGTAAATTGATTTGGGTTAGGCTACTATCTTGCCAAGACGGAAAAGTGCTCCACCATGTCACCTGATGTCACTGTATACCTGCACAACATGGGAGGCCTTCTCAGTCAACCCAAACCCCTACCCCACGCAGGTGTGCCTAGGTCGCCATGGAAGATCAGCAGTAAGGTGCCAGCAACACCCACATTCTCTGCCAGGTAGGTGCAGTTAAACACAACGCCAGGAGAACCCAGGACTTCGCTACTGTGTAGTTTGCGCGGCAATGCAACAAAGTTCTACCTGGATACTACCGGTACCAGCACCAATCTGTCTTGCGCCTCCTCCGTTCCGTTGGTTGTTAGCTTGTTGTTACAGTACCGCAACCGTCTACCGCACCTCCCTTTTCTGCTCCCAGGAGGGATGTGGCAAGCCTGAATCAAGGGCCGCAGTCGCTGACAGCCGGTCCCAGCCCTTCCGTAGCACGGCGGCTGGCCGTTGATCCGTACGACGGGCAGTCCTCGTCCTCAACTATAAAGAAGGCGGCAAGACCGTCGGCACTATCGTACAAGTACGGCAACCACTTTAGTGGCAGCACAAGCACCGACAGTACGGCCCCGTACGAGCCCTGGGCGGACAGAGCCAAGCCAACACCCTCCGCCAACACAGCGATTCCCCGCTACACTGGTGGTGCCGGCGAGCGACCTGCTGACCCCCGGGTCATCAACACCCACATGGCCAACATCGCCACTACACGCGGTGCCAGCACCAGCATCAGTGCTTGTAACGCGACCCCCGTTCCCCGCCGCCAGGCCCCCACCACGCCCCTGACATCCGCGACCTCCAACCAACACGAGCCGTCTACCGTCACACCGACCGCCCTCAGCACAGCGCTTGAGACGCCAAGTCACAACGCTAGCCTGGGTTGCGGACCCCGAGCTAGTACTGGCGCTTGCATTGGTGTTGGTGGTGCCGATGTGGCTGCTGCTGCCGATGGCAGGAAGCCGGATCAGAGCCTGTCGCAGAGCTTCCCTACGACGGGCAGCAATGTCGACGGCAGCCGCAGCGCGGGAGCCGCAGCTGGGGACTGTACGGCAGCCGGCGCCGGCGGCGGCAGTACGACAGCGGCGCTGTACCGCGCCTTCCCTACTGGGAGCAGCAGCTATGGTGGGGCTGCTGGGGCTTCAAAGGCTGCAGCCGAGCAGCGCCACAGCGGCGGTGGCAGCATCAGCAGTTTCAGGGGGAGCGACAACGCAGCCGCTGCCCTCGCTAGGCATGCCGCTAGCGCTGGTGTTGGTTGCAGTCCGGACCACGGGGCGTACGAGAGCACGCCCCTGCCTAGTGGCGGCAGCGCTAGCAGCAGCGGTGATGGCGAAGGCCGGTGTGGTCCCTCTGCTCGTCCTCTACACAGCAGCCCGCGGCAGCTCGCAACAATGACGCCGGCAGCCGTAGCTGCTGAGACAACTGCTATTGCTTCAGCCGCCGCTGCTGCCGCTACTCCCAGTGCGGCCAGGGCGGCGGGGCTGGGGTCTACAGCGGTGGCCGCTGCGGCTGCCGCTGATGCCGTTACGCCGGTGCGGAAAGCGCAGCGGATTTACGACCCGCATGCGGCGGCGCTGCCCCCAACCCCCAAGGCGGAGACCCCGGCGGTGCAGCCCATGGGCAGCGTAGAGGTCTTCAGGTGGGGTGTTGGGATTCGGGAGGTGGAGGGGTGCCATGCAGGAAGTGAGGGGGTCACAGGAAGGGGTTACAGAAGGGGTCAAAGGTGACCAATCCAATGCTGCACAGGACTAGATAGGCACCAGGCCACGTTGTCTAGATTAGCTCAGGACCCATCACCGTGCCACGGATGTACGAGTAGTCATGCATCGAGCGCATGTGTTTCGTTATGCACTGTTGTTCGCCGAACGCTGCTAAGTCCCGCTAAGATCTACTTTCCCCCAACCCGTGCTTCACCGCTGGTAGCGCTGTGAGGGCGAGCCGTGCCGTTAAGGAGAAGCTAGGCAGCGACGTGGTAAGGGCGGGGGCTGCAGTGGTGAAGCAGCATTTTGACGGCGGCATAAGGGCTTGTTGGCATGTTGTAGCGCTGCGGCAGCGTGCCGTAGGCCTTGCTAACTGGGGTTTGCTACTGCCGGTTGCGCTTTTTGCTGACAGCGTGACCTCCGCTCCATGCTTTAGGGTTTGTCATGTTCTTCTCATGGGCACTAATGCCTGTCTGCCCGCTGTTTGCGCGAAACGTGTTTCGCAGGTGCTGACTCCGGTTCGGCGGTCGGCGAGGAAGAACGGCGCTGCTCCCGCAACGCCCGTCGCGGTCCTTCTAGAGGTATGGAAGGATGCAAAGTATCGGATTGAGTGCAATAGCTACTGTGCAGAGGCAATTTATTGATTAGGGCCTGCCGAGCAATGCTACAATGCTAGCATCGTGAAAACTGGAGTGACCGCCATGGTGTGTGTAATATTTGCAGGCAACAAACTTCGCCTATGCCCCGAACATGTACTTGGCGCGCAACTGAGTCGCTGTTTCCTGAATGTACGACGGAATCGAACGGTGGTGGAGTATCGTTCCTCGCCCACGCCCTTTGTACTAGCGCGGCTTTAATCGTCTTTGACAAGACTCAGTGCAGAAGATCGCACTTGTAACGAACGTCTGCTTCCTTCGCACCGTGACATCTAACTCAATCCTTGCAACACCCCGACTTCGAAAAGCTTGCCAGTTGAAATAGGCTTTAGTAAAAGGCGTACATATAAAACAGGCACGAAACGCGTTGCGCGCTTCCGAGCACTGGGGCCTGTCATCCGGCCATGTTACTTAAAGGGCGGACCGTCATCTTGCCACAGCGCCGGACCCTTGGAACATGTGTACTGGCTCCAAAACGGCACAGGGTGGGTGATCTGCTTGTCAGCCAGAGGTGTTCACTTCGGGGTTTTGACGCCAAAGGTCGCTCTACCAGTCCTGCACTCACCGTTAATATGGGATCAGAATGCCGATAGCATTGCTGTTACAATGCAACGGTCGACCTGAATATTAAAGAACACAACCCCGATGGGCGCCGATGCATTTGCCCTGCTTGCTTCTCGACACCCTAGCAGGCGCTTCCCAAAGGCCGAACCACGTCTGGAGCTGTGGTCCTAGCCACTGCTGCACCCACACTTGCTGATGTTCCGGGCATCCCTACAACTCACGATGCCAATGTGCACGGCACCAGCGGCGCAGTGACAGTTGAAAAGCCCGGCTTGAAGCGCGCAACGGACCCTCGATCCATCATATTCGTAACTTCAGAGGTACGCAAAGTCTGTGCCATCTGTACCTGGCCATCGCCTTGTCGCTCCAACCCTTGCTGCCTATCGCTCTGGCCTGCAGCCTACACTCCACCCCCATTCCCACCCGTCACCTTTCTTGCTCCACTCCTCGTCACTTCCTACACCTGCCAAAACCCTCCACCTCGTTCCATCTGCACAACTCAACGACCACCCAACCATCGGGTCACAACCCCACCACGTCTGCATCCCATCCCATCCCATCTAGCATCATCCCCCCCTCGCCCGCCACCCCTCAGGTAGCCCCCTGGTCCAAGACGGGTGGTCTGGCGGACGTGTTGGGCTCGCTGCCCTTCGCCCTGGCGCAGCGGGGGCACCGGGTCATGGTGGTGGCGCCCAGGTGGGGTGGGGGTGGGAAAAATTATATAAAAGTGAAACAACAAATCCCAATCCCATATCCCGACTCATGCAGTGAGCGCATTCGGAAGCACTAATAACACGCATCTCAAATTACTTACCGAATCCGGTGGGGGTGGGGGGACAAGGGAGGCAGGGCGGTGGGAGGAGGAGGATGGTGGGAGGAGGACGGTGGGAGGGGAGCCGCTCCGTGGCGAGGGTGGCAGAGGTCTGACGCGCCTACCCTCCTTATCCACGACACCCCTTTACATCTTTCTGTTCCCGCCCTCCCAACCCAGGTACGTCCCCTACGAGGGGGTGGAGGACACTGGGGTGCGTGTCCAGCTGCTGGGGCATGCGGAGGTGAGGGGGGATGGAAGATTCATGTTTGACGCCTGTTAAGTGATCGACGGTATAGTTCTGAGGTCCCCCGTCCATGACAACGCCTTATCACTCGTCAGGTCAGTTGGTTGTTTCCTCTTTACTCGACCCCCCCCCCCTCCTTCCCTTTCCTCCCCGTTCACCACACTTTGGAATTTCGTTTTTCCTCCCCTTTCAGGTGGGCTACTTCCATGCCCAGATCCGCGGAGTGGACTTTGTGTTCGTGGACCACCCCTCCTACCCGCGACCCGGGGGGCTGTACGCGGACGCGCATGGGGTGTACGGCGATAACCAGGTGCGCGGTACGGCAGTGCGCGGTACGGCAGTGCGCTGTACGGCAGTGCGCTGTACGGCAGTGCAGTACGGCAGTGCAGTACGGCAGTGCGGGTGTGTTGCAGCACTTGTTCTGCATGCGGGGGCGTTGAGCTGTGCATGGATGCATGCTGCTACAGCTGCGACCTGCTAACGACGCGGTTCACCCCCTCCCCTCTTTTTCCCCTCTTGCTCTTCCCCTTCGCCCCCTTCCTTTCCCCCCCTCCCTCAGTTCCGTTTCCAGCTGCTCTGCCTGGCGGCCCTGGAGGCGCCCTTCTTCCTGGACCTGCCTGTGCCCCCGCAGCAGCTGCCGGCAGGACAGCAGACACCGCTGGACCCCACACCGGTAGCACCAGCAGCAGCACCAGGAGCAGCAGGGGCTGAGCAGCAGCAAGGGGACGGCGATGTGCCCCATGTGTACCCCACCTCCTCCAGCAGCGGAGGGGAAGCTGCCGCAGGTGCCGCTGCTACGAACGGAGCGTCCTCCTCCTCTTCCAACGGAGCTAAGAGCCACAACAGCGGGGAGCCTCTGCACGCCCAGCACACCAACGGGACCTCCTCTTTACCCGCATCATCCTCAAACTCCCCCTCCTCCTCAGCTCCATCCACCTCCTCCTCCTCCTCCTCCCCCGCTGCCCCCAGCCCGCCGCCTCCCCGCACCAAGTACGGCCAAGACGTCATGTTCATCGCCAACGACTGGCACGCAGCCCTCGTCCCCGTCTACCTCGCAGCCAAGTACCGCCCGCATGGGGTGTACGGCAGCGCCCGGTGCGTGCTCGCCATACACAATCTGCGGCACCAGGGGGTGTTTTCCCCGGCCTCCTTCGCGACGCTTGGTCTTCCCGACCAGTGGTATGGGTGCCTGGAGTGGCAGTACCCGCCGCACCAGCGGCAGGGGAGCTGGGCGGAGGAGGGGCGCAGCGTGAACCACTTGAAGGTGGGGGGAGGGATGAGGGGGATGGGGGAAAATTATAGGTAAGTGCAACAACGGAGTCGCAATCCCGAATCCCGACACATGCATGAGGGGGATGGGGGGATGGGAAGGGGTGGGAGTTAGGTGGATAGGAAAGAGAAGAAGTGAAGCACTGGAGGGAGGTGGGAGCCTGGGCTGGTCTAACCAGCGCAGACCGCACCGTCACCGTAACTCCCTGTCTCCCTGTCTTGGCCACTCTTCCCACCCCCTTCATCCTCCCCCTCCATCCCTCCCTCTCCCTCCAGGCCGGCCTCACCACGGCCGACCGCATCGTCACCGTGTCGGCGGGCTACGCGGAGGAGATCAAGACGTGGCTGGGCGGCTGGGGCATGGAGGGCATCCTGGCGGCGCGGGCGCCCGTGCTGAACGGAGTGGTGAACGGCATTGACACGGAGTGAGCGAGAAGGGGGGGGAGGGGCGGGGGCGGGGGATAAGTGATAAGTGCAGCAACGGAATCCCAATCACAAATCCCGAGTCCTGCAGTGCGCGTGTTCGGAGTTACTCAGGGGGTGGTGGGTGGTGCAGGGGGTGGTGGGGAGGAGCGTTTGGAATAGAACGTGGCACGTGGGCCTCCACCACTCACCCCGCCGCTGTAAACCACTCCCACCTCCTGCTGTCCCTCGCTGCCGCTGTGCCCCCCTGTCCCCACCTCCCTCGCTGCCGCTGTGCCCCCCTGTCCCCACCTCCCTCGCTGCCGCTGTGCCCCCCTGTCCCCACCTCCCTCGCTGCCGCTGTGCCCCCCTGTCCCCACCTCCCTCGCTGCCGCTGTGCCCCCCTGTCCCCACCTCCCTCGCTGCCGCTGTGCCCCCCTGTCCCCACCTCCCTCGCTGCCGCTGTGCCCCCCTGTCCCCACCTCCCTCGCTGCCGCTGTGCCCCCCTGTCCCCACCTCCCTCGCTGCCGCTGTGCCCCCCTGTCCCCACCTCCCTCGCTGCCGCTGTGCCCCCCTGTCCCCACCTCCCTCGCTGCCGCTGTGCCCCCCTGTCCCCACCTCCCTCGCTGCCGCTGTGCCCCCCTGTCCCCACCTCCCTCGCTGCCGCTGTGCCCCCCTGTCCCCACCTCCCTCGCTGCCGCTGTGCCCCCCTGTCCCCACCTCCCTCGCTGCCGCTGTGCCCCCCTGTCCCCACCTCCCTCGCTGCCGCTGTGCCCCCCTGTCCCCACCTCCCTCGCTGCCGCTGTGCCCCCCTGTCCCCACCTCCCTCGCTGCCGCTGTGCCCCCCTGTCCCCACCTCCCTCGCTGCCGCTGTGCCCCCCTGTCCCCACCTCCCTCGCTGCCGCTGTGCCCCCCTGTCCCCACCTCCCTCGCTGCCGCTGTGCCCCCCTGTCCCCACCTCCCTCGCTGCCGCTGTGCCCCCCTGTCCCCACCTCCCTCGCTGCCGCTGTGCCCCCCTGTCCCCACCTCCCTCGCTGCCGCTGTGCCCCCCTGTCCCCACCTCCCTCGCTGCCGCTGTGCCCCCCTGTCCCCACCTCCCTCGCTGCCGCTGTGCCCCCCTGTCCCCACCTCCCTCGCTGCCGCTGTGCCCCCCTGTCCCCACCTCCCTCGCTGCCGCTGTGCCCCCCTGTCCCCACCTCCCTCGCTGCCGCTGTGCCCCCCTGTCCCCACCTCCCTCGCTGCCGCTGTGCCCCCCTGTCCCCACCTCCCTCGCTGCCGCTGTGCCCCCCTGTCCCCACCTCCCTCGCTGCCGCTGTGCCCCCCTGTCCCCACCTCCCTCGCTGCCGCTGTGCCCCCCTGTCCCCACCTCCCTCGCTGCCGCTGTGCCCCCCTGTCCCCACCTCCCTCGCTGCCGCTGTGCCCCCCTGTCCCCACCTCCCTCGCTGCCGCTGTGCCCCCCTGTCCCCACCTCCCTCGCTGCCGCTGTGCCCCCCTGTCCCCACCTCCCTCGCTGCCGCTGTGCCCCCCTGTCCCCACCTCCCTCGCTGCCGCTGTGCCCCCCTGTCCCCACCTCCCTCGCTGCCGCTGTGCCCCCCTGTCCCCACCTCCCTCGCTGCCGCTGTGCCCCCCTGTCCCCACCTCCCTCGCTGCCGCTGTGCCCCCCTGTCCCCACCTCCCTCGCTGCCGCTGTGCCCCCCTGTCCCCACCTCCCTCGCTGCCGCTGTGCCCCCCTGTCCCCACCTCCCTCGCTGCCGCTGTGCCCCCCTGTCCCCACCTCCCTCGCTGCCGCTGTGCCCCCCTGTCCCCACCTCCCTCGCTGCCGCTGTGCCCCCCTGTCCCCACCTCCCTCGCTGCCGCTGTGCCCCCCTGTCCCCACCTCCCTCGCTGCCGCTGTGCCCCCCTGTCCCCACCTCCCTCGCTGCCGCTGTGCCCCCCTGTCCCCACCTCCCTCGCTGCCGCTGTGCCCCCCTGTCCCCACCTCCCTCGCTGCCGCTGTGCCCCCCTGTCCCCACCTCCCTCGCTGCCGCTGTGCCCCCCTGTCCCCACCTCCCTCGCTGCCGCTGTGCCCCCCTGTCCCCACCTCCCTCGCTGCCGCTGTGCCCCCCTGTCCCCACCTCCCTCGCTGCCGCTGTGCCCCCCTGTCCCCACCTCCCTCGCTGCCGCTGTGCCCCCCTGTCCCCACCTCCCTCGCTGCCGCTGTGCCCCCCTGTCCCCACCTCCCTCGCTGCCGCTGTGCCCCCCTGTCCCCACCTCCCTCGCTGCCGCTGTGCCCCCCTGTCCCCACCTCCCTCGCTGCCGCTGTGCCCCCCTGTCCCCACCTCCCTCGCTGCCGCTGTGCCCCCCTGTCCCCACCTCCCTCGCTGCCGCTGTGCCCCCCTGTCCCCACCTCCCTCGCTGCCGCTGTGCCCCCCTGTCCCCACCTCCCTCGCTGCCGCTGTGCCCCCCTGTCCCCACCTCCCTCGCTGCCGCTGTGCCCCCCTGTCCCCACCTCCCTCGCTGCCGCTGTGCCCCCCTGTCCCCACCTCCCTCGCTGCCGCTGTGCCCCCCTGTCCCCACCTCCCTCGCTGCCGCTGTGCCCCCCTGTCCCCACCTCCCTCGCTGCCGCTGTGCCCCCCTGTCCCCACCTCCCTCGCTGCCGCTGTGCCCCCCTGTCCCCACCTCCCTCGCTGCCGCTGTGCCCCCCTGTCCCCACCTCCCTCGCTGCCGCTGTGCCCCCCTGTCCCCACCTCCCTCGCTGCCGCTGTGCCCCCCTGTCCCCACCTCCCTCGCTGCCGCTGTGCCCCCCTGTCCCCACCTCCCTCGCTGCCGCTGTGCCCCCCTGTCCCCACCTCCCTCGCTGCCGCTGTGCCCCCCTGTCCCCACCTCCCTCGCTGCCGCTGTGCCCCCCTGTCCCCACCTCCCTCGCTGCCGCTGTGCCCCCCTGTCCCCACCTCCCTCGCTGCCGCTGTGCCCCCCTGTCCCCACCTCCCTCGCTGCCGCTGTGCCCCCCTGTCCCCACCTCCCTCGCTGCCGCTGTGCCCCCCTGTCCCCACCTCCCTCGCTGCCGCTGTGCCCCCCTGTCCCCACCTCCCTCGCTGCCGCTGTGCCCCCCTGTCCCCACCTCCCTCGCTGCCGCTGTGCCCCCCTGTCCCCACCTCCCTCGCTGTTTCTCCCCCCCTGTTCCCCCCCGATGTCAGCGAGTGGAACCCCGCCACCGACCCCCACCTGCCGTACAACTACGACACCACCAACTTCGTGGAGGGGAAGGCGAGGTGTAAGATGGAGCTGCAGGTGGGGGGGAGCGGGGGTGGTGGGGTTAATGCGAGCAGTAAACATGCGTTAAGAAAACTGGCCGCGAATGTGTGTGTGTGTGTGTCAAACAAGTGCCTCCAGTTACCCTTCTCCTTGTCTCGACCCCCGCTACCTTGCACCATAATCCTCGAACTACACGTCCCCCACCCTCCTCTCACTTTGGGAATGTTTCTTTCCCCCCTCTCACCCTTCCCCTTCCTTTCCCCCTCCTCCCCCCAGCGCGAGTTGGGTTTGCCGGTGTCTGAGCACACCCCGCTGGTTGCCTTCATCGGGCGGCTGGACCCGCAGAAGGGGGCGGACATCCTGCTAGCGGCGGCGGAGCAGCTGCTCAGGCAGCAGGACGTGCAGGTGGGTGGGTGGGTGGGGGGCTGGGAGGGGGGAAGTGGGAAGAAGGTGGAGAGGGGAGGGGGGTTGGAGCCCTTGCTCCCATGCTTAGACGCGCTTTGTATTCTTTCTTCACCCGTCCTTCTCTCTCCGACCCCCCCCCCGCTTCCCCCCCCCCTGCAGCTGGTGTGTCTGGGCTCCGGCACCCCCGACCTGGAGGCAGGTCTGCGCTGGCTGGAGGGGGAGTTCCGGGACCGGGCGCGCGGGTGGGTGGGCTTCAACGTGCCCTTCTCGCACCGCCTGACAGCGGCAGCGGACATCCTGCTGATGCCCTCGCGCTTCGAGCCGTGCGGGCTGAACCAGTTGTATGCCATGAGGTGAGGGGGGTGGAGGGAGGGGAGGAGGTAGGTAGGTAGGGGGGGGGGGGCATTAGGTAAACTGAGCCGCAAGGGAACACTGACCGTGACCATATGGGCAGACCCGTATGTGCGTAGGGAGGGGTGCGTAGGGAGAGGGGCAGCGGTTGTGAGAGTGTAATTGGGTGGGAAGACTGGCGACAGAGGGATGAAGAAAAAGAGGCGTGGGCGGCTCATGCACGTGTTTCTCCTCGCCTGCCCGCCTCACCTACCCGCCCTGCTCCTCCGCCCTGCCCCCCCCCCCCCCCACCCATCCCCCCCCTCCGCAGGTACGGCACGGTCCCCGTGGCGCACAAGACGGGCGGGCTGCGAGACACGGTGTTGGACTTCGACCCCTGGAGCCAGTCGGGCACTGGGTGGACATACACCAGCTGCGACCCGCAGGTGGGGGGGAGGGGAGGGGAGGGGATTAGATAAACTGCGCCGCGAAAACACTGACCCTGACCGTAATTTATGGGAGGGAAAAGGGAGGAGGGGAGGAGAGGGTCAGTCTTCGATGCCATTGCTTTGACCTGTGTTTTGTGTACATCTGTGACCCCGCTCCCCCCCCCCCCGCTCCCCACAGGGCCTGCTTCACGCCACGGGTCTGGCGCTGCTGACCTACCGCAACCACCGGGAGGACTTCCGGAAGCTGCAGGTGGGGAGGGTGGAGGGAGAGGGAGAGGGAGGGAGGGAGGCGCAGGGGATCCAGGGGTAGGAGGAATAGTGTGGGATAGTGTAGAAGGGTGGTTGGAGGTGCATGGGTGGGGTCGGCGGGTTAACGGCTGGTGGATTTGGCTAGTCAGCCTGGTTGGTTAGTGTCCTCTTCACCTCTTCCCCCTCCCTTCCTCCTCCCTGCTCTCCCCTGTACCCTCCCTCCCCAATGTTTTGCCCCAACCTGTGGTTCCTTACGGCTCCATGGTCTCTCTGTAACCCCTGCTCCCTGCTTCTGCCTCACCTAGTTTACCACTGTCACACAACACATTGGATATTCGTCTCCTCCCCCCCCTCATGCGCAGCTCCGCGGCATGCAGCGGGAGGCCTCCTGGGACCAGGCGGCGCAGCAGTACGAGCAGATCATCAGCTGGGCACTCGTCGACCCGCCGTATTGCCAATAGTGGGAGTAGTGGTGGTAGCAGAGGTGGTGGTGGTGGTGGTGGTGGTGGTGGTGGTGGTGGTGGTGGTGGTGGTGGTGGTGGGTAGTCGGGGTGTGGGGATTCGAAGAAGAAATACAGGAGAGCAAAAGAAGAGTTAGGCATGGTGGTGGTGGTCGAAGGGTTGGAGAGCAAAAGAAGAATTAGGCATGGTGGTGGTGGTCGAAGGGTTTGCGTGTTGGATGGGTGTTGAGAAACGGTAGCAAAGCAGACAGTAAGGTCTTCTGCTTGCTTGCTTGCATACTTGTTGTCGCTGCAGATGTTACCTAGCGGGTCCGTGAGTGTGCCGTACTTCGCAGTGAAAACGTACGGTGCACGTGTACGAAGATGAAGATGAATATGATTTCCCCAGTGAAGAATGCCTGCAGTGTGCTGCAGATCCTCTGGTTTTGTACAATTTGGATCCTGATTTGGATGTGTACTAATACTATGTGATGACGAGGACTGCAGTACGGCCCATGGGTCGTTTCCTAAACGACTGGCGCTGTGGTCTTTCCTGGTGTGACCTCCTATACCTCAAAACCGACGCAGGACAAGGGACAAATAGGTGCAACGTGGTCCGGTACAGGTATCTAAAGGAGGGTGTGGTTTTGGGAGGGTGGCAGACGTGTCTTGCGACCTGGCAGTAATCTACGTGGGTATGTATGACTAGGCGACCCGGCGGACCCCTGGGTCGCCATCAAGGCAGTTTCGCCTACCTGCGGGACTTTGCGCTTTGGGGTGGTATACGGATCGTGGGTGTTGGTGGCAGTGGTGCGAGGGATGGGGTCAGATCGTCAGGCAAAAGACGTGTTTACATGTTCCCTTTGCCTTGCAATTGTTATGCTGGCTGCGCTGTTATTATCGGAGTCTCCAACTACCGCTGTTGCGAGCTCCGTGTGCTCTTGTGTTTCTCTGCTAACCTGCCATATCGCGGGGAAGCTGTTGCCGTGCTGCGCCGTCGTGTGTTGTGGTGCGTGTTTTCATCGTGCGTGGCTTTGCGGTTGCGAGGCGAGGATGCTTGTGTTGGTCCATGTGTGTGTGTGTGTTCGCTGGTCGTCGTACACGCGGCGTGTGCTGTCTTGGTTGGGTATGTCAGGCATATCTGGAAGTGGAGTTCAGCTTAGCAGTTAGCACTGCAAGCCCTAAAGGCGGCAGGCACTGAGGAAACAACGGGAAAACCGCATTCGGTAGAGAGGCTTCATCATGGTGAGGGGGGCAGCGAAGCCGGGAAAGGGGAAAGTCAAGGCAACTTGGGGAAAGCATGTAGCAGGGGAGTCAAGCAGGGGAGCTGCTGGACTGTGGCGTTTTTCAGTGAATCATGAATTGAGGGATGGAGGACGAGGGAGGGAGGGTTAGGGGGGTAGTAAGCGTTGCGGTGCGAGGGTAGCGGTGTGGGTTACCGGTATGAGATGCGGGTGGATGACCGTTCAGATGGTTCCGCCGAGGTATGTTGCGCCACGTGTAAGGTGAAGAATAAACATGTAAGAAAGCAGAAAACACCACCGTAAGCTCCGTACTGCTTGGCTACCGTATAGCTCCATACTGGTGTTTTGGCAGCTGCCGGCATGTCAATTGCTACAGCGGGACCCTTTCTGAAGGCCTTAGGGGCAGAGTACCAGGATCCCCCGCCGGGATCGTGACCGTGCATGGGGTTCTCTCGGCAGGTACAGGTAACCGAACCACCATGACGGTCATGCAACATGCATTCAGCTCGCTGGCATAGGCTGCTTGCTTCGCATGCGGTTCCGAAAGCTTGAACTGCCGAAACCGCGGCTCGATGTCGCCTCGAAAGGACAAGATAGTTATCGGTGTCGAACCATTTTGGCGAGTGCGCTCTGGGAGTGATGTTATAGGAGGTGCAGCCAAGCAGCATTTTAGCCACGTGCATACTTTAACAGCTCTTGCAATGCGCTAGGCGCATCAAATGCTGACTCTAGCCCGATGCTTCAGCGCTTCAGATCGCTTTAAAATGCTTCTTTTCCTGGTTTACTCGAACGCGACTCTTGTCCTTGCTAAGGTCCTTGCCTTACCGACTTTAAACCGCCACACATGCTTCCATGTTTCTTGCTTAACCGCATCCAGCCTTACTGCGGCAAACAAGCATAAGATCCAAAGCCGTAGCGGTTGCAACCGTTGGCGCCTTCGGAACCCGTTCGACTGCTGTACTACGAGTCGAACGCTTCGATTCGACGGGCACCACCGGCGAGGAGTCCAGACCAGACTGACAAGGCAGCGATTAACCTATTTTGTTGTTTTATTCTTGACCGCAAGGCTGCCTGCGACTGCCATTCCTTTAAAAGCCAGCTTCGTAGTAAAGCTGAAGGTAGTCAAAGTCGCTCGCCTAGTTGGTTATACCCGCGAACGCCCGAAGGCACCGCCATATCCAACAGCAACAACAGCAGCAAGTCAGTATAATAACTCACCCACAAACGTGGGCGACGGCGTTGAGCAAGTCGTGGAGTTTTAATCATCATGTGCACCTCGCGGTCAATTCGGGGGCCGACAGCTGGGCGACGGTCCTTCTCGACGAGGCTGCTCTTGCTAGGGCTGCTTGCAGGCGCTACTCTGCTTCAATCCAAGACAGCAGGCACGTATCGGTACCTTGTCCTTTCGACTCTAGGAGGCCTGCACGTGCGGAATAGGTTGTCCAGACGGCTGCAGCAGGAGCAGTCATGGGTTGCAAAACAGTTAGGAGCGTAGGAGAAGTAGTCTGGAGGGCCCAAGTGACCCACGGGTCACCCAGATGCTAAACCACTTCATTTATTGCCGAACAGCTCTCAATGGCGCATGCCAGGCGAAGTATACCTGTCTATTGTGGACCATGCCTTGATTGCCTAGAAACCCCCCTGCCGGCCCTCTCCCCGCCCTCTCCCCCGCAGAAGCCTCCTCTAGAAGACTGCTTAGTCCTTCAGGTTCCTCTCAGCAGAGTAGGGACGATCGGTGCTGTGTGTGGGGGGGGGCATAGAAGAATCTAACCGACAGATGGATGTACAAGAAAGCTTGGGTCCTTAGTAACCTTCAAGCAGGCTATCGATATCTCATTGCACGTGTCCCCAGCCGCAACCACCACATCCTTTACATGCTGGCCCCTCCGCCCAACGCCCTCCGCTCCCATCCTTGCTTCTGGAACGCAGATGGCGGGGCTGGCGTGCACGTTGAGGCGCCCGGGGTCAATGTAGCCGTGGATGGCGGGAAGAACAAGGGCAAGAGCGGGTCGCCGGATCCGAAGGTGTGACCCATGGGTCGCCGTGGGTTGTTTAGGGCCAGGAATGGGGCGCAGGGTTTGCTGTAGACGCATGCAGGAAGCAACGACGGATGTGCATTGCACGAGCAGTTCCTGGGGGGGTTTAGGAGAGGAATGCGCGCATGCGTTCAAGCTAACCCTGCTGTTAATGCTGCTGCTGCTGCTTTCACGTGCCCCGCCCCGCAGACGTCGTCAGGAGTAAGCGTTGATGTGGACAACACCTCCGGCAGGTGGGTGCGCCCTGGGAACATGTCCTATGCTGCGTGTTTTAGGGATGGTGGTTGCAGTCGGCGAACTGCTAGCGGGGATGCATGCATGCTTTGCTCATGGGGCGTCAAGCTGACGGCTGCTGACGGCTGGCTGGCTTGCTAGCTGGCTGCACCGTGCTAGGACTAGCTATTATAATAAGGCTATAGAAATGGAACTCACGGCAAAGGTATTCACCGAATGCTGCATGCCGCATGCATGGTATACTTACGTTTAAACCGCACGCGTCTACGAACCAGGGATACCCGCACGCATGTCTTAGCGCACCATGTCCATCTCCAATCGAGCCCGTCTGCCCTCGTCTGCAACTCTCTCGCTCACCGCTTTCCTAACCTACGTTTCCTCCGCCCTTACGTCCCCATATTCCACCCTCTTTCTGCCGTTCCCGTCGCAGCGGCTGTGTGGTAGTGCCGGGCGTGGGGAAAATCGGATGGCTCGGGGGGTGCCGCCGCCATCTACTACAGATGTACGACAGCAGCAGCAGCAGCGGTTCCGCATCTGCCGTACCCTCGTCATCCTCATCCTCATCCTTGCCAGTCAGGCGGCTGTTGCGGTTGACCGTAGGAAGCAGCAGCGTGCAGAGACTCTGAAGGCGTGGCAGGAGCAGCAGCAGGATAAATGAACGACCGTTACAATGGTTCCCTAAAAGCGGGATGGCACGGCCGGGCCGGGACCGCTGGCAGTGAGGTGGGTGAGTGCGGCAGGGCCGAGGGTATCCAAGGAATGTGCCTAACGCATAGCGAGCTTGCATAGAGCGTGGTATGTTGGTGGCTTTGTCCGTGGTTACGTCCAGTTTGTTTGGAATGGAATGCTGACCTTGTAAGGTATAATACCCGTGCGTTGCCCTTCGTGAAGGTATAATGGCTTGAGGGTGAGGTGCTGTGTGCAGTGGTGATGCTGGTGATGGCGGTGATGCTGGTGATGGCGGTGGTGGTGGGGGTGGTGGTGGTGGTGATGGCGGTGGTGGTGGTGGTGGTGGTGGTGGTGGTGGTGGTGATGCTGGTGATGGCGGTGATGGTGGTGGTGGTGGTGGTGGTGGTGGTGGTGGTGATGCTGGTGATGGCGGTGATGGTGGTGGTGATGATGGTGGTGGTGGTGGTGGTGGTGATGCTGGTGATGGCGGTGGTGGTGGGGGTGGGGGTGGGGGTCATAGTACATGGGAGGGAGGCGAATGAGGAGCGTTTCGTCCGACATGGGGCTTCCCATTGGAGTGTGCACTCCTTAGAACTGCTATCACAGCTCTCGCGACTTAACTCACCGTTGCACGCCGCTAGTTGCTAGAACTGAAAAGCGATAGGAGTAAGAACTTGAGAAGTGCGGAGTTCGTCTTAGCACCTGGGCTTTCCATTGCACACATTGCATATGGTGCATACACGGGTATACTGTGGTAAGGGGGGAGACATTGTATGGTTACCCGTACTGTACAACGTAACCTGGGTTGCCACATCCTCTTATTATCTCTTGCGGTATGTCGCTGGTGCTTTTGTTCGTTAGGATTCTGGCGAAGGGAGTGTAAGCACGAATGAAGAATGAAGTGAGCAACGCGCATAGCTGAGGATGGCTGTTTAATTGTAGCCATGAAACGTAGGATGGGAAGGGAGGTAGGTTTACACGCTTTGACACGTTGACACAGCGGGAGTCCGGTGGTTACGGTACTCATCATGGAGATGGCCTGCTCATGCCTTAAACGCTCTGACATCAGCAGCGCAAAAGAGTACATGTAACTGTTGCGGTCGATGGAAGGTACCCGTCCTTGCCGTACATGCGCAGCAAAAGTACGTTGCTGATGGCTACTCTACCTGCTACCGTATTACAAATGCCTGGCCGATTGCCCCGTTGATGACGGCGCCTTCCGAGCCGCGTTTTTCAGGGTAGGACATGAAGTGTTGTTCGCCAGCCATAATCCAACAGCGTACTGGTACTCGGGGCGGGAGGTGGGGAGTGATTTTGGGTGCTTAACAGTGCGTGCCCCTGGAGCAAACTGCTGTACCCATGCGCTTTGTGTGCAGGACGCCGGTGTCCACAACATCCAGTACGGCGGGTCAGCCGCTTACATCAGCCATGACGTGCCCATCACGGCCAACGGCATAGCGGTTTCGGAGTTGCTTGCGGTGGGGGTGGGGGTGGGGGTGCGCGGGGTCCGAGGTCCCATGCCGCTTCGTCGCCCCCTGCCAGCATGCGGAACAGCATGCGGAATGCCAGACGTGCGCACCGCACCATGGAAAAGAAAGGCATGCAGGGATTGACAATTAGCAATGTTCTAAGCACTCCTGCCGGAGCGGGAAGGGCTGCGGTGGGCTTATGCTATAGCTGGGTGCAGCCTCGCAGCTCGCCTACACGCGCCTAACAGGTGAGCGGCACCTTTATTAAGTAACTAGGTAACTGCGCAACGCGTGCGATAGCCTGTCGTAGCCGGACGTTTGAGACATGACATTAACCCTTGTAGCTTAATGGCGTGTTTACTAGGAGCGCGAAGCTTGCAGTTGTGCAGTGAGGCATGCCAGCGCATGCATGTACTTTACATGACCTTGCGCGACAAGCGCTCTTTGAATAGAAGTTTGTTAAAGCGTCAACAGGTACTCAACCTACATCCTCCGTGCGAAAATCGAATGTTGATGCCTCCTTCTATATGCTTGCACAAGGCCAACCATCGCCGTAAGCGAACGTCTTCGGTCCTTCCGTTTTATGTATGCGCCCAGCGAGCAGCATCATAGTAAAGACGATGAGCTTCTGGACAGCAGGTTTGCCATTTCACAATTACCAATCGGACATACTCCAACTGTAACTGCATGTCGCGTCTTTGCATGGCAGCGAACTCTAGAGCTTCTTCCTTGCTACCAAAGACATATCGAAGGTATAGCCTACTGCATCATACTTATGTTGACAGGGTGTTGCCCTCGCCTGACGTTTTAACGCCGTTCTTTATTTCTATCTGGCTGGTCAGGTCTGCCAGGCCTAGACGCTACCGAATACAATTGAAACGATATGACATTAGTAGTATATATGAACCCCAAGGTAATGAAGGAAGGGACTTGCCGCACCTGAGGCGCAGCCCAGTGGAAGTGAGATAGCTGTGGGCGCTAGTTCACGGACGCCAGGTATGAGGTGCTGTAGGGGTATGGTTGCTAAACATTTACGCTATTAGCAGCGTAGAAGCCGCGAGCTGGCCGTGGTTTCGAGTTTTACTGCCCAACTAAAGAAGATGGGTGCAAAGAACGTGCTGTTGGCTTGTTATTCGCAAGTAGGGCATATAGTTTAAGCTTGTTTTGCATTATGATGCACTATAATATCTGAAGTTCGCTGCTTTTCCGGAAGGTCGCCATCCTCTAGCTTAGCATACCTGTCCACTAGTCCTAATTCCCGTAACCCTACCTATCTTTTGCATCAACATCTATATCTTTTATTTCACCTTTTGCGGTGGCGTGACAACTAGGGCTGGACGCAATTTCCAAGGCAACAAAGCTTTCGAAGCTAGGCTACCCTGGCTGCTAAGTTAGCATCCGTGACTGTGGATGCCGTACATACTTTCCATATAGTCTTTCGGCTACATTCGTGGAGGTTCAGAATTGGTTAAACGGCGACAAGTGAACCCGACGTGACATGGAGCTGGCGGGAGCATCTGAGGCCGGGCCTTCAGTAGCCGAAGCTCTACCAGCAAGCGCATCCACAGCCCCTGCAGCAACAACCACGTCCGGCAACACTGTTGCTTGTTCCGATGGCAGCGCCCACAAGAGGGGGCCAGCTGGCGGTGGCTGCTGCGTGCATGTATCTCTGGAGGGCAACGCTGGGGGCCCCTGCCCGGTCCAGCTGCCGCTATCGGAGCTGGACCCCTCAGGGAGCGGCGAGGTGATGGTGGCGGACCTCATCACAGCGGCTATCAAGGAACTCAGGACGAGGTGTGTGTCGTATAAAGCGCGAGGAGTGCACTTGGGGCATGAGCAAGGTGCACTAGAGTAAGGGCTGGCCATGGGAGGCTTGAGCATGGGGCGGATTGCCTGTTACATGACTGCTGCGACTTGCTCATGCTGTCCATTCAATACCTCCCTTGCCACTCGCGCCCCTTTCTCGGCACCTCTTCACGGCAGGTATGGCAAGGTGCGTGCCGGAGCCTCTGTAACCGCGTTCCTGTTGGGCTCCGGAAGCACTCCCAGCATCGATGGTGGAGCAGGAGCCGGGAAAGGAACCGGAGGCGGGGAACGTAGATTGCTGCCCACCTTTGATTGCCTGCCGCACGACATACTAACGGCGGCAACGGCAGCCGGGATAGCTGGCGGCGGCAGCGGCGGCGGCGGCCTGGTGATGGTCGTACTGCAGGGGGTCACGTGCGGAGAAGCCCCCGCTAACGCGGTCGCGGTGGAAGCTGCGGCGGCGTCAGACGCAGCGTTGAAGCTGGTTGAAAAGGCTCCAGCGCTCTCCATCTCCACCGTTCCCCTGCCTGGTTTCACAGACACCGCCGACTCGACGTCCCCCACCGCTGCCCTGGCCGGCGCCTCCACCCCAGCTGCCGTAACCCCCCCTGCTGCCGGCACCCCTCCCACGGCCCCTCGCGTCAGCTTCAACCCAGCCTTCGCCCTCAGCCCTAATAACAGCAACAGCCCCGTCTTCGTTCCCAGCCCCAGCCTCCTGCTCCGAGGTCAAGCCCTGGACGGCGCCAACGGCTCCGTACCCGGCCGTATTATGGGTCAGGGACACAGGAGTGTACGGCTTCGGAACGGCAGCGCTGATTCGGGCGTCGAGACGCTGCTTGTTGAGTCGGCGGCGCCGTCAGTGACGTCTGTGAGGTCCTCTTGGCGAGGGACGAAGCGGCTGCCGCCGCTTCGGACGGCCTCCAGTGGTAACATGGGCACTGAGGGGGCTGGCCTGACGCGCCAACGGAGCGAAAGCTCCATTCCCTCGCTCGGCGGCACCTCCCTGCAGCAACTCACACGCACCCAGAGCTCGAGGCGGATGCGGGGAAGTGATGACTTGGCGTCCTTGGATTCCTTCACCCGCGGAGCCGGCGGTAAGGATGCAGGCACGGGAGCCGCCGCCGCTGCTGCTGCCGGTGCTGCTGTCCCTGCGGGCGGCGGTGGTAAAGGCAGGGGTGCGGAGGAGGAGGGCAGGGGAAAGCGAGCGAGTCGCCTGGGCGGCGGCGCCAGCATCAAGCAGGACCCCGTCATGACGTTGAAGTCGCTGGACAGCGCTCGGGAGGAGGAGGCTGAGGGGGAGGAGGAGGGTGGGGCAGCCGCGCCAGGCCTAGCTTCCGCCGCCGCCACTGCAGCCGCCGCCCGGAGGTCCAACGCCGGAGCGGCGAACGACGGCAGCAACGGCGGAGCGGGGGTGGGCGACGGCGCGGTTGGCAGTGAGGGGCTTGCTGCGAAGAAGAAGGAAGGGCTGTTCGTGCGCAGCGGTACACCGGATGACGAGTACGGCGGTGGCGATGATCGTGATGACGCGGAGGAGGAGGAGGAGGTGTACCTGCCGGCCCCGGGAGCAGGTGGGGTCGCCGGCATGTGTTGTTGTACCGGTACCTGCCATGCTGGCTTAGCTGGTGTAATGGTTGTAGCCGCGGCGTCCTGAATACCCTGGCTCTTTGGAAGTTGGTACCCTCGTGGAATCGTCGGTGGCATGCCTGTCAGTACACGGTTACTAGGAATCCTTGCACTTCAGCCTTCCACGGTTCAGCTCGCTTGCCGCTTCCTCAGTTTCGCACGTCTCATGTCCTTTCTTCCCCCACGCATATCGCCCCCTCAACCCTGTAACCTCCCCCCCCCAGACTGGTGCTCCTTCCTGGGTCCCGACCTGCTGGCCAGCTCCCCTGGGCAGTCCTCAGGCGGCTGCCTGGCCTTCCTGACTGCCTGCTCGCCCGGAACAAAGGTGGGCTGGGAGGGCACCGGTGGTTTGTAGGTGGCCGGAAGGGTTGCGGTAGCCGGGAGGCGGTTGTTGTGTCGGCACGTGCTGTCCTGCCCCCTGTATCGTTATTCCCAGAGGCAATAACAGCAAGAAATAAATTTTGCCTTCTTGAGCTAAATGTGTGTGGCTTGAATTTATCCTCCACTGCTTCTTTCCCTGTAACCCGACCTACCACGTCCGTGCTCTACCCACATCTCTTGGCGGCCTTCCTCCGACTGGTGCTCCCGCAGCTTCGCCAGCAGCAGCAGTGGCGGGAGCGGCTGAAGTCCGCGATGAAGGCACGAGACAAGACGGAGGTCGGCGACTGGTGGGTAACGCCCGCCCGCTATCATCCGCATTTCGACGACCGCACTTGCGGTGCCCATGTTAGGGCACCTTTCTGCTCTTGCATAGTTGGCGCCCGCTCACGCATTCTACTTGCAGCATGCGCTGACATGTCAATGGGGCTCTCGCCCTTGCCGCCGCGGCCGCTGCCGCAACCTTTGCCTTGCACCAAACTGGAGTAAGTGCACCTGCATGGCCGCGGTCCCCGCAGGATTGACTTCCACAAGGGCCGCAACGGCAGCCACAGCCAGGCGGAGCTGGATGCTGCCATGTGGATGGCTTTGGAGAACCGCGCACCAGAGCTCGTTATGCTGCTGTTGCGGGGCGGAGCAAAGCCCAATGCACCGCGGCCGCATGGACCCGCCATCGGGCCGGCGGCGGCGGCAGCGGCAGCAGCCGCCGCCGCCGCTGGCGGCAGCACCAGCGGCAGTATGGGCGGCGGCGGCCGGCGGAGCAGCTTGATGGGGAACAAGACCCGAGTGGCCGCCGTCGCGTCGGCGACGACGGCGGTGGCGTCGGCGACGACGGTGGTATCAGCGGCGGGCGTGTCAGTGGGGCTGGTGCCCTCAGCGGCGGCGCTGGCGGAGGCGGTGGAGGGCCTTACGCCGCTGATGCGTGCAGCGCAGCTCGCGTCGGTGTCCCTGGTAGAAGTTCTGTTGACGGCGGGTGCTGACGCCGCCGCAGCGCAGCCCGGTAACGGCTGGACGGCCCTGCACCATGCCGTGCTGGCGTCGCCGCCGGGGTCCCGCATACGTGCGCGGTTAACATCCGCCAGCGGCGGCGCCGAGGAAGGGGTTTCGGAGTCGACGTCACCTGATGACCGTGGGTTCAAGGGTGAGGAGGACGCTTCCCTGCGTTGCGCGAGGATGCTCCTGCAGCGTTTGGGCAACCAGCGTGCGAGTCAGCTGCGAACGCGGGGACGGTATCAGGACGATTTGCTGCGGTTCGCCGTACGGCACGGCAGGACCGCTGCCGTACGGTTCCTTCTCGTCAACGGTTTCAAACCAACGATGGAGGACGCCCGCAGCAGCGGAGATTCTGCATCCTGCGCTTACCTGGCTGGTCGGCTGGGGGTGACGATTGAGGTTTGGAACCTGCAAGCGCCGGCCGTACCGGGCTCCCGGCAACCCACGTCCTCCTCTTCCGCTGCAAAGGCTGCGCCTAGGCTGCGGGACCCTGACCTGCCTGACTCTTGGCGCCTGAGTGCGGAGGAGCGGCGGTTCTGGACTTGGAGGCGGCAGCTGCTGGTGGGGGCGGCGGCGGCAGGGCGTACGGAGGTGATTGAAACGGTAAGAGTGTATCGTGGTATGTCGAAAACATAGCTGATGAGTAGTTAGAGGGTCCCGGGTGTGTTTTCAGAAAGAGCCAAGGTACTTGACGATCCTCCAGGTGCATGTCAAGTTGAGTAAAAAGAATTAAGAAACCTTTCAATCCCACAATTGGTCTGCTCGGTTGCCGGTTCAGGTCCTCGCCAAGCCGCCGCCGTACGACAAGCTCCGTCGTGACGAGCTGGCTGCAGCGCTGGCGGCCTGCCGTACACCCTCCTCGCCCTCCTCCTCCCAGCTCCGGAACCACCAGCGGCGGCAGGTGGAGGAGCTGCTGCTGCGGCACGCGCACGCCTACATGTCTTGGGAGCGCGAGGTGCTGCCGGGGCTGCAGCGGCTGGAGGCGGGGGTGCTGGGGAACTGGCTGGCGCGGGATAAGCCCACACCTAGCGAGGTAAGCAGAAGCGAGGGTTGGCGTGGAAGGGCAACACGCTGCATGACAAATGTAGCCGTGTGTGGGCGTGCTTAGGCTACCGGTGTGTGGGCAGTGCGCAAGGGAAGGAGATGAAACGGTTGATGTGTGCGGATGATCCAAGGAAGGTCTTGGTAGACCTAGCGTGGAGTCACCATAAGGGTACCGGCAGTTATCTTCACCGTTGTCCCTTCTACACGCCAAGTCATCCCTCTTGACCTTGCTGCTCAACCTCCCCATGCTTCCCCCGCAGGTCGAACGCGCACTTGTTGCCGTACTCTGCTCAGATCGCCTCACCCAGCCAATGCTGAGTGATGCGGCCGTTACCGTTGTCAGGATTCTGTTGGAAGCCGGAGCGGACCCTAACCATTCCTGGGAGGCCGCAACCTGCCCGATTCAGTTACCTGTCACGACAGTTGGTACGGCATTGGGACCCGAACCCGGGGTGCTGCGGCCGTTGCTGGTGGCGCTGCGAGCCCCCGCACCGGCGGTCGTGCAGGCGCTGTTGAACGCCGGAGCGGACCCATGCATGACCCATGGGACACCTACCGGTGCTGAGAACGCCTTGTGCTATGCTGTACGTGTCGCGGCGGCCGCCGTACGCTGCCGTGATGAAGGCGTGGGTCTGGATGCAACCGCTGCGGCTGCGGCTGCTGAGGATTGCATTTCGGAACTGCTGGAATGCGACAAACACCGTTCCCAGCTGCTGCTTCCAGGGCCCACTCCTCCAGTCAACATCCGGGGTAACAACAACGAAGGCGTCGGTGACGTCTCCCAGCGTCCGCAAGGACAACAGGCGCAACTGCAGGGCTTGTCACCGGCGTTCATTGCGGCCGTTAATGACCTGCCAAAGGTGCTGAGGAAGCTCTGCGAGGCTGGAGCTGACCCGTGGGTCACTACTGTGCCCGCGCCGCCAGGCGCACCTCCATCTCCACGCGAACTCTTGCTGCTGTCTGGAAGGGACCCGTCCACTGGCGGTGCCGGAAACGGCACCAACGGCGCTGAACCGGAGCGCTGGTCCGTCGGACACGAGGCCGCACGTTGTGGTGCGTTGAGCGCCTTGCGTGTGCTGCTCCTGCTAGGACCCGGCAGTAGCAGCAGCAGCGGCGGTAGCGGTAGTGCTGCTGGTGCCGCAGTCCGCAACCTTGCAGTCAGCCCAGGCGTCATGGCCACTCGCCGCCGGGGTGCCCTCGTGGGAGCCATCCGGGGAGGTCGTGTGGGCACCGCCAAACTCATCTTGGATGCGGAGGCCGCCGCCGCCACCGCTGCGGCGGCCGCCGCCGGCGTCGGTGACGGCAGCCTGTACGAAGCAGAGCTGGCGGCGGCGCTGGCCCTTTGCAAGGCCAGTTGTATGACAACGGATTCTCCGCTGCCGCCGCCGCCGGGCCTTATCACCATCCCTGGCGCACAGGACCCGCCAAGATACGACGCATTGGCAGCGTTCCTTTCCTCGCGTGCTCACATGTACATGGATTGGGACCGGGAGATTCTACCGGCGTTGCAATCCGCCAACATGGCTGTCGTACGACGTTGGATATCGAATGACCGAGTGGCGCCTGATCAGGCGAACAAGGCGCTGGCGGCGCTGGTGGCGGCGGCGCGGCAGTGCAATTCGGCGTACAACGAATGCGCCGTCGCCGCCGCCGCCGCCGCCGTCGGCGGCGTCGGTAGCACCAGCAAGCGCAAATGCGAGTCGCTAACTGAGCAGCTTTTGGCTGACTTGGCTGGGCTGGCGCCTCCGTCGGTGAGTGGCATAGCACCCTCCGCGGTGGGAGGTACGGCGACGCCGACGGCGGCGGCGGCGGATCCGACGGCGTCGGGTCGTTCCGTGGCGGACATTGCGAGGGCGCTGGTGCAGGCGGGTGCAGACGTGAACCTGGTGGTGGCGGAGGCGAAGGAGGTGGAAGGCAAGGAGAAGGAGGAAGGGGCGCCTGTACCTGCCGGCCTGACGGTGCTCATGCAGGTAAGGGAGCGGCGTGGTTGGTTTGAAGCTTTGCTGTTGTTTGTTGGGAAAAAACTTCACCTGCACCCCTTAACCTCTATGGGAACGTCGCCCCCCCTTCGCCTCCCCGCCGATTACCGCGCAACCCTTAACCGCATCGGAAGTCGAGTCTTTCTCACCCATCCCCCCATCCACACCCCCAGGCCGCCGTCAAGGGCCACCTGCCCCTGCTGGAAGTCCTTCTAGACATGGGAGCAAGAGTTGACGCGGAAGACGCAGCAGGACGTACGGCACTCGACCATGCCGTACAGTCCCGCCGCCGCTTGGGCCACAACGGCTGTCTGACGCGGCTACTCATGTCTTACGGCAACCGCCGCCTGGACACCCACCGTACGGCGGCCGGCGATACCGCCCTCATGATTGCCGTACGACTCATCGACTTGGACGCCGTGCAGTCGCTGCTGGAAACCGGGGCGTCGCCGCTGGCGGCGCCGCCCCCGTCAGGCGACGGCGACGTCGCCAGCCGTAGCCGTACGGCGGTCTACCTCGCAGCGCGGCTGGCTAACCGTGAGCTGCTGGAGGCTCTGCTGCCTGTGGCGGCGCGTGAGGAGGGCGGTCCGACGGCATGCCGACGGGAGGTGCTGCTCGGGTCTTTGCATGGCGGGCGGCTGGGACTGCTGGAGGGCTCCCTGGCGCTGTCGGAGCGGCTGACGTCGCTGCCTGAGATGCCCTCGCCGGCAGCGCTTGCAGAGGCGGTGAGGGATGGAGCGGCGACGGCGGCGAAGGGCGGAGCTGCGGTGGGCGGGGCGGGGGCGCTGAGCACGATGGCTGAGGTACGTTTGGGATGGCGATGTGGGGCGTATACGGTAAGACTGCAAGCAAGCTTGCCAGTTTTTATACACGGGGAACGGGGCGGGCCTTAACGGGCATCCTGCTCATTATAGTCGCCAGCAGGGAAACCCCTCACCTTGCCCCGCCCCTCCTCCTCCATGCCCCTCCAGTTTTGCTCCCGTCTGTCGCGTCAAGCCGCGCTACGACTGGAGGAGGTCCGGCAGCTCGTTCGGGAGCTCGACGACATCCCCAAGCCCGCCTCCACCCAAGCCGCCGCTGCTGCTAGCGACGCCGCCTCTTCCACGCCTGCCGCCGCCAGCGACCTGCCTCCGCTGCCGCCACCCGCGGTGTCCCCCGCACTGCTGCGGCGCTACCTGGTGTCGAAGGCTCGGCTGCTGGCGGGGGCGGGGGCGCTTGCGGGGCGGCTGGGGGAGGTGTGCGGCGCGGCGGGGGAGCAGTTGGGCGCGATGGAGGGGGAGCTGAGGGAGAGGAGGAAGCAGGTGGGTGAGGAGAAGGTTGGGGCGGCTCCACGTGGCTACATGTGTTAAGCTGTGTAGGCGTGTTGTAATGGGCCGGTAGGGCTAGTCGGGCTGCATTTTATCTAGTTGCTCTTTCCGATCTGTTACTCCGCTCTCCCCTTTTCTCCTGCCCTCCAGGCCTCCGCAGCCGTCTCAGGCGGCGCGGACGCGCAGGCCCGGCTGCTGGCTGCTCAGTCGCGTCTGGCGGCAGCGCGCGAGGGTGTGGTGCGGGGGGTGGGTGCTGCCGCTGAGAGCGCCGAGGGGCGGATAGAGGAGCTGCTGCGGAGGCGGCTGGCGGGGCTGGTGGAGGCGGGGAAGAGGGCGGAAGCGGAGGTGCGGGGGAAGGGGGAAGGGAGGGAAGGGAAGAGAAGGGGAAAAGGGCGAGCGTGCGCATTGGCGGTGATGGTTGGGCGAGGCGTGAGGACTAGTAGCGTGTCTGGGGCTGGTAGCTGGGCAGGGGCGTTGTTCTGGTTGTTTGGTGATCCGTCCCGCTGCCGCTCGTCCGTTCAGTGCGCGCAGAGTCCTTCGCCCCCTTCTTTCACTGACTCTCGCTGAACAACCTTGGCTGAGCCTTCAGCTTGGGCTTTCCTAACACGGATGCGCACTGCTTCCCAAGCCTTCCGCCCCATGCTGACCCCATACCACGCCCCACGCTGTTGGCTTTCACCGGCACGCCATGTCGCTCCTGACCTCCTGACCTCTTACTCATGCCACAGGCACAGTCCTTCGACCCCGTGTTGCCTCCCCTCCTTTCCTCATCCTCTCCTCCAACATGGTCTTCCTGCTTAGCTTCGTCCTCTTTACCCTTCCCTCCTCCCCTCCTCTCCTCCCTCCTTTCCTTCCCTCCCCCCTCCTGCTCAGGTCGGCTCCCGAGCGGAGGAGCTGCAGGCGGACGTGAAGCGCCGCGCCGCCCGGGCGCTGCGGGAGGTGCAGGAGCGGCGGGAGGAGGGGCTCAGCCGGCTGGGGGCCATGGAGGTGGGAGTGGCCCCAGGCTCCAGGCACCGGTTTGCAGGCACCAGCGTTGCAGGCATCAGGCACAGGCGCTCTCCATCTCTCTCATTTTACCTATCTAACCTATACAAGTAAAGCCATGTTCCACCTCGCGATTCCTGCAGTGAATACTGTACTTGACATCCTCAGTTTGACTTAACATAACACCCATCTCTCCCCTTCTTTCTAGCCCGTCTTACCGACTCCCCAGCCAATCATCTCTCCCCCCCCTTCCTGCTGCCCACTCCCCCCTTATCCACGCTGCTCCCCTCTTGTTCAAACGCATCATCCCAACCCACAGCACGAACTGGACTCCATCTGGCTCCGAAGGCAGCGCCAGCTGGCAGGCAAGCCCGCAGCCCAGCGTGACGCCCTCAACGAGGCGGCGGGAGCGCTGCGGCAGCTGCTGGCGGAGCGGCGGGACGAGCTGGCGGCGGCGGCGGAGGCGGCGGTACGGCAGATTGAGGCGATGGCGCGGCGCGGTGGAAGCATGGTGCGGCTGGATTCGCTGCTTGCTGCGGTGGGGCGGGTGCAGGCGGAGGCGGCGAGGCAGGCGCAGAAGACAGCAGAGTGGTGAGTTGCTGGGTGGCTGGGTGGGGGGGGGGGGTAGGTTGCTGTGTGGATGTTGCCGTGAGCAAGGACTTGAGGGAGTTTGCGGTGCGCTGAACGTCCATTTGCCATACTACTATATTTACCTTTAAACTTGAACCCCTCAGCAGCTACTGCTTTCCCTTTCTCCGTACTTCTTTACATCCCGGTACCGGTATTCTCTCTCGCCCTCCCACAGGGCCAAGCAAGTGGTGCGGGAGCGCGCCTCCGAGCTCCTGACAGCCGCCTCAGTCGCCGACCCCAACAATCCCAACAACCCCAACGGCACCGCCGCCTTCGCCAACACCAGCAACGGAGGAATCAACGCAGGCAACGGCAACAGCAGCAACACCGTGTTTGCCAGGGCCGCGCAGTTGCAGCGCATCCTGGGTCTTATGACAGCGGAGGTGACCCGTGGGTCGGCCACTGCCGCCGCTGCGTCGTCCAAGGTGCTGGCGGCGCTGACGCAGGCAGCGGCTGCGGCGGAGGAGCGTGTGGGGAGGCGCGTGGAGGCTGCCAGGCAGAAGCTGCAGGTGGGGGATGGGGCTTATGACATGTGGCCGTAACCCAGTCTTTGTGGTTCCTCAACATGAAGTAGGCTTTCTTAAGGTCATCTCCCCCCTATCGTACTCCCTTTCCTCCCAGTCTCCAGGCGTCGCTCTCCTCCTCTACCTGCCTTCTAACCCTTTCCCTCCCTCCCCCCCCCCATGCTCCTCTCGCCCTCTCCCCTCCTCCCCACAGATGCAGCTGTCCTCCCTCCTCTCGGGTCACCAAGAGCTCGTTCGCACCCTTCAGTCGCTGGAGGTGTGGAAGGGCAAGACACGGGGGGCGGCAGGCGGGCAGTTTCATGGCGCAGGGCACAGATCGGAGGGCGGCGCTGCAGGCGCGCATGAGGAGGAGGAGGAGGTGGCGGTGCTGGGGGAGCAGGAGGGCGGCGCGGCGCTGCTGCTGCCGGCGGTGGAGGAGCTGCTGGGGGTGAGGGGGGTGGCGGGACGGAGGGAGGGAGGTCTTGCTGGTCGGGCTGTGTTACTTGCATGTAACTCCTTTCCTGTTAAAACCGGTAGCGTCAAACGACATGGGAAAGTGTCCTGCATGGAACTCTGCTCTGGTCTGCGGTAATGGTCTCACCCGTGTATCCATACATGCCCATTGCGCCCCATTTCCCCTCCCATTCAGGATCTGGATGTTAGCCGCGTGCTGGCCGGCGTGGACGCAGTCGCGCCTCCCACTGCCGCCGCACCCGTCCCGCGCGTCTCAGCAGCGGGCGGAAGCTCTGACAGCCTAGGACGCGACTCCCCGGGCCCTGGAACCACCACTGCAACTGCTGCTGCTGGTGCGGCAGCCACGGTCGCAGATGATCCCAGCGCCTGGCTTGCACGTGTTGAGGTGGTGGAGGAGCGGGTGGAGGAGGTGTGTCAGGAGATGGCGCAGGAGCTGATGCTCACCTTCCCACCTCCGCCCTCCTCCGCCGGCGCCGCAGCTGCGGTCTCGTGGCGAACCGCGGAGGCCGCAGCCATGATCTGTGACGCGTTGGAGGCCGCGGACCTGGTGCCGTTGCTGCCGCCTGCTACCCCGCAAGATGCGGATCTGCTGCTGCTGGATCTTAACAAGAGGGCGATGAGTGTGAGGGACCGGACAAGGACCGGCGTTTCTGGCGGCGGCGGTCACACGGTTTCCTTCGCCGTTGCCCCCTCCTTCGCCGCGGCTCCTTCCTTTGGCGCGGCTACTTCCTTTGGAGGTTACCCGCCTGAATCCAGCCCTGGATTCGCCTTTGCCAAGGGCTACGGCTCCTCTGGAAACGAGGGTTATCTAGCGAGGGCAGCGGCGGCAACTGGAGGCAGCGGGAACCTTATTGCGGACGAAACGCCGCTGATGGGGTTGTTGGATCGATTGCAAGACGAGCTAGCAGCCTTGGACCTCTCCCAGCCAGCTAGCAAGCTTCGATTGGATGTGTCGGACATCGACTTGTCGTCACTGGGTCAGGCTGACCCACGGGTCGGCAGTGATGATGAGGACGAGGGAGATGCGAATGGGGCTGTGAAGGAGTGGCGGAATGCGGGGTACGGCAAGGTGGTTCCCGGAGGGGCACGTGCGAGGAAGCGGGCTGGTGGGGATGATTCGGATGAGGACGAGGAGGATCATGGCTATCAGAACTTTAGTGCGGCGCATTACGGCGACAGGGCTGAGGATGAGTTTGCGCGTAGTTACGCATAGTGCTTCGCCTACTGTTTGCGGGGCATTGCGGAATTTGGGCTTGTGAGGTTGTGGATGGGGTTGAGGGTAATGCGAAGCGGGTTTGTTAGTATGATATATAATTTGGTAATGGTGACATGGAAACTTGGTGTGATATTACCGATATGTACGGAAGACGCAGGGTGAAGTGGTGAGGTCGGCAGGTTGATGGCTTCTTGCGGGTTGCAGTGTCCAAACCAAGTGTTATTGTGACCACAGCATGTCGCATGATCAGGGCAAAACGTAGAGCAAGCCGAGTGAGGCCAGCCAGCATTAAGAGGCAAGCCGGTGGTATCTTGAGGCTTGCCTAATCCCATGAAGTACCTTTGGTTGTTGATGTTAAAAAATGGCGTTCGCTGCAGGGTGATCCCTGATGTTGGTATGTTATCCAGTGTGTGTGGCAGCTTGCTGGGTTATCAGGAGTAAGGAGCATCTGCCCTGTTGTGTCTTTTACCGTTACCGCGATCAACCCCTTCCCGTGCAGCGACGTTCCTTACTTTACCCGTCTATTACGTGTCGTCGTTCGTTACGATGCGGTTAGTTTCGTTGATATGTCCCGCCAGCGCTGATATGCCGCTGGAGCATTCATACTCTGCCTTCACCATGCATCTTTCCAGCTTGCTCTATATAGACACCCCCAAGACCTATGTACATAGCCTTTACCTGGGGTGCATAGTAATGCAGGTAATAGTGCGTGGTATAGAGCGTGAAGCCTCTTGGATGGGCTTTTAAGGGCAAGAGAAACAGCACAGTAACGTTCGCGGCCTGTCACGGAGCTACTTGCTGTGGCGCCGGAGGTTGGCGGTGGGGGTCTGTGAATGTGAATGGGAAGGAAGGACATGTGGCATGTGGACATTCATTCATGTGGACATGTGAGATAGACTTGCTGGAGGGTACCGGTACCTAATCCTTACTATGATGCTTAAGACGTTTTGAGGAGTTCTGCATTGTACACCAGTAATGCGTGCAAGGTAAACATGGTCAACATGCTGTGTGCCATTGGTGCAGCAGCGTCTTTGCCGATACGGGTCCGCTCCGTAAGTGAGAGCGGATGACCGTGTTACCGTAGCTGGTGGAGGAAAGTGTGCTAGTAAATCCCGTATGTTGTATTCCGTATCACGTATGCCGTATTCGGCGCAACAAACGCAAGAACTGAAAGGAAGCCCTGTCCAAAGGACACTTAAGTAGGGAGGGGTGTCCTGCAGGGTTCTAACCTGTCTGTCTGTTAACGAACTACTCACGCGTGAGGGTATCTGGGGAACTTCGACAGGCTCTCTGGACCAAAGCATGTTAGCATGACGCCCCAAGAGGCGAATGTAGCGGCTTCTTGGTGATACGATGCAGCTGGCGCACAAGTTACCACGCGGCACGATGATCCAAAGACGCAGAAGGAGCAGTTGAGGTCGAGTCGAGTACCTTATAGCGTGCAGCAGACCAATCACATTGGCGGCGAGACATCATTACACAGCGAAGGGTGCAGCAAACTGTAGTGTGTGTCGTACATGGTGTGTTCGTGTGAAGTGTGCAGGATTGAACGCCAGCCAAGTTGTAACAGGTCTTCGTATCCTGATACAGGTGAGACACAGGTTCTACCATTCGTCATCGGCACGAACCACCCATCGGCTTGCAAAGCGCACTGCTCTCAAGATACCCAACCCGCCAACCTATCCTGCCATTCCTGCATGCATCCTACCTCCATCGCTGCGCCATCTGAGCGTCATACACCCTGCCGGACTCTCACCGCACGACCTGCCACCTTCAGAATCATGGCCTTAGGAAACACAACAACATCTCGCCCTCTGACAGCAAAGAACCAATCAGGACGGGATGTGTAACCGGCTTCTGCTCAGATTGTTCACGGCGTTGTACGATTAGGGCGTTCGCCACAATCCCGAACAACACCTCCTTTCTGCGCATGCGCCTAGCTGAGATGTGCTGACCAAACCACTCCCACCGACCACTTTGTAAGCAAAAACACAAAGGAGCACTTCGCCGCAGGCACCTAAGGAGGAATGAAGCGTCTGCGTTGCCGCCGTACTCAACACCTCCTTTCTTCGACGCCACAAGGACATCGCCGCCTGCATGCTGCGCGCCTCCAGCTTAGGCTGTACGGTATGAGAACTTCGACGCCCCTGGCGTCATACACCAGACTTGCACTCACGTCTGCACTCTAATAACTGACCTATTTGACCTATTAACCTAAACACGCTATAACCACATCTACTCAAGGACGCACGCGCCTGCCAAGCTACCGTCATACTATTTGCTAACCCTAAAATGAATAAAACTACCGGGTAATAGTATACCTAAGAAGGGCACGACTGAGACGTCTAAAAGTAAGAACCTCGTGACCGTTCTCTGCAGGGCTTGTCAGGCGCCGGCGCTGCCATCACCAGCTGTACGACCTAAGCACTCCGTATGTATGAATTCCCAATAGCACGCGCGCGCCCCGTTCGTATCCGGTGCCATGCAATTGCGCGACATTCGCTTGCAAGTAACACCAGTACACCACCTTTGTTGCCATGCCCTTAATAGTTTCCCGAGTCCGAAGACCTCTCAGCTCCAGACACTCCGCTGTCCTCGCAGCTTCGCTCGTAAGCCCCATCCACTTCCTCGTCCTCCTCCTCCCCGTCTCCATCCATATTGCCCCCTTCATAGCTATCCTCACCTCCATCATCCTCATCGCCCTCCTCCTCCTCATCGCCAGCCTGCCGGAAGACCTCGTTCTGGTACACAGGGAAGCGCACCGGCACTGGGAAGGTCCCCACGTCAGACGCTACTGCCGCCGGAACTGAAGCCGAACCGCCGCCGGAACAACCCCGCGACTCATCCGTTTCCGCCATCAACGTAGCCTCCCCGTCACTGCCGCCACCGCTCGAGGTACCGCTGCTGGGCCCTGACCCCATGCCAGCACCACCAGCGGCACCAGCGCCAGCGATGCCCGCAAAGAAGGGATTCACAGGGCCCAAGTCGTCATCGTACATTCCGTCGTACAAGCCGTTCACCTGCCGCCAGGAGGGTACGACACCGGGTAGCTGGTGTCCAGCGCTGCCTGTGCTGGGCGAGCGGTGGTACACGTTGTACGGCGGTAGAGGACTAGGCGACAGCGGCGACAGCGACCCTGTGACGCCGCTAGGCAGCGAGGCTACGCCGCCCTGCGGGCTGCTGTGGACTGCTGCCCGCGGCTGCTGTCCGCTCGAGTCGCTGCTTCTCTCGATGGAGGCATGAGGCATGAAGAAGGCGCTTCCGCTGGCTGCAGGATTGCGAGGGCTGAGGCGTTCGGGGGAGGAGGAGCCCGCGACGCCTCCATTAACCACACCCGCAGCGATTTCTAGACTGGCTCGGGAGACCTCCGTGAGTTGGTTGGCCATGTTGGCGAGTACGGCATTCCAGGCCGACATGGCCTCCAGGCTGGAGGGAGCCGAGTTGGTGGGAGCCAGAGCCACCGCCGACGAAGACGGCGCAGCGGCAGCCGGGGCAGCTGCGGAAGGAGCACCTGCGGCGCTGGAAGTAGCGGTTCCACGGCTCAAGGAACGCTGCGTGGGAAGGGCACCGGTAAGGGAACGGCGAGGAGCCGGGACGGGAGCAGCTACGGCGCTGGGAGCCCCGCTGCTTTTCCCGGCAGCCGGCTTGCGCTTGGCAGCACCGTTGCTGGCCCATGAGCCCAGGGAGGTTGCAGACAGCCTACGGCCACCCGCGGGGCCCGCCCCTGCGCCACCGCTGGAAGCTACCGAGGCGGCTGCACGTCCGCGCGATGCCGGCCGACTGGCGCCCTTGGTGCTCTCAGATCCAGTATCCTCGGAACTGGATTCCGAATGCAGGAGGGCGCGATACACTGCCTTGGCTGGCAGAGCCCGACTTGCCGCTCCTACGGCTGCCGCGATGGAAGCACGGCTACCGCCGGCGGCCACAGCCGGCGCGGAGGCGCGAAGTGCGTTGGGGTTGGCCGCTGCAGCGGCGGCAGCCCTAGTGCGTTGCGTGGCAGCAGTCGCCGCTGCTGTCGCGCCGCCACCGCTAGTGGCGCCAGCATGCTGTGCTAGGGAGTCAAAGGTGGGTGTCAGGGAGCGTACGGGCTCCGAGGGGCCGCGAACCGCTGGCGCCGTGTGTTGCTGCGGCTGCCGCAGCGGCTCCGCTGTGGAGCGCTGCGCTTGGACCTGCAGCAGTCTGTGGCGCAGGTTGCCTGGGGCGACGCCTGAGGGGTCGCCCACGGCATTGGCCGCACCCACGGCGCCACCGCTTGCAGCGCCGTAGCGGAGGAAGGGATCGACAGAGGGCTCAAGGGGTGGCAAATCCGTGGATCTGCAAGGGCCACAATTTGTTAGGTCAGTTGAAGAAGTGGACTTTTGTGCTAAATGTTCCAAGCATTTACGCCCTTTGGTTACAACCTCTTGCCGTCCAGCCCCGCCGCTCACTTAATAAATTTAGTTGTTGTTCCCCTATTTTCCCTTTTTCCCTTCTCGCGAACAACCTCTGTGGCAGGCCTATGGATCTTCGGTTCGTTTGGGCCTTATCATCGGGCGCACCATGTAACATCAACATCATTATCATTACAAGCCCGGCAATGCACCACTCCTCACCAGACCCCAATCTACCTGCCGCCGCTATTGTCCGTTCCAGCCGTGCCGTACGCTGCAGCCACCGCATGCGTCCTCCAGGCGCCAGGCTGCCAGTCGGCCTCAACCCGTGGGACCGCGAATCCGCCGCCGTACGAACGCTGCGAGTAGTCTACGGCATCCGGAAAGTACGGCAATGGCTGGGCCGCAGCGCCGTTCGGGAATCTGGGCCGCATGGAGGGCTTGGGGCTCTGCGCTGCGGGGTCCGTGGAGTGGAACATGCGGCGAATAGTGGCCTGCACGTCCGCGTCGAAGGCCTCCCAGTACCATTGCTTGAAGAGCCCGAACGCCAGCTTCTTGCGCTTGATGCAGCGCCGCAGCTCGTCATCCCGTGCGCGCCGCTCCTCCAGAGCCGCCCGCCAGGCCTGCAAACAGCGTCAAGGACAAGGATCGCCAAAAGAATGAGCGAACAATACATGCGAGGAAAAGCGAGCTGGGAGCACAACGCACAACGCCCTCCACGTTCGCATGAAATTATGAATGATAACCAATACAGCTTCATCCAGGTAACGTCGCCTGTGGACTGATGCGTACCTTGAACGCGCGCCGTTGCTCGGCCATGCACCGTCGCAGCATGAAGTGCATCAGCATCGTCTGCTGCAGCTGCCGCTTCTCCCTCGCTGCCGCCACCACGGCAGCCCACCCGCGCAGCGCCGCTGGCAGCAGCACCGTAGCTGCACGGCGCGCACCCATGGCAGCCGCCGCCACCGCCAGCTCATGCTTGCGCTCCACGTAACCTACCCATTGCGTCAGGACGCTCCGAAGGAGGGTCAGCTTCAAGGCCTGGCCGCGCTTGGAGGCGAGGTTGCGGGCCAAGCGCAGCTGATGCACAAGGGTCCCCCAGGCAGAGAAGGTTGCGGAGAGGAGGCTGCGGATGCGGGCGGCGAAGCGGGCGCCGGCGGCAGCGCGGATGAAGCGATGGTGGGTGGCGATTGCTGCCCAGTGGCTCAACACGTGGCTGTGGAGCAGCGGGTGGGGTAAGTGGGAGAGACAAGGAGTAATAAAGGTGTGCGTGACGGTGGCTTGCGGAGCGGAATAAGCGAACAGCCAAGACCAAGGAGAACGTAGCATGGGAACAGAGCATGGAAAAGGCTCAACGAACGTGCGCAACTAAGGAAGTGTTATTTACGGACAATTCAGAGCAAAGCAACCACGGTCCGGCTATGTCCTTACGTGAGCGTCACGGCCTGGATGCGGTGTACAGCCACCTGCACATGCGTCTCGCGGGCGCGGCGAGCCTCCACAAGCTCAAGCCACGTGAAGAACACCTGCGACGCACGGAATAGTGGAAGTGCAGTGAATGCGGTTAGTGCACCGGCACTGGTATAATGGAATGGACAGGATGCGCCGATCGGCCTGCTGTCCCAGTTGCTACAAAGCGCATCATCAGGATTTTGCGCAGCACCCGTTGTTGCCGTTTCTACCACTTCAACAAGCAGCCGATCCCCGGGCCCCCCCCCTTCCCCAAGTCATCTCGGTTTCTGGTAAGCAATTGGTAGATTAGTGTCTCCGAATGCGCTCACTGCATGAGTCGGGATTCGGGATTGGGATTGTGTTGTTGCACTTATTTATAATTTTCCCCCTTCACCCACCCGCTTCACACAGCCTCGTGCCGAACGTGCGCTGAAGGCTGACACCTGCTCACGCGTCGCCTTCGCCACGCGGGTCACCCCGACCCAGCCCTCCCAGACCCCAGCAAGCAGGGAGCGGCCTACACGCTCTCCCATGGCCTCGGCCGAGCCCCGAGCCGAGCGTAGCACCTCCACATGCTCCAGCCAAGCCCGGAAGACACGCGCTAGCAAGCGCAAGTCGGTCCTGGACCGCATCTTGCGCACTTCCACGTCCGCCCGCCGCGCCCCCGACACTGCCGAATGCAGGTGGGCCAGCACGGCTGCCCGCGTGGCGTCCTCCGCACGCGCCTTGATCGCCGCCATCTGGCGTTGCAGCAGCTGAGACCGCCTGCAGGTCAAGAGAGGACAAATCCTCAGCGCTGCAGCTCCAGCGGACGGCAGTGTGGCAACAACTGAAACAACAGCATGTACGTAAATGCCAGGGGAAGACAGGTGCACGCATGTCGGAAGGTTCTTCTTTCAGCGACCTAGGCACAACGCGGCTACTACACGAACGCACTCGCAGTGCTCCAGCAGGGCTATCAGACAGCCTCGCAGCACCCGGCGGGAGTGCCAGACGGCAGCACGGTGAAGCGCAGTGGAGCTGTCCACGTGACCGGGCCCGGGGTCATCTGCGGCCAAAGAGCATGAGACGAAGAGTCAGGCGAAAGGAAACGAGGGTAAGGAGTGGTGCCGTCAGCTTCCCTCGGATCCAGTTTGGACCTCCAGTTAAGACTAAAGGAGACGTAAGTCGGTACACCTCATCTCGACAAGTAAAAGGTTCCTCTTTCGCCTCACCTGAAGCCAACCTGAGCCAGCCACTGAACGCCGTACGCAGGGCCATGGAGCGGCTCACACGAACTGCTACCTCCTCCCGCTCCGTCGCCTCCTGCGCAGCCCAGCGCCAGCGGCTGAAGGCGCCCTGCAGCCGCCGACGCTGCGCATGCCGCGCCGCACGCATGTCACGAGCGGCCCTGGCACGGCGCTCTGCCGTCGCTCCGCTCCAGCCGTATAGCGCAGAGGAGAGAAGGGAGCGCGTGTGGCTGCTGGCCAGTTGGTTGGCCGTGTCACGACGCGCAGCACCGTCCAGGGCCTCCTCGTGCCAGGCCCGGAGGACGCGGACTGCAGTCGCCTCGCGATGGCGCCTGAAGAGGTATGGTACAACGGGTGATGACCATGGGAAGCGATGGCGTCAAAACACCAAAGAGTGCTTGTATTCCGCATGCTAGATGTACAAGTATGTAGGGGGGATCTCTTTGCACAGCGTGTAACCAGCGTGATGAGCCCCTCGCCCCTCGCCAAATGCACACCTGGTCAGCTTCGCCACCTTCCTGGTGACAGCCCTCCGTGCAGCTGTGAGAGCGTACCACTCAGCAAGCACACGACGGAGCAACGGAACGGCTGTGCGTGCGACATGCCGAGCCATAAGGGCGCGTACGGCGCCTCGGCGGTGTGCGGTGGCACGCCACGAGGCCAGAACCTGTGTCGGCAAGGGCCAAGGAAGGCAAAGGGTTAAGGTCAGGGGCCGTAACTTTCAGATTATGTACACGGCGGATAACATTGTGTACAGGAAAGCAACAACGTTTGCCGGGCTCTTCAGTTGTCGATGTCGCCATGCCCGTTGGTTACGGCCCCCGCTAGGCTTCCGTCCACACACAATCGCAACATAAACGTTTGCTTAGTTGTCGCGAAGGGCCTTGCGAACGAAACGACGCATGACCTACCCCTACGGTTAGCATGGCCACATCTCCGAGCGAAATTGCTCCCATTTCGACACTACTTGCTGTATCTCAACAAGTAAATACAATATATTGTAACACTTCCATCGTGTGTGCGCTTTTCCTAACCGAGAAAATATCTTCTACCATGTGGGAATCCGAACATTAACACGGGCGACCCAGATGGTATCCTACGCTCTGAACGTTTGCAAAAACATGACGAGTGGTAAAAATTGTACATGGCCCTAAAAGATACAAACAAAACAAACATTTCTGGTACGGAGCCAGTAACCGACCGCCTGTTCCGCGCGAATCCGCCCCACAGCAAAGCGCTTACCTCCCGCATGCTCTGTCGGCTATTACGGCTCGCCGTCTTCGCTGCCATAGCCTCAGCGACTGCTTCCTTGCTCCGTGTCGTCGCTACCTCATCCCGCAGTGCCGTCAGCACTGCACCCGCCAGCCGCTGGCGTGCCGCCTGCACCAGCAGATCGCACTTGGCCTCCAGTTCCCGCCGCGCCTCGACAGCACGCCGCCACCGCCCCAGCGCCTCCGCCGCTAACCAGCAGCCCACGCTGCTGGTGCTGCCGCTCGCAACCAGCCATCCGGAGCCCAACGCTGAGGACGGCACCGGCGCGACCACTGCGGTAACCGACGGCACCTCAGCCTCCTCACCCTCCTGGCTTTCGGCGGCCGCTAGTGGACCGGTGAACCCGAGGGCATGCAGGCAACGGGGCGAGCCAGCCGTCGCCGGTGTCGTTGCGGGCACTGTCGCCACCTCCGATGACGCGGCCGACTCATACCCACCACTTCCCAGCACCCCTGCTGGCTGCCCAAACTCCAGTGATGACGCTGCTCCCTTATCGGCTGCAGCGGGATCCTTGTCACCTAAGCATGGTGTTGCTGCAGCGCTGGCGCCGCTTGCCGGGCCTGCACCGCTGGCGCTCGTGCGCATGAGGGTGACGCTACTGATACCAGCAGCTGCATCAGGTGCGGGTGAGGAGCTTGCCTTGCCAGTCAAAGACGTCGCCGCTACCGTTGCAATACCAGCTGTGGGGCTGCTGCCACCAGCCACAAGGGCCTCACGGTACGATCGGGGCGTACGGAGTGGCGAAAGCAAGGCACTTGCAGGCGCGCTTGCTGGGCCTGCGTGGCTTGCATGGCCGAAGACCCGCTGAGGGCTGGGAACCGGAGTGGAGTCAGAGCCAGCTGGCTGCGACGGCCGGGCGGGCGTAGCGGTGTCGGATGTGGCGGCGCCTGCTGGCGATGCCGCTGCAGCTCCTGGTGAAGCGGCATGGACAGAGCCTTGGGGGCTGCAGGCCGCAGCCGCAGCTGCGACAGCAGGAGACGAAGCGAAGGGGCCGTCGGAGGGCATGCCCTTCGGCTGCGATGCATTCCGTGCTGGCGCAGTGCTGGCGGTCGTGGCATGCAGCTGTGCCCGGGGTGAATTGACATGCGACCCGCCTGAACGCCCAGACGAGCCCTGGAGCTGCTGCTGCAAGTGCTGCAGCTGCAGCTGTCGCGCGGAAGGGTCCACATGGGCAGCGTCAGCAGATTCCAGTGCCGATGCCACACCCGCTGCCTTTGATGCCGAGGTTGATGTCGACAGCGAAGCACGCATGCGGGCAGAGAAGGAAGAGGACATGGAGTCCAAACTGGTCGGCGTGTCGCAGTGGCGCGCCCACCACTTGCCGAGGAACCGCATCAGCAGGGCGCGGGTATCCGGCGGCAGAGCACGAGCCGCTGCGAAGCGACTGGCCGCAGCAGTGCGGGCCAGCAGACGCCACTCGGTGAACACGGAGGACATGAATCCAGCCTAGGTAGAGGACGTGTAGGGAGTGAGTGAGAGGTTTACGTAAAGAGTAAGTAACGAGTAAGTAACGAGAATTAAGTGACGGAAGTATCGATCACGTTACGTCTGCAAGGGAATTAACCCCAAAACGCATCAAGGACCGATAGCTAGGCGTGTCCTACCTCAAGGCGTCCGGCAATCGTCTCCAAAATGTGCCGCCCTGCACGCACGCGCGCCGCGATGTGGCGCCAGCCAGCCATGAGGGCGCCGAGGCGCATGCGCCGGATGCGCACTGCTAGCAGCGAACCACGGCCGGTGACAGCAGCGCGGTCGGAGGCGTAAGCACGCCAGAACGTAAACACGGCCGACATCCTGAGGCAAGGCGAGGACCAGTGAGGTGCATAGTATGCAGCGTTGGGGGAGAAAAACATCAGCATAGACACACGTAAGCAAACTACACATAACAATGCTCAAAAGACAAGTGCAACTCCAGTTGGAGGGACTTCTCACCTCCGTGCTGACGTGCGAGACACCGCCGTAATCATCCGCGACTGCCGCCACGCCGTCCTCGCCACGACCGCATGCCAGCCCACCAGCACCGCCGCCGCCGTCCGCGCACCCACCGCCGCCTGATGCCGGCGCAGCAGGGCCCGCTGTCGTCGCCGCGCCCCCGCCGCCAGCCCCCATTCAGCCAGGACGCGAGCCTGCAGCCCAAAGCTGCGGTGCGCCACATGCCGCTCCAAACGCTGTTGTAGTGCACCCCTGGCCAACGTTATCTCCCGCCAGGCGTCAAGCACTGACCTGCGCAGCGCTAGAGGCCGTTCTGCCGCCATGGCATCTGCAGCGCTGGCTCTCAGCTGCGCCGCGGAGACGCCATCACGCCAGGCGCCAAAAGCATACCGCAGCAGCGACTTGCAAGCCAGCCGGTCTGCGGCACGGCGGACGCCGACGACGTCCTGCCAGCCGAAGAACGCAGTCGCGGCCACACGTGCTACTCGGCGCTCCGCCATGAGATCCGCCTGGACGTCGTTCCGGCGGGCCGCCAGGGTGGCGGCGCGCCACGCCATCAGCGCCGCCGCCAGCCATGCCTGGCTCACGCCATGCAAGGCACGTTGCAGGGCACCCCGGCCTACCGCGCGCTGCACGGTTAGGTCACGCCAGGCGGAGAAGGTGGTGGACATGCGGAGCGCCGAGCGCCGCTGTACGGCAGCCACCACGACGCGCGCTCGCCAGGCGCGGTGCGCTAGGACCCGCTGCCAGCCCACCAGCACTCGCTTCATGATGGCATGCGAGCGCCGCTGCATGGCATCAAGGAATGAAAGGAATGACGGAACAGGGCGGGGTGAGGTGCAATCTTAACAGCTCATCCTTCACACTGCTCCCAGGGCTTTAGCACTGCGAGGCAGCGTCAGCATCCAGATGCGTGCCGTAAGATGAATCCATGCATGCTCACCTCCACGGCGGCGATCTGCTTGTTGGCCGCACCAGCAGAGCCGCGCGCGCGGAGCTGCCAGGCCCTGAAGACCTTCTCGCGCAGCTCGTCCTGCCTCTTGCGGGTGAGCTTCACGATGACGGCATTGTAGTACACCATGTTGTCCACCACGTACCTGCAGGGGCATGGTCAGGAACGGTTTTGTCAGGGTAGCCGTGAGACGATGCGACATTGGTCTGAACCCAAACCCTTATCCAAACCCTTATCCGGCTCCTATCGGCAGCTACGCCAAGTGATCTGGGTCACCTAGCACCCATTGGGTTAAAGCCACCCTAGGGCCAGCAAGTGTCCATTTCCGGGCGCCAATCCACAGCGCCTTGCAGAGCTGCACTTCCCACGCCCCTTACCTCCACGCCATGAGGATGCGACGGTGCCGCGTCCGCGCCATGCCGTTGGCCGCCAGCTGCTGCGTGCGACGTAGCCAGTTGCGCAGCATGGAGATGAGAGTGTCGCGCGTGCTCACGTGCACCCCGAGCGCCGCCATCTCCTCGCTCATCTGCAGCCGCAGGTACTCCACCTGTGTGGAGCAAGCAGGAGCAGGAGCGGAAGGGGAATACGGGTGCGTAAAGCAGGAGAATGGGGAATACGAGTTCGGAAGAAGGTTGAACAGGCCGCATCACGTCAGACCGTCCGGAGTAGGGGCAGGTCGCGGAGAGGAGAGAAGGTGCGCAGTGATGACCATTACCTGCGTTGCAGTCGCACTGAAGCCCTGACTATCATCTGCAAATCTAATCAGGAAAGCTCTTATGCGGGCATCGTACCTGCCGGATGGTGTTGACCTTGAGCTGTGCCATCTCCTCCTGCAAAGCCTCTAGGTTGGCCTCAAGCCCTTGACGCAGCATCTTCTCGTTGTCTACGAACTTGAGCCACTCCTGCAATGTAAGGAAGAGAACCATGGAGAGATCACAATCTGGGTTTCTACCAATACTCAAAACATGCACCGTAACGCATTACGCCTATTGCTGCACAGTCTACCGTCCCTTTGCAAAGCCCCAACACAACCAGGTTTTGCATTAAAACCCAGCAGCAACCGGTAGTATTTCATGCAGTGCATTCCCTTAACTCAATACATGCGCTCGGAACCCCTCCACAGCAATTACTCTACATGGAATTCCAGGCAATATTTGTACCCAGGAACTCAGGACATGGCCTGTACCCAGGCACCCACCAGCACGAGTACGTTGCTGATGCGGCGCAGGTTGGTGTCCTCCACGTGTCCCTCCTCGGGTATGGCCGGCAGCAGAGAGCGCGGGGTGGGCGCGAAGGGGGTCCCGCCCATGCCGCCAGCCGTCACGTAGAAGCCCACACGCACCACATCCACCGCGAGTTGAACCTGCGGCCAGACGAGCAAGGAGTCAATCCCATTGCAAAGGGCAGGGCTAGTTGCTGTAACAGGCGTCTGCAGAATGACAGGTAGACCCACTTCTAACGGGGTTCTGCACGTGCATGCGCACCGATGACAACCACAGGCACCGGATGCTCCAAAAGGGGCCCGACCCACATCGCCGTCCCACACCTAGGGCCCTTAGACGGCCCTGAGGACCGACCCACATCGCCCATGCAGTACCAGGTCACCCAACACCACTGACCCATATCACCCATTCAGTATCCGGGCCAGCTACCATCACTAAAGACAAACAACTTCATACTGTTGCTCAAATACCAGAATCATTAAAAGACACACGTATCCCCGAAACACGCAATCTAATCCGGATTTCCCACCCCTATTAATTTGCCGTAATCTCAGCTGCTCATACCCCACCTGCGGTAGGCGCCTGTTGCGGAACACCATGGGCAGAGAGGACCAGGGAGCGGAGCGCCAGTTGTCCCCGAGCACGTCCCACTGCTCCCAGACGCCGCAGTTCTGGTTGAAGAACACCAGGCGGTGGGGCGCCTTGCGGCGAGGCTGCACGAAGCGGTTGCCGGCCGCGCCCGAGCGGAAGCCAACGTAGGAACCCTGGGGGTGTGGGAGGGATGAGTGAGGAAACGTTCCAAGGGTTTATTGATCTGGGTCGGGCGACATTCCCGCGGAAAGTGCCATTAAGTAGGGCACTCGACCCATGTAACAGGCAACCAAGGCATGGGGCATGCGCAACACCACCCGCGCAGCCTACCTGCTTGACGACCTCGAGGTATGCCATGCCCTCGCTCTCGAGAGCCTTCTCCTCTGTCAGCAGCTCAAGGCAGTGGTGCCAGGCGTCATCCTTGTACGGCAGCATTTGTTTAATGGCGACGTACGGAGTACCCTGCGTGCAAGCAGTGCGAATGGTGTTAAGGCAACGGCCCTGCAACGGTACGGTCAGCGGAGCTCTGTGATTGCGTTATTGGATTTCCCATTTTGCACGTACCTGGTACTTCAGCATGATGACATCGCCGGTCTCAAGGCCGATCTTGCCCTCGGACGACTTCACCAGGCTGCGCGGCTCGGGCACAACTCCTAAAATGGGATTGAACACACGGGAAAGTTAGGCGAGGTGATGCGGAGGAGTATGGAAGCATGGTGGGGTGTAGGTAGAGAGCGCGTTGATTGCTGGGCGGCTGTCCCGTGCCGGTTTCCAGAGATCTTGTGTAACGATTACAACCTTCTCTACGAAAGCAGGTAGGCGCTAGCGCTTGTGAACAAATTCTTACCGCCTGTCATACTTGTCCGGATGGAAGCCACGGGGTAAATGGATGAGTGGAACGACGTTTCTGAGTGTGGTGAGTGATGGTGATCCGCTTCCCGGGGTTCCCAGCGATTAAGCAACATGGAAGATGCACCGGGGATGTCTGGCGAGTTCCGTGAGGATGGGAACTCTATGTCGTCGCCGGGAATGAAGCTGGAAACCTCCGCAAGAGGCTCTTCCGGTGAGCACGGCGGGAACTGCAGCTCCAGGCTTGGCTCCATGTCATCCATAGAACCGATCTGCAAAAACTCTGGCTTTCCAAGTTCATCTGCTGCAGGCGACTCAAACTCATCCGATGCGACAGGAGTTGGCTCCTCCTCCATATCTTCAGGCTCATCAGTAACATCTTGTTGATAATTTATTGAATCCATCGCAGTACATCTAGATTAGCTTGAGCTAAGACTTGTTGCCAGGTGTGCAACTCCCGGTCGGCAGGAATCGCTTAGTACTTGGCCGAAAGCGGGGCCACTTCGTTACCTAAGCAGCTAGGATGTCGAGCTTATCAACAGATATGATGACGGAACAGCGATGGCTTCACCTTCCGATAAGAGCGCGTAAAAGATGGAGACAGGCGAAAAAGGAGTCATTTGCTAATTTCCGCCTCCTTGCTAATCATAAATAGTTATTCAGTAAACGCCGGCCTGAGTACCCAGGTATAATAACCATTTTGGCGTCCCCCATGCCCATGTACGGCTCTGCTTGTACATGATGTAAATCTTGTCAGCATACCGATTATGCGTTTCGAAGCTGCTGCCTTAGAAATTGCTATATCCCTTGACATACGAAAACATAACTGTAACACGTCGGAATAATTTTTGGGGAAAAAGCTGGGAACTGCCGTTAAGCCCGATCACCGTTATCCACACTTTGAAACTACAATCGGACCACACATTTCATTTACGGTGTCTAGGAGGGCCTAGTTCCGTCTGAAGGTTTGCCAGCAGAGGACCTTCAACGGCGATTGGCGGGAGGGTGGCTGCCTTGCATTGTGATTTGCGCGGCGGCTTATAGCACGCTAGGGCTATGGCCGCCCCAACCGCTTACTTAGGGGAGCCTGTGGAGGCCCCACCCACTGATGGCATCTCACGCGTTATATTTAGCCAAACCAGCGACCTCCTTTTGGCGTCATCTTGGGACAAGGTGTGGGTGATAGGCAGTTGGGATCACGAGAACAGGTTGTGAGTATAGGTTGGATGTTACCGAACGTCATGCTGGCAGTGGTGACATAGCACCTTAGCAAGTTGCAGCCACGCCCTTCACCGCGGCGACGGCAGATCAGGCTGGGACTGCAGAGCCCTACACCGGCTAACCCAGATGGGGTGTTGAACGACCTCCGCAGGGTCTTCACTTGTACGACGCCAACACCCGCCTGCCCCGCGCAACCTTCACCCACCAAACGCCCCTCCTAGACTGTTGCTTTGAGAGCGACAACACAGTATATGCTGCGGGCCTTGACGGGCAAATAAAACGGTAAGAGCATGGTGGCATGTGGGTCGGGCAACTCTCCTGAAGGATCTCCTGGGCCGGGCCGTCTGGGCCGCCGTCCTATCCCGGTACCTAAGCAGCCTCCGTACTAGCAGTCACGTGGACAATCATACAATGCCGCCCGTACAACTGTACTGCCCCCATGCACCAACCAGGTTCGATGTCCAGACAGCTAGCAGCGTGGTACTGGGGACCCACATGAACGCGGTGCAGTCCTTGGCCTACCTGACGACGAGAGGTAAGGGCGTGCACAGGCACGCACCGACAGGAGGAGGGTCTCATGGCGGCCTGGTAGTCGGCATGCCTTGTCCAGCAGGGCAAAAAGAGGGCGTGTGGCTGGGAAACCGGGTGATCAGAAGGCGCATGCAGGCAATGTGTCAGCCTGCACCACATCCCACACTGCGCTTGCCCTTACGCACTGGCTTCGTTCCCTATGCACGCTCTCCGTCACCGCACTCCCCTCAAACCCTCTTCGCCACCCACCTCCTACCTCCCGCATGCAGGGTTGCTTGTGAGCGGCAGTTGGGATCAGGGGCTGCGGTTGTGGGACCCGCGGCTGGCTCCCGGACAGAACTGCGTGGCTGCGGTGGCGCTGCCGGGCAAGGTGTATGCCATGTCGGCGGGGCAGGAGCGGCTGGTGGTGGGCACCTCGGGGCGACACGTGCTCATATACGACATCCGCAGGTACGGCAGGAGGGCGGGGCTGGTGGTACGGTAGATTAAGGGAGGAGGGCGCGAGCTCTGGGAGGTTTGTTAGGGTGTGGAAGGGGAAGGTAGTGGTGGGTGAAGATGGGCAGGGCTGTGTGAAGGATGTGGTCGCTGCTGACCGCTGGCCGCGCGCGTATTGGCAGCTTGATACATGGCAGGGTACTGTTGCCTCAATCCGGCTTTGCATGGATGAGCCGCTACTGCAATGCCTAGTCATACGGCGCCTGTGATGTACTTGCATCTCACCGCATGCCATCTCACCCTCCTGCTCACCCTACCTCGCCTCACCCTCATCCCCACCTAATGCGGAATGCGTATCCCTGCCAAGCCCTCAACTCCACCCCCCTCCTGCAGACTGATTGGCGGCGAGGGTCCGGAGCAGCAGCGGGAGTCCTCGCTCAAGTACCAGACCCGCTCGCTGGCGGTGTACACGGACGGGCGGGGCTATGCGCTGGGCTCCGTGGAGGGGCGCGTGGCCATGGAGTTCTTCGACGCAGCGGATGCACAGGTGGGGGGGAGGGGGTGGCAAGAGAAGATTGGGAGAGAGTAGGTGGGGGTGGTAAGAGAGGATTAGGAGAGAGTAGGTGGGCTGAGAAAGTTAGCAGCACGGAAGAACGTACTGATTAGGCGGGTGTGTATGGAGTGGAAAGCACGGACTGGCCTGGCACATGGGTTCACATGGTGGGTGGGTCGCTGTGCGCCGGTTGGTGCGGGTGTGGGTGTAGTAATGCTAGTTTGGCTATGTGCCAAGTACCGGTATGTCGTAGGGAGGGAGCATGGGAAGGCCCTCTTGGGGATGCGCGTGGTCGCGAAACCGCACTAGGATGTTGCGTTGGTTGGCCGGGGCCATTTGGGTCGGGAGCGGCTTGTCACCATGGCCTGTCACAGGCTCGCATTGCCGCCGCCATGTAGGCCCTTTCCACGGTAGCCTTGTCGACGAGACCTTGCGGCCTCTTACCGCTCGTCATCCCTTCTCTCCTTTAGGGCCGCACTTAAACCTCCCATCCTGCCACAATTAATTCGCGCATGCCCTCTCGTACCATGTCTGATGACTTCACCGCACCTGACCCACAACAAAATGTCGTGGATTCCCTGGGGTTTTCATCAACCACCAACCACCACCCCACCCTCGCAGGCCAACAAGTACGCGTTCAAGTGCCACCGCCGCAACGAGGGCGGCAAGGACACCGTGTACCCGGTGCACTCCATCGCCTTCCACTCGGGTGCGCGGTGCGGGTTGGGGGTAGACACACGATGCGGGTTGGGGGTTAGCACACGAGCAGCTGGAGGTTCGCATGCGGAGTTTCCGTTAGTATGCGGCTTATAGTTCTCCGTGGTCTGATGGGCTGTGTCATGTGGGTATCAACCTCACCTGCAACCTCGGCAACTACTCTTTTCCGTGCCCGACCTGTGTCCAACCCAAATGGCCTTTCCTTTCTGAGCAGGGTACGGCACCTTTGCCACCGGCGGCGGAGACGGCGTCATTTGCATCTGGGACGGTGAGAACAAGAAGCGGCTGTTTCAGACCGCGCGCTACCCCACCTCGGTGGCCTCCATGTGCTTCTCACGGACCGGGGAGATGCTGGCAGTTGCCTCTTCGTACGCGTACGAGCAGGGAGAGCGCGACCACCCAGCAGACGCCATCTACATTCGTGCCGTACAAGACGTGGAGGTACGGCCCAAGGCACGGAAGGCGGCGGCTTGAACGCAGAGGAGCACATATCCAGCTCACACAAAAAGAGGAAGCAGCATAACAGCGTAAGGCTAGAGTTGCACTGTTTGGGATCTCCTGGTGTGAAGCGGTAACCACTGGAAAGGCGTGTGAGTCGCGTGAACACCTTTGCATGGATTGGCCGTTGGCTCGGCGCCGCAGCATGTGCAGGTTGCATACATGTGATGGACTGATGATGCAAATGCGTCGGGGAAGTAAGGGCATCTTGGCATCTGGAGGTTCATGCCCGACTTGCGTGCGGATTGGATGTTGCCTGGTTAACGCACTTGCGTTAATGCACTGGTTCGAAATGGGTTATGGTGCTGGAGACAGCTGGTAGAGCAGCAACGGTCAAGGCGGTCGGGGCACGGGAGGGAAGGGGACAAGGGCGGTGATCCTGATCATAACCAGGTATGCCTGTGCTAGTCAGGCACCCATGCCTTCAGTTGGCAGGCACCGGGAACGCGGAGAGGCGACGCCGCCTCTCCTGTCATGGCGACCCGTGGGTTGCAACCTGGTGCCTAGACGGTGCATTAAACCCCCGTAGTAGCCTGCCTGCTGTTGCGCTGCTATCTTGTGGAGACATGTGTGTTGGGATGTGTTGGTGATGATGGCGGTAGTGCACGCCAGCACGACGGGCAATGGGACTTGACGAGGTCATTGCTCGGCTGAGGCCATTCAAGCGTCCTGTACAAGCGTTACTAGGTTGGCCAGGCACGGGTCCCTATCGAGTAGAAACATGCATGCTCGTGGATCACGCATGGTTACATCGGGTTACGCAAACGCAACCTTCTGAAGGACGTTGTGGCGTGCAAAGGACACCCCTGGCGTTCATGCCGTATGCTATGTAACATGACCCGTGGGTCAGGTCGCCACGGCCTGCCAGTCTAGCAACTATAATCACGGAATGCCAGCCCTAGCCTGAATGTCAGCACATCTCAGCTTCCTCAGCACATGCATGCCACGCGGCCCTTCCATCGCAGCCCGCAATAACATTTACCCTCTGGCACATTGTCAACAGCAGTTGACATCCTATCGGTAAGGAAAAATTAGATCGCTTTAAGGTCGTAGCAACTGTTAAAACCCGTCCGGGGTCCCTGCTCGTATGCTGCAAATGCTCCTAGTATGCTCGGCAATGCACACACATGCCATCATGGGCGCATTTGGGCTTGCTTGCTCCTTACGACAGCGCTTCCTTCAGTGCTTGCGCCACAGCATCATCTCCTCCCGGCCTGCACGCGACGGGTGGCTGAGCTCCGCCGGCACAGGCTCGTGGTAGACACACTCGAAGCCTGCGGGACACATCGGTAGCCATGGGTGCCATGCCAAAGGAAAAAAGGAGGGCAGCAAAAGCTGCTCGTCAACAACACCTGTGCACCCATTCGACATGCTACCCTGTACAGAAGGACAGAGGCTTTGGGGCAAACCACAAACACGCAGCGTCTTACCTCTATCAGCCGCCAAGTGCACCGGCTTACGGTAGATCAAGCCCCCCACGCCCCTCATCACAACGCCTTGCCTCCTCCCCTGCGGCTTAGTTTACCTAATCCCATACCTCTTCCTCTGCCCCCTCCCCCTCTTCCTCTTCATCATCCCTAACCCACCTGCCGGCGTCAGCAGCTCCGTGTACAGCTGCGGCGAGACGGGGAAGGGCGGCCCCACCTGCGGGTCCGCTGCCGGGTCGATGGGGAACACCAGCGTCACCAGCAGGCCCCCCGCCCGCAGCTGCCGGGCCCAGTGGGCCGCCCAGTCCTGGCGCATGCTGGGGTGCATGGCGCAACCGAAGCTGCAGGCGCAGGTCGGAGGGAGTGGGGAAGGGAGGGCTCTGGTGAGGGAGAGTGGTGTGAAAATCGATAGACGTGGGTGTACGAGGGTAGAGGTGAAGAGAGCGGAGAGGAGTGGTTTGAGTACCGGTATTCATGTATCCAGCATACCGGTAGTTGAAAGCCAATACACCGGTCGCATCCACTCACGTGTAATCGTATCCGACGTCGTACGAGCCATTCCCCTGAGCGTCCGTCCACGCAAAGAAGTCCCCCTGCACGCAGCGCACAGCCCCGCGTGCGCTCTGGGGCAGCTGCGGCTGCGCTGCCGCACCACCTTCCGACACTGCTTCCGAGGAGGCTGCTTCCGGAGCTGCGGGTTCAGGCGCCCCTGCCGCTTCCCTCCCTCCTGCCGCTGCCAGCTGGTCGAGGTAGGCCTCAGCCTCCCGGGTGGCCGTGGCGGAGAGCTCCAGCCCCACTGCCTCCCGGGCTCCGGCTGCGAAGAACACAGGCAGGTCATAGCCCCGACTGGAAGGGTGGCAGGGCAGGTTAGGGAGAGGATACGGAAGATAGGTTAGGGAGGCGTTGGGTGTGGGAGGGAACTCTATGCCGTGAAGTGCAGTGGTACGTGAGGGAGCTTACTGCACAGAGTGGTGCAGTGATCTTGGAGATTGGTGGCCCACGATCGTGGCAAGGTTACGGGTCATGTGTTCACCGTAAGTGCCCTGGCTTTCGTCCTTCCAAACCCAAAACCCCAAGCGCTGCGAAGTAACGCCCGAAGGGTTTCACACACACCAAGACTCTGCGCTCAACAGCCTCGATGACTTCAGGTCCAGACTAAAGGGGCCCGTAACCGTTAATGACACGCCAATTACGTCGTCGACAAGCTTACCCGCATCCTGGCACCAGCACTCGCTTATCGTGTACGTCAACCTTTCCAGACGCAAGCAAATTCTTCAGCGATGGAGAAGCGCCGGATGCGTCCCAACGCTGCGGATAATGCCAACATGACGAAGGGATGACGACTGCTTTGGCCAAACACTGGGCAAGCGGCTAAAACTATGGTAATCGGTTAAGCATGACGAGCACGTATCTTGCCTGTCCGGGTTGCAATCCTTCTGCCCACAACATCTCCCATCGGTCGCTGTAAACCTCCGGCTCCTGTGGATTCCCAGCTGCCGGGGTCGTCGACGGTGTGCTTGCACTCCCAGTTACAGTCTCCATCACACTATGCCGTGTATATACAGAGCGAGCGAAGAAACGAAAATTGTGACGGTTAACAGCAAAGCCAGGAATAGCTCTCCGAGCGGCAAGCATCTGCTGCTATTTAATAAGCACAACGGATTAAAGTGTCACGCATGACGGCAATTGCTGGCGTGCGCCCGGCGTTTTCTACGGGCGGCATGTCGGACACTTATATGTACGGAATAGATAGTTACGCATCCTGCGGCACCAATCACAACACGCTTAACATCGTATGTGAACTGCGCAAACGAGCAGACCCTTACTGACAGGCGTAAGTGTAACACAGCCTGCCTTGGAATGCTACCTAGGAGCCCCGTTGTGCTATACATGTTTTTCCGATCACCTACCCAACCGACCGCCATCTTCCCTGGCCCCACAGTACTATGCACAGGCTGCAATACTACCTTCCACAAGCCCCCCCATGATGCACCGGTCAGTCATTGATGCATGAGTTGTAACGTCCGTTGCGCAACCGCGCTTGCCTAACGGCCTGTTCGTTGTCGCTTGATTTGAGGCGCCCATGCCTCTTCTCCTGTCCTTGCCGCATGCCCCCAGCCTCCTGCCGCACCGCCGCCTGCCGGTTCGTCATAATCCCGATGCGGCATTAGGCACTCCTCGGGACGCAGGTACTCGCACATCTCGTCCCATTCGTCCATGTGCATCTGTCGGGTTGGGCCGATCGGGTTTGGAACGGGATGAGGCTAAGGGCCCATGAACATACGGGAGGGGAAGGAAACGCAAGCTTTGGAGCAACCGTTGGGCTGCAAGAACATCATCCGTCACCAGCAATACGATTCACGCCAGTGCATGTCAGGCAGTTCTTGTACCGTACATGAATGAATGAATGGCCGTTACAGTGATATACCGGTATACATGCCGGTACCGGTACCGGTACCGGTACACATCAGACCTTTTCCGCTTCAGTGCGCAGGCACTTACCGAGGGGACGTACTGGTTGGGCAGTGCGTCACTGGTGTTGTTGGGCTTGTTGGCAGCAGCGCCGCCGGGCCCCTGGCGCCCCTCGATCACCCGCACATAGTAGCCGTCCTCAGTGTCCAGCAGCTCCACGTGGTTGTCCCGCACCAGGAAGGACAGCGCAAAGTGGTTTTCAACCGTCTGGGCGAACGAGCGGTGGTTGCAGATGGCCCGCACCATCTGAGCCTGCGCAGGCGTACGGCAGCAATCGGACGGCGGTTGCCAATGGATAGCGGTAGCAAAACAGCGTTTGAGGCTGAGGCCTGCCAGTCGAGTGTTATACTAACTGTTCAGTGTCATGCAGATTTGCGAAGTCAAAGTGCCGCTAGCAAGATCTCTGGAAGCCATGCCTCTCTCTGCGCATCGGAACCCCTACACCCAGGCTACCCAACTCGTGAACACCAACACCGCACCCATTACGAGGGTTACGACAGCCCTCACCAAAGCCCTAGTCCAACCCAGGCTCCACCCAGTTTACCGTGCGGTTGGGCTGCTCCCTAAGGATGTCCCACATGACAGTCATGTTGCGGTCCGTCTCCTGCTTCTCCTCCGACTGGATCTGCTGCACCTCCTCCGGCTTCTCAAGCTCACCAAGCGCCTGGGGGCCCGCCAATATGCGTCACGGATGAGAGCATGACATGGGGTTAAACAGGTACCGCCATAACAGACACAGCACGGCAATACAATGCTATTGAGTACGTGCGCTCTGGTATATAAGCCCCCCAGGCCAGGAGCCAGTGCCCCATATAAGCCCCAAGGCCAGGAGCCAGTGCCCCACCCGTAATTCCCCACCTGCTTCCTCTGGCGCTGTACCGGCGCCTTGCGCTCCTTGGGCTTGGCGTCCATGGGGCCCAACATGCAGTGCATGCCTGCGGGCCGGCGGACCAGTTCAGGGGACAGCTTATGTACACCACCCCGCAAACGCCCAAACACGCGCATCGTCCACACGTGCTCGCTGACTGAATGTTGCTGCGCTACCTACAGCCGCAGGCATCACATAGAGCATGTACGGCGTTCGGCTCACCCCGTGCCGGGCGTCTGAGGTGTTCCGTTGCTGCAGCAAGCTCGCTCCAGCAAAAGGCCATTGGATCCTCTTCGCCGTCTCGTTGGGGGTCGCTGGTGTGCACAAAAGCCGCCCGCAACGCCGTAATCAGCTCCATGGGTCCCCGCCCCTGCGGGTTACGTCGAGGGTTGGATGAGACTCCTAGCGTTCAGGTGCCTTAGCTCACGAAGACAATGAAACTTGGAGAACAAAGGTTACAGTGCTGGGTGCTATGAGTTGCCAGGAGAAGCGCCCGTACCTGCTGCTGCTGCACCAGCTTGTTTGTGGCCTCCACACCATAGCTGGTGAGCGTGCGGAGGATTTCCGCTTGGGCAGACACCTCCTTTGCTCTTCGAAAGCTGTCACCTGGCATAGGGCACGGATGTGTTTATATGCTTCAAGGGCCAGACCCCTCGGAGACAGCTCATTCCTGCATGAGACACGGGGTGCATTACTCACCTAGCGTGTCACCGCGATCGAGCAGGTTGTCAAGGCGCTTAACAGCCTCGTCCAAGCGGTTTGTACTCATGTCGCAAAGCACCTCCTTGTTCTCTGCGTGGGGTAAGCATCAGCCTTCAGCCATATACCCATTTGGCACTTTGCCATCCGGTCCTGAGTAAGCGCACTTTGTACATCCTCCTTCTGGTTCCGCAGCTCTTGGCGCAGCTTACGGCGAGCCTCTTCCTGTGACAAAAGGAGCAGCCAGGGAGGACTTAGCGCAGGCGACCTCCAGCATCTTGGTGCAGCTCTGTCAATGCGCACCTCCGCACGCGTTTCCCGAAGGCCTCCTGCCTCAGCCATTCCTACTTTTGCTTCAACAAGTAAAAGACTATGCGCCCTGTCTAGGGCCTGGCTTTGACAGAAATTTGCGGAAGGAAAGAGAACGAAGTCACGTATTGGCGGCCATAAGAATTCAAGTCGTATTCCTGTTGTGTATGTGTAAGGTAAGGATTGGAATGGGTTGGGTCGACTTGCTGGCGCCTCGTGCTTTGCTGTGCTGTGCAGCATGTGCTTTGTCGTTCAAATGTCGCATGGGCTATATGGCGAAGCAACGCAGCGGCGAACTTGTTTGCTGTCGTTTCTTATGCCATAAAGCAAGATGAATAACTGTATTTGTAAAGCGAGGGCGCGAGTGTCATGCAACGCATCTACCAAAAGCGGCTACCGGCACCGAGCGTCAGCCACGGCAACCGGACCTTGTACTTATGAGTGCACGTAACACTGGCGCACTGCATGTTTACATTCCTGGCTGGCGTAATTCCCACTGACAGCCTGGTTTGGCACTTCAAGCTCACGGGACTCATCAGCAGAAAGCCGGGTTTGGTGCTTGCCTTGTGAGCAAAGGCAGGGCGTCACAAGGCCTGCAGGGCGGAGCAGCATCGTCACCTTACAGAGCCGTTGTTAAAACGCGAGGGTCAGATAGCGGCACCTTGCCCTTAAGCTGGAATCTCGCTGGAATGACACGGCAGCTAACGGCAGCGTAACCCGTCATTCACGTTGCCCGAAGCAAATTGTCCGTCCGGCAGGCTAGTCCATCGCTTGAAATATAACACCAACTTTCAATCATCCAACAGCTCTTACTCCAGTCCAGCCGCGCATGTTCACTGCTCATGCACGTTCAACCTCAACAACATGGAGGATACGTCATGCATAGCAACATATACACAGCACCTTCATACGCATCACCCTGCCCTCCAAAGAAAGCCCTTCAAGACAACCATCCCTTTCCTGAAAGTCACCTTCCCGTAACCTAACTTCTTCGCAGCAACATTTCCTAGCTCCCCTGTCACTCGCGCTCCACCCCCCACTCTTCCTGCGCTATCGTATCCACCTTCCCTCTCCTCACTCTTTCTATCCTACTCTCCACCATCTTTCGGCGCCGCCGCCTCCGTCGTCGTCGTCCCCGCCAGCCGCCTCAGCATCGCCTCCGTCAGTCGTCCCTCCGCCACGAGCGCCAACTCCGCCTGCTCCGCCCACACCCCCTCCGCCGCCAACAGCAGCTCTGCCACCCCCCGCACCGCATCTCTCAGCAACCCCACAACCGCACAAGCCGCCGCCCCCTCTGCCCCGTCCCCAGCCGCATCTCCGCTCCCATCCGCACCCCATCCGCCCTCATTCCCCCCGTCCTCCTCCACCGCTGGTGGCGGCCGCGCGCCCAACCGCGGTACCGACACCGCCACGTCTCGCAGCCGCCGCCGCGCAGCCGCCAGTAACGCCAGCATCTGCCCCGCAGCGCCGCGGCTTGCGGCATCCGCCCGTGCCAGCGGCTGCAGCCCCGCGCCCGCCGCGCCCAGCCCCCCAGCAACGGGTTCCAATGCATGTACGGCATCCGCCAGGTGTAGGTCCGCGGCGTGTGTGTATAGCGCCAGGCTGCAGCGTACGGAGCTGAGCTGGGCGGCGGAGTGGCCGCCGTCGCCCTCCTGCACCTGCCTGCGGGAGATGAGCGAGACACGGGATGGGGTCATGAGGTCATGAGGATTCGCACGGAAGAGGGCGTACAGGAGGCGTTGGAGTTGACACGCGAGAAACGGGCAGCCGCGTGCAAAATAGGGGTAACAGGGCGCGGAGCCGTACAAATTGTTCATGCCCTTAGAGGCCAAGCCCGTGCCGTCGTACTGCCAACTCACCAGCGCATCTGCTCGTCCAACAGCACCCGGCCGTCAGCGCACATGCCGTACAGGCGCTCCGCTGCTCGCTCCAGGGTGATTCCGAAGCGGCCGCAGTGGGCCCCGGTGCGGGGGTGGCGCCGCGCCTGTGACCAGCCGGGCGCACATGCGGGACGCACCGGTTAGGTACGCACTGTCGAGGTTGCCATCATGTGCCCGAGCTTCTTCACAGCACGCTTCAGTGCAAAGCTACACTCATTTACCGGTAGTAACGGGTTGCTGCGGGGCCTTTCCGACGAAGGCACCCATACCCTTCACCATCCCTGCCTTACTCTCTTCCGTCTCTCTTCCGTCTCGCCCGCCTTGCCACCTACCCCCGCCCACCTGCACCCACCCACGGCCCCCCAACCCCACGCGCACTCCACGCCCCCACACCTTCACACCTCCCACCTGCACGTAGCTTCCCGCCAGCCGCAACGCCCGCGGCACCCCCAGCAGCGCGCTCCTCTCCGCCCTCAACCGCTCCAACAGCGCTCCCTCCAGGCAGCGAGCGTACACAACATAGCCCCGCAGCCCGCCGCCAGAAGACCCGCTGTCACCGCCGCCGCCGCTACACCTCCCGATGGTGTTACAGCCGCCGGCGCGGTTACCCTCACTGGGAACGCAGCAACCGGTAGCGGCGGAGTCGCCGACGCTGCATGTGTTGATAGTACGGCCGTGTGTTGTACGGCCGGTATTGTCGCTGGCAGGGGCAGCCGCGGCGGCAGGGGCGCCCGGAGTTGCGTGGCATCCGGTAAGCTCCTCGGCAGCAGCGGTGAGCAGACGACGCAGTAGACCGTGAGCTCCCTCGACGGCCGCGGCGGACGGGGGCGGAGGTGGCAGCGCGAGAGAGGTCGGCGGGTAGGGCGTATGCGAGTGGAAGGCTTGGAAAGGTGGGTGAGGAAGCGGCTGGTATGAGGCAGCAGATGCGGTGTAGCGGGGACCTTGGGGAACCACCAACCGCACCGTCAGGGGACGATGGGGCTGCGCCATGTGCTGTTTCTGCAGCTGCTGTGGTTTCTCTTGCTCTTGCAGTGGCCCCCCTTGCCACGAGTCAGGCTGCCTCCGCTCCCGTGCTCGCCCCTGCTGCCCCCGCTTGTGCTGCCCGCCCAGGTCGCAGCCATGCTGGTGCTCTTGTGGCCCCTGGCGTGTAAGCGAGCAACCGAGGTCACGTGATGCCGCCTGCAGCCACAGCCACGACACTTGCGACCCCTGTCGCTGGCGTCCATCGCTGATGCAACTGCCGTAGCCTCCCGAGTCCGCTACTCTGCTGTTGCGGCTGCTGTTGCTACTGTTGATGAAGGCTCCGCCGCCGCCGCCGCCATCCCCGTGGCTGGATGCGGCGGCAGGAGCGGCTGCTGGTGCGGAGGCGTCCGCCATTTGACCTGAGGGCTGCTCAGCTGCTGCTGGCTCCTGCCGCTGCTGCCGCTGCTGTGAGGACGAGGTCGGCAGGGGCGGCAGGGAGGACGAGGCCGGCAGGGGCGGCAGGGAGGAGGAGGCCGGCAGTGGCGGCAGGGAGGACGAGGCCGGCAGGGGCGGCAGGGAGGGTTCCAAGCCGTCGAGCCAGGCCTTCCAGTCAGGATGCACGGCTCTACAGCGAGCCAAATCAGCACCCGTCAGGCGGTCAAAGATCCCATGAACCATGTTCACGTACTTATCATGGCCTGCTGCCTTCACGGGGCAGCAACCGCTGTCGCTGCTATCGCTGCCGCTATCCGCTGAGCTGCCGCTGGAAGTAGAGCCGCTAATTGTATGTTTTGGGGCGTCCCCTTCGGAAGCACGACCACAGTGATGTGTGTGATTAGTTAAGGATCGAATAGGTTGGCTACTGGCTTCGCCGTGCAATCGTGCTCTGCTGATGTTGTCGCGCGCTGACGCAAACAGGATATCGGAATTACTTCCGCAACTTAAGGCGGAACCGGAGACCAGCACATCCCAAGGCAGCCTCTCTAAGCCGCAGGGAAAGGGGCTAACTTGCATTTTGCAAGGTGGCTGAGGCTGGTGTGCGCTTGGATGCGCCGTAAGCTGCTTTTGCCCCGAGGGGGAAAGGCAGGACCCATGGGTCGCCATCGCTCGCGGCGAATAGCAGGCCAACGTGCTTGAAAGGGATGCCAAGTTGGATAAACGGTAGTCTCGTGTCTTTGTAGGGCCTCAATATAAGACAGACTTTATCAAAATCTGATGCCGGCGCGCGCCTAGGGCTTAATTGGTCCGCGTCATAGCCTGTCAGGCCTGCCAGGCGCCCTTGCAATGGTCTGGCAACCGCTTATGTGGCATTGCTTATTGCCCCAAGAAAGCTATAAGGCCATTGAGATATTGGTTCATTTCAGAATATGCGCAAACATTTTTGTGGCTCAGCACGTGCTGCTCGTCACACGTAAGAGGCGTATCTTATCAGGCTTTTGAGGTAAATCATGTCAATAACTAACATCGTTACCTGACAAGCTTCATTACATTGGCGAGCGGAAAGTTTGAGACCTACTCGCCTGTTGCGTCTGTCAGCTTTCCATGTTCGAGTGCTTCGAAACGCTTTGCGAAAGAGGCCTCGAGCGTCCTTCCTTAAATTTAGAGCCCGGCAGACTACACGGGCAAGCCAATACCGGCAATGAGAGACGTTACAAATTAATGCAAACAAAGCTGGCTTCGCTTAGCGTGCAAGCCCCATGATCACTGGAGACGTGAGGGAATCGTCGAAAATCAACAAGCACGTCAAGAAGACAAAAGCTATCGTTCAGACGGGTACAATACTCAACAGGTTACAAAGCTAGGATTGAACCAAGGGGTACCATAACCGGTCGTGATGTCACTGTGTATTGGGGCGGGGATCGCGACACGTACTGAAAATGCTTGAACGGGAGAGAAACACATGACCCCTAGGGGTCATTTTGTCCAGACACCTAACCTCTGGGTAACGCAAAACACGTGTTCGACTTGGCATGCAAGCTGGGGGCAACTGGGCAACTGGCTACCTGGTCTGGATATTGACAGTAAACTGCACCCCGCGTGCTCAATCCTACTCCAAACGACGTAAAGATATAAATCAAGTTACGGGCAATGGCCGCAGTAAAAGCGCTCGCCTACCCTAAGACCTAGTCTGCGGACTCAACGCATCTGGGCAATGGCCCCAACCAACCGACCAACCTCTCGTGTACGTCCTACAACTATCCTCTGTCTACAACGCCTGCCAACTCATATCCGCCTGCAACGATCCGCCTACTCCTCCCACGGTCCAACCAAACCCATGCTCCTCCTGGCATGTATAGCACGCATCAGCCCTAACCGACCTGACCCATTACCAACGGCAGCAGGCGAGCAGGCGGGCGCCAGGCGTCGAGCTCACCCGACCAGCGCCCCTCAGCCAGCGACGGCTCACACGCCCCAACCTCCCCACCCGCCGCCGGGCCCTGAGGAACCCCGTTAATGCTCGATAGCACGTTTCCGCTAGCCCACCAGGCCTGATCACCCTCCTGCGGCGCGGCACCCAGCTGCGCCCCTCCCTCGCCGCGCGCCTCCTCCCCGTCCTCAAGACCCTCAGCGCTGCTCTCCGCGGGTGCGTACTTGTAGCCTCGCAGCAGTGGCAGCTGCTCCAGGCAGGCCAACACGCGCTGCTTGGCGGCTGCGGCGGCCGAGGTGAATTCACTGCCGGGCCCGCTGGCTGCCACCTGGGAGACGGCGAGGGCGATGCGCTGATAAGAGCACAACATGGCTGCTGCAGGGGTGCCGCAGCCCAGAAGGAACTGACCGGCAGCGGGGTGGAGAGCCTGCGAGATGGGTGGTTACCAATGGCGGGGTGGTTACCTACTGGTCTGAAACAATGCAAGGGTGAGGACGAGCAGGAGGAGGCGTTGTCACAGGCTAAGCTGAACACACTGTACTAGCACTGAATAAACCGGTGTGATGGGGTGGGCTTACCTGCGCCATGGCAGCTTGCACGCTAAGCGACAGCGCCACCGTCACCGTGCTGATGACGCCCATCTGCAGCTGCACCGTCGACAGCGGCAGCGACGTCACAACAGCTCCAGGGGCTCCTGTGCTGCTGCTGCTGCGCAGCCCGCTGTAGCCCTTGCCGGAGTTGGGCCGGGGCGGCATGGACATGGCAGTGACCACGGCCACGCCGGCCGCCGAGCTCGGGTTCCACTGCGGTGCAGCCATGAGCGCGGCCAGCAGCGCAGGCAGGCGGTGCCAGCGTTGGGCGGCTGCCAGGGTAGGCAGCATGGCTGTGGGGAGGGAGAAAAAGGGTGGATACAAGACTGTCGGGAATAGAAGCACGTTGGTGCGAAAACTGGAAAACTGGAAAACTCTTGTGGAGGAAAGGGAACGGTTTAGGATCGCAGGGCGTATCACTCACCAGCCAAGTAGGCTGTCAGCAGAGGATCGTCGCGGCAAGGAAGCAGGCAGCCACCATAGCTGCTCTCGGTGCTGCCGACGCCCTTGAACGCCAGCCGTACCAGCGCATGCCACTGACGCCGGTCCGCATCCGCAACAATGCTGCCTGCATGGCTGCCCGAATCCGCACCGCCGTCCGCAGACACCTCAAAGCCATCAGACACGGCAATAGGCGCAGCCATCTCACGCAAGGCCAGCGTGATGAAGTCAGCGGCGCGATCTGCGGCCGCCTCAGCCGCACGGCCTAGCTGCATGCGCAGCATGATGCAGCGACCTAGGCGTAGCAGCGCGTCAACAAGGGGCGAGAGGCTCTGGGGGCCGCGGCTGCCCGGGGCCGCAGAGGGCGGCGAGGTCAGGGCGGGCAGGGCGTGCTGTACGGCAGCCAGTCGCTTGTCAAGGGGCAGGTGGGAAGCGTCCAGCAGCTCTTGAAGGGGTAAGGCGTTGGTGTTTAGGTAGGCCTACGGAAGCAAGGTCAGAATTAAAAGGTCAGAAAGGTAGGAAGTCACCACGTCACCAGGGCGGCAGCTGAAGGAGCGGTAACGGGCAACGAGGGTACTGTTCTTCAAGGGCTAGGAGGAGGCCCCTGCACCCACCTGCAGCTGCTCCAGGCAGGAATGGATGACTTGCTCGCTGCCTCGCGCCAGGTCCGCGGCCGCGCAAGGGCCAAAGAGCTGCACAGGCAGGAAGGGTCAGGATGTCAGCCCGTCAGGGCAACGGTCACCAGGACGCCATGACATTCGTACAAGTGCCCTTAGCACCTTACCTCGAACAGAAGCGACAACTCCCGCACGCTCGTGGCCGCCGTAAGTGCGCTAGGAGTTGTGCGGGGCTCAGTCGTGTCGGCGGCAAATGCCCCCGCCTCGGCATCGTAGAAAACACCTTGACGGCGCTCGTCCAAGACGACATGCGACCACAGCCACGAGTGGATGGCGCGGAGGACGGTGCTTGGGGCACCCGCTGCGCCGCTGCCATTGCTTGACCCACCGCCGGACGCAGATAGTGCTGCGGTCATTGGGCTGAAGTTCTGATTCTGCTCAATCCCTGCGTACGAAGAAAAGAACTGGTGTTATGGATATTACGAGGTTGGTCGCGACGGACAGCGACACAAACGGGCTACATAGCACGGGTGCGTCATCGCAATAGACCGTACCTGTGCCATTTCGGATTGAGGGCGCGGGGGCGTTGATGGACAAGGACCGACCCATGGGTCCGAGCGTGCCGCCGCCACTGGACGCGGCGCTAATGATACTAGCGCCGCGGGTTGCCAAAGAGGAATGCAGCAGCGGGTTAGCGATCTCGGCCTTTTGCGTCTGTGTCGAAGCTGCAACCTCAGCCGACGTGGACGGTGGGGGGGCTCCGGGGCGAACACCGCCGGCGAGGAAAGTCGCGTCCAAGCCAATAGTCTGCATTGACAAAACACATACCAAGTACACACGCCTCAGTGTACTGCCACACGGTTGCGGATACCCTAAAACCATAATACCGAGGCAGATGGCAGGGCACAATTCATATCACCTTGCACCGTACGGGAAACATGGTCCATAGCAAGGGCTGTGCCTAGTCGTTTCTTACCTGAAGGGTGGGCGCACTGGTCTGCTGCAGCAGCAGGCGGGCCAGCTCCGGCAGCAGCTCGGAGACCAGGTGGGGCTGCAGCATAGACACCACCTCCACAAACCGCCGCAGGGGCGCCAGCTGGACAGAGGGCACCGGTACGGCAACCTGCATTGGGCGCATGGTGCGGTCGGTTACATGTAACATGCATTTGACGCATCTTTTGACAAGCAGTGTATATGAGGGACCAAGCAGCGGTTGTGAGGGAGTCCACATTTGCAAAAGACTGTACCTGGGTGATGGCGGAGGCAGTGGTGGAGAGCAGCTGCGAGAAGTTGTCCCGAATGGCCTCCACCAGCTGGGTACGGCATTGCATGAGGGCGTCGCCCGCGCGGCTGCTGTGGCCATCGTTTGCGTGCAGCATCCTGGAAAGAGAAGTTTGCCAATCCCCACCAGCATGGTTAGTTCTAGCAAAACCCCAAATCGCAATAACACATGCTATGACCTATACGTTGTTAAAAAAACAGGCTGGCAAAAGAGACTTGCCTTCCGTTGTCGAGCGCAAGGACCAGAGGCATCAACTTCGCCGCCAAGTCAGCAGCCGCCGGTAGGGTCGAAGCATCACGAGGCACTGGCGCCCGCTGTGGTACGGCACGAGACGCGAGGCCCTCCGTTTCGTCAAGGGACAGCCGACGGTGGTGCTGCGCCGCAGACGCGCCGCTGTCTCCACGCAGGCGCTCGGGTGTCAGGGACCTTCCTGCACTGCCGCCGCCGCTGACCCGCGGAGCAATGGCCTTGGCCAGGCTGTTACCGCTGGCGGTGCGGGACTGGACGTTGCCGCCGTTTGCGGGGTTCTCCAGCAGGTTGGCATTGGAGACCACGGCAAAGTCGAAACGGGCCGACGCCATATGCAACGGAGCCTGGTAGAGAAGGCGTAAAAGAGAGGAGAGGACACGCACGTCTTGTCAGGACAACACAGCGACACAGCGTTGTTGGTAACATGGATGCTGCAAGCGCAACATCCGGGAAGGTGAACAAGGGTGTAAATTACCGGTAACATGCTAGACAACATACACTTCCTACACTCCCAGCACTGCCCACCTTGACTACCGGGTCCAACTGCTGCCTCAAGCACGACACCACTATGTCCATGCAGCGGTGCGGCAGGTCCTCCGGCTGGAGCGGCTGCAGCCGCCGGTTGCTTGCAGACCTCGACAGCAGCCCGCCCTGCTGACCCGCGCTGCTGCCGCCGTCGTTGCTCGGGTGGCGGCTGGCGCCGCCGTTGGAGGCGCCGCCATTCCCGGTCGACACGCGTTGCAGCAGCAGCGCGCTGGAAGTCACACCGCCCGTGGCGGCCGTGTAAGCCTCCGTGCGGGCTGGAAGGAGCCAGTGCAGACCCTGCAGATAGCAAGCAGACAAGCCATAGCAACATCAGCAAGGGTGAATACCTTCCAAAATGGTGCAAAGCAACTCAACACTTCAACTCTGCATACCGTATCCTTGCATGCCGTACACGTCCGTGAGCGCAGCCAGGCAATAGTCAACACAACGCATTGCAAAAGGCTGCTACCTGCATGGCTCCCAGTGCTGCCTGCATGTTGTCCGACCGGCCGCTAGCCAGGCTGCGTCTGGCGGCGTCCAGCAGCGGTTCCACGCAGTGGTACAGCCCCGGGGCTAGGTCAGCAGCGGAGAAGTGCAGCAGCGGCCCCTCGTACAGAAGCCGGGCGGCATCCAGCGACTGCGCGCAGCGCATCCGGCGGGGCATACAACAAGGTGAGGAAACGAGGATACAGGTAAATGGGATGTAGATGGTATATGGGATTTGCCCATGTACAATCAAGTGTACTCTCCATCACAATCAAGTAGCTAACGACATTTGCAAAGGACATCCCACGAGGAAAGGGCCGGGGTTCGCGCGCGCGTACCTTTTGCAGTACATCCAGATAGCGCGTGTCTTCGGCGTACTGCAGCACCTTGGCCGCCTTGATGGGCGGGTCGATGCTGGCGAGTTGCAGGCTGACGTACATCCAGATGCCGCAGGCACTGGACACCCGCGCAGCCGCGTCGGGAGGAGGTGACGAGATGAGCAGCACACTCCGCAGGATGTCGGAAAGGTCCTGAAAGGGTGATGCAACAAAGGGAGAGCTTGCTGACGTCGCTGGGTAATGGATGAGCAAGGTAAACGGCAAAGGATTTGCATGGAGAAGTATAATGCAGAACATGAGGTATGGTAGAGGATGTAGACGGCGTACCTTGAAAGGCTGAAGGCCTGACGCAGCAGCAGCCGACTGTGCGGTGGGCCCAGCGGCGGTTTGCGCAGCGGCCTGGCGCAGACGGAACTCCACACGCGGCGTGCAGGTGACGACGTGCGCCTGAAGGTCAGCTCCGATGGTCTCCTTGATTTGCTTGCACAGTGCCGAGTGGTTCTCGACCTGTAGCGATAAGGTACAGCAATCAATAGCCATGAACCCATGATTCATGCTCTGTTTTGTCCGCCTGGGGCGCCTTTGGCTTTAACATCAAAACCCAGTGTCGCCAAACTTACCAGAATCCTGTGCATCGCATCCATAGCCGACAGAAGCTGCAGCGCCTGTGTACGACAACGCAGGGTAACGGTTAACGAACTTCAAAGCAAGGTTTGACCTCACACGGGTTCAGTCGCCCAGTAGCACCGCGGCTTCCCCCTCACCTGCAGCTCGTCGTCTCCCGTGCACATGCGCAGATGTCCGGCGTTAAGGAGGCCCCGGGCGGCCATGATGGGGGCCATCTCGGCCGGCACATCACGGACCTGGTGCCTGCGAGGGTACAAAAGGAGTTGCGATGAAAAGGATTGGGGGAGAGCAAACGCATGCGAGATGTCCGTCCTTGCATTGTCTTCATGAGTGATGTGCCGAAGTCCTTCCAAAAGCGTACCTGCAAAACCACAGCAGCTCCTCCCGGCCCAGCGACAAGGCTGCAAGCAGCATCTCCATTTGCCCCGGAATGCGGGACGGGCACGCCTGCACAGGGAGAAGCACCCTCAACTTAGCATGTGCGGTGTCTTCTTCGCTTCTCCTTGGTTGTTCTTCCCGCAACTCACCAGGCAGGCTGCATGAATGTTGCGCAGCTGGCCGATCAAGTAGGCGCGCCACATGCGGTGTTGCAGCGGCGCCGCCACGACGGCGGAGCACACCGCGTCCACCAGCAGCGGGTGCGGCGCGGGCGGCTGCTCCGGTGCGTCGCTGTCATCCGTGAGCGACTTGCGCAACCTGCAGATCAGGTAGCCACGAGTACGTCATGCGCTCTGCAATTGCTTACACCAATGACTCATAACTCAGCGCCTAGCAAACCTCAACCGAGGCGCTGCAATCTGCACTCCACATGTAAGCCGGGTGGCTGCCACCGCAAAACTCACCTTCCCACGCCGCCGCCAATGATGGCCATGCCCTTGCCCAGCAGGCCTCCCAGGCCGCTGCCCGAGGTGGTGAAGCTGCCCCCGGCAGAGGCGCTAGCAGCCGTGCCGAGCGCCGCATTCATTGCGGGCCCCAGGTGCTGCAGCACCAGTTGGTGGGCGCAGGCAATGCGGTCCTTGTACACGTGAAGGGCAAAGCCGTCCGCCAGCAACACTGAAAGGCGCTCCGAGGAGCCGTTCTGGCGCAGGAGCTCTGCGAGCGGGGGGTTGAGTGTGCAACGGAGCGGACCCGGAGGAGTGAGAGTGCATTTTTGGTGAGAAAGGAAATGGCGCAGGGAAGGCGGGTGGGAGGCGTGTACGATGTGGCGTTCCTTTCGGCCAGTTGGGGTCAAAGAGGTTAAAGAAGGTAAATCATGTAAACGGGGTGGTCAAACAACACGACAACGCTCACCTGGAAACACCAGGAAGCCCAGCAGGCCCCATTGCCGAATGGCCTCGCGGTGGCGCAGGAAGGGGTAGACCTGCCGTCGGGTCATGCCAAACATGCCCATGGCCGGTGACGTCTCTGCCTCACCAGCACCCGAGCCGTTCCTCGAGCCCACACCGCCGCTGCTGTCCGCATCAACACCAATGGGCATCTCGAGCAGCCCAGCCGCGGCGACTCCCTCGCAGTTATCGGCGACCTTCATGGCCGGCCCGACGACGAGCTCCAACACCTGCACAAATAACATGACATCCAGGTGGGTTAGTTATTCCATTATCGCCTTGCTATCGCACACTGATGTCATGTACACAATCAGTCATAGAACTGCGGGCAGCAGAGCGTGTGACCATGTGGTCACGCGTCCATTTCCGTCAGCAGCAGCAGCAGCAGCAGGCACACCTGGGCGATGCGTGGCGTGGAGGGCTTGAAGAGCTTCTGCAGATAGACCACCATGGAGGGCTCCGAAAAGATGGGGTCCTGCGCGGTCGCCAGCAGCGGCGCCGCCGCCTCCTTGTCCACATGGGAGCAGGCCAGCTGCACCATCTGCGAAAAGCGACACGAACAAGTTCGTAAGGCGTCGCAAGGCATCGATTCGTTGTTGATTAGGGCTGATAGCTAGCATGGTGCGTGCGTGCGCTCACCTGTGCCACGGCACGCCGGGGGACGTCCTCGAGAAGCAGACCCGCCTTCACGGCGCCGCAAAAGGTGTCCATGTACTGATGAAGCAGGTCCGGGTAGGAGCCGAGCTGCGAAGAGAATGAAGGTACCAAACGGGCTAAAGAGAAGGGACTGCATATAGTGTTGTGACGTTTAGCGAGGCACTACGCGTCGATTATGTTGCAATCACGCAGGCTAAGGTTGACGGGAAAGCTGCACAAGCATCGGCGGCGCCGTACTCACCGTCAGCGACCCCAGAACCCGGTGAAGCTCGGCGAGTAGCTGCCCGATGGACGTGAAGTTTTGCGAAATGATCTGTAGGCGACGAGCATGGAAGGGTGTACATGTCATACGGTATTAAGGGTGCGTGCATGAAAGGCGCATTGAGGCAATGCGCGCAGCAAGGGCGGCCGCTTAAATGGCCCCGGCCATGCCACTTGCCTTGAGGCTTGAGACGAGAGGCTGCACCTCGGCTACGTAGGTAGAAGCCTTCTCCGCAAGACCGCGAACAAACTCCTGCAACCGTTATGAACCCGTGCATTGGTTAAATTGCTTCAAAAGAGCTAATGGTAGCGACAACGCATACCTTTTGTGCCTTGGAGTCGCCGCCGCTCCCACCATTGAAAAGCTGTCGCCAAGAGAAAACGTCAGCGTTAAAGGTTTCCAAGGGACACGGCTGATTAAAAAACATGATTACGAAATACCAACCTGCGGGTGCTGCTCCATAGCGGAGAACAATAGCGGCAAGCCCCTTTCCACATACGATGGGTGCGAGTAAACCCAAGCCCTCTCTTGGATGTCTCGCACACGCTGGCCATACTCAAGTAGAAGCTGCACTAGCTGTCCGGGGGTGACTGGTGCTGAGTTCGCCATTGTAGCTTAGACTATCTTAAAAAGGCCGAATGGCATTCAGAAGTAACCTAGGCGCACATTCGTATGAAGCGTTTTGCGAACTTACAGGAAAACGTATGCTCTGGTTGTTGTCCGTAATAGAGTTGTGAGTGTCAGTGCGCACGGTGCGACAGCTGCCTAATTAAAATTGAACCAAGCCGTGAAGAACGTGTGGGGCTTCGTCGGGCACTTTTGGCTGCAGAATGGACGTCTGGAACACTAACTACAAAGTTTAAACGTTGAATCATAAATCGCCGGATTGAATTGCCCCTTGTACGGAGGCTGTCGTACATTAACCATCAACGCTTGGTTGTTGGCAGCGTTAGCGCTGTACTGAAAGGCGACACAGGGCGCAAATTTTCGGAAGCCATTTGGGCTTCGTTCGGGCAAAGCTGATGTTGACAGGGGTTCCATCCTTAACACAATTCCACGCGAAGGGGCCAAAAAGAACGCCAAACCCCTGTAGCCTACGAGGCGTTTGCCTAAAAATTATGGAGCTTCCACCGTGAGTTACCTGCGGTGTTGCAACGTTACGCCGATGCACCTCTTCTTTGCTGTGCGCGCCCTAACGGCCTTTCCGGTGTGTCTTGCAGCACCGCCATTGCAAAGGGCAACGTTACGGTGCCTAGCGAAACTGCGGCGCAAAAGCTATTGCGTGCGAAGGTATGCTGTTGCTGAATTGTAACCCCCGGGTCCTTCCTCTGGTGCTGGGCCCCTGGCAACACCTCCTGCAAGCCCTTCCAACACCAGTGTTCGGGCGTCCGTGGGAATCCTCCTCCTGCGCTTGCCTTCGTGTCACCACGCAGGGATACCCATATCCGCGCCCTGACACGTCGTTCATATTCGTGGCTGGTGACGTCTTCTTGTTTGACAACGAGCAGTGGCGTGGCACTGACCGTTTGGACGAAATCGTCGGCCGCTGTGGGTACGATGGGCATAATGAGGAACAAGCGATGGGTCGTATGCCAGGTCATTAATGGTGTCCACGCAACCGTAAGCTCGAACACACCTTGCCTTGAAAGCTGCTAGGGTAGGGTCCCAGAACGGCCCGCATTCACCTACACAGTGCTGTAAAAGACCCCCTTCGCTTTCCCCCTCATGCAAATCCATGTTGGGTTGTTACGCATGCATTATGTTAGCAAGCACAAATGCTTTGCTCGCTTTTTTGTGCCCACACAGGTCGACAGCTACAGCTTTTGCGGCTGCCCGTGGCGTTGACCTGTCGTCCCTCGCTCGCAAGGAGCAGTTTTGGCCGGTGCTGGCAATAGGCAGCAACGCCGGTCCGGAACAACTGCTGCGGAAGTACCCAGTGCAAGACTTCCCTGATTGCGTTGTGCCGGTAAGCATGCAACAGAGCGAACTTGAAGCTACATAAGCAGCTGTCGTATTTCACCCAACCCCTATCGCCTGGAACTTAGATCCTAGCCGTCCTCAGCTCTTAGGCTGCGGCCTGTACCGGTACCCGCAGCCTGCATGTGTCTTCTGCGACCGGCTTCAAAGCGTGATGTTACGCCTGCAGGTGGTCCAAGTCGCGCTTGAGGACTTTGACGTTGTCTACACACCGTACCTCGCCACGTACGGCTCATGTACGGCAACCCTCGAGCACTCGCCCGGCACCGTCACGTCCATCTTCATCACCTACCTGGCAAGTCCTCTGGCCGCACGAAATGCTGCGCGCACCTTGTGCATTGTGGATGTGCGTATCTTTAACGCAGCTTTTGGAGCACAGCCCTGTCGTTTCAAGTGCGTGCCATTAGGAAGTGCGTCCCGTAACGCAGCCATTCCCTTGCTGTGCTCTCCTCTCTGGTGCGATTCCAGACCGCGCCCCTCATGGAGCGCATGCATGCCACGGAGGGCGGCTACAACCTTTGTCGTCTGTCCGGGCTGCGACTTCACGTGGCTCCCAGGCCCGTCGCCGAGCAGCCTGCAACAGGACGCGACCGGACTAATTCGCCAACGGGGACCACAGCCCGAGAGCCGGCTGATGCCGAATGCATGGTTCTGCCAGATGCGGTAACGGCATCTCGGCCCTGCAGCAGTCTGGAGAGCTTCGAGGTCCGCGACTGGGTTTACCAGTACAACCACCGGCTGGGCTGCATTAGCTTGCCGGTGAAGGGCTTGGGAGGTGCGTGGGTGGGGTGAAGTATGCGGGGGTGGGGCAGCTGCTAGGATGCTTGGGACATGCTGCTTATAGGTTAGGCACAAGGGGCCTATCAATGGCTGGGGCCACGATTGAAGTTTAGTCCCCTTCCAACTGCCGCTGCTGTTTGCTTACAATAACCTTTTGCGGGACGCTGGGTTAGCTATAAACGTGTTGGTCGCCTTGGAAAGCAGCTTCCCTCGTAAAGATATGATGCTGCCGCCTTTCGTCGCCCCACAGCCACTCCAATCGCCATAGCGGACATTCCGGCGATGGGCCGCGTGTTTCCGGCTGCGAGCCAGGTCGAGATGCTGGGTGCGTTAAGGCAAGCTCTCGGTGGCGACTTGCAAAGAGGTCTCTTGACGCCTGTTGTGCTGCACGGTAAGTCACATACAAACGGGTGCAGTCCGGGCGTTTGCATCGCCTTGGGTGAGGTATGGTTCCTATAGCTACTCGTTTTGCGAAGCACCGTTTTGGTGCCAGCAACCCCTGCCGCTTGGAAATAAGGCTTTGATGCCACAAATGCCTTCCTCCGCCAGGTTCGTGCTTGGAGGCAATGGAAGGGGGCGATGACCTTGACACCTGGATTCTTGGCATCATAAACGACAAGCGCCGGCGCAAGGCAGCATGCGAACGCTTGGAGCAGCATGCGCAGCTGTTCAAGTACGGAAACTACGAAGTTGTGGTCTCTTTGGGTTAGGTTTTGACGCGAATGGGGAAGGAGTCTGTCCTGCAACAACGATGCACCTAGTTGGTCAGAAGCATCGGCACGCGCATAGGGCTTGCCGTTCATAGCGTGGGGCTTTGCGACGGGTGTCTAATTCCTAACGACGTGAGACGGCGACGATGCGCAAACAGGATGATATTGTGAGAGGCGGGGGTAACGGCTATATTTTCCTATCTTCTTGTACGGCACAGGCTGTGTATCCGTGTGCAACCGTCGCACCTACCATACTAAAGATATGGCTGAAAGAGCACTGAAAGTGCGCGCAAACTGGCACGTAAAACCACGCAACTGTGATGACAATGTGAGGGGGGTGGGTGGCTGTGCTTTGAACGGTGCCGTGCTGTACAGTACGACGCAGTGGCGATGTTTGGGTGATTGAGTGGAGAAGAGTGATGTGATGGATGCCGAACCGTACTGCACAGTGGGGTTCAGAGGAGGGGATTTGAGAGTACTATGGGAACGATGGTGGTAATGGGGTGGTGAGGAGAGTGGATAGCATGCAGCTGAATCGTACTGTGTTCAGCAACACAAACCGGTTACACTCCTCATGATAGTTTCCAGAAGTTTTACAAGGAGGTGCTCCATCACAATGACAAAGCGACACCCGGAAGAAGAAAGCCTACTTTGGACTATCGTTTAGAGATACTGCACGAGACTAGCTTTGGCAACCAGCACTGACTACATCTATGTTAACGCTTCATTCGTGTATGTAACTTGCTGAGGGCGCAGACAAGGGTAATCCTCACGACGCATGGAACTGAAACTCTCAGATTGACTTGAAACACTTTACACGACGGCAACAGACCGCCCCCCTCCAAATCATGCGGAGATGAGACGGCATGTTGACGTATGGGTTACGACTCGCTTTGCATAGAAGTAAAAAAAATGGTCAAAATAGAACCGACAAACAAGACAAGCACAAACACCAAACGATATGCAGTACGCTGCCACACCACAACGCGGTACCATGTCACAACACGGCAATAACGAACGTTAAAACGTCCCTAGCCCGCACTAAACATCGCACGTTATGTTTTGGTGTTGGCGATTGAGCAGCAAAAATGTAGAAAATAACTATATGTATCACAATCGCAAACACCAAAACAGAAGCAGGAAAATTGACTCGACATATCACACATGCGCCGACGAAACAGCATTTTGTGCACCGTGAGTTTAAGCACAGCCGCTCCTGAGGCAGCCGCAAGACCTAACGATAATTCTCGAAGTCGTCGCTCATAACAAGCCCAACAAGCCCTGCAATGTGCGTTTGCATGGAAGACACACTGCCAAAGACCCGTAACTAGGCATGCTAACTACTACGCAGCTCAAGACTGCACACGAAACCTTGCATGTTCTTCATTAGGCCCCACCGTTTGCACACCATAAACCTGCACTCGTGCAGCATAAGCAGCAACCAGCGCTTTCAAACCAGCATGAGCTCTCAGCTAAGTCATAACAGGTCGCCAGTTTTAACTGGACGTAAAGCCCCTGTACCTGAAAACTAAATAAGCCTCCAAACCTGCCAACCGAAACACCCTCCTGCCCCTGCAATCGCCTGCCACTAACGTGCCAAGGAACCTCACATGCCCCTTACACATGCGATATGGCATGCATGAGGTCCATCATTCCAACTCCCTGCTGATTGCTTCCCCCACCGCGCAGCTGAAGCTGAAGCTACTGGAAGTTGAACTGGGGAGCCGCTGCCCCAGCGTTGGGGTCCCCAAAGTTGAACGCCCCCTGAGCTGGCGCAGGGGCGCCAAAGGAGTAGGTGTTCTGGGCCGGGTTCACGCCTGCAAAGAGATGGGAGAACATAGACCATTTCTTTAGATCCTGCATGGTTTTAAGCACCCGAATAGACAGGATACGTCACATCGCGCCATCAAGGTACCGTTAGTAATGAAGTCGCATGATGGCAGACAGTCGAAAACCCAAGACCTAAACTTACTTGGCGCCAGGTTCTGGTCATCGCCCTCATCCACATCGAAGTACGTCTCCAGGATGTGCACCGCCTTCTCGTACAGGTCCTCGTTGGGGTGGTCCTGCAGGTGCTCAATCTTGTCCAGGCCATCGGCGTCCTCAATCTGCTGCGCGTACGGGTTAACTCCAGCGCTGCCAGGCATATTGCGCTCCTGCTGCCCAATCTTCAGGATGTTCTCCAGGCCCTCCAAGGCAACAGTGATGATGCGAATGTCGGCGACCGTCAGCAGGTTGCACAACGGCGGAATGCAGCCCTGCTGGACCAGGTACTTAATCTGCTCCGAAGTGCCGCCAGAGGTGGCGTTGCTGATAGCCCATGCCGCCTCCTTCTTGATGTCGAACTCGGCGGTGGAAAGCAGGTTGATGAGAGGGGGAATGAGCCCGGAGTCGACGACACACTGGATCTGGTCCTTCGTCCCGGCTGTGATGTTGGACACGGTCCAGCACGCCTGCACAGGCGAGGGTTGACACGGACATGGCGGGTAGAAAGTCGCGGTCAAATCAATACACATTTTCTGGTGTTACAACGGGTGGCAGTCATTTCCCAGTATACGTCCCTTTCCTGAAGGCAAACCCCCAAACTTACCTCCTTCTTGATGCTCTTCTTGTGGTTAGTCATCATCAGGTTGTGTAGGCAAGCCAATGCCCCGCAGTTGATAATAACCTGGGTCTGCATGTCGTTGCCGGTCACAATGTTCCCAACAGTGCGGAGGGCAGGGACAAGCACACCAGGCGACGAGTGCCTACATTGGGAAAGGGGGTACAGAGTCACTTACCAGTTCACGCATAATAACTAAGCAGGCAAAGAACTCCAGAACCCGCTAACAGCTATGCAGGTAAGCAAAGAACCCCAAAACCCATTAGAGGACTTACAGGAGCAGCTCCACGAGCCGTCGGCACACTCCCGACTCGATGACCTTGTCAATACGGTCGTTATCGCCATCGGAGAGGTATGAAAGCGCCCAGCAAGCATCGGTCAGCACCTCCTCGTCCGTATGGTGGATCAGGCGCGCCAGCGTGGGCAGGGCCTGGCGCGTCTGCGCAGCGGCAAACAGGTTAAGTCGGCAGGGCAATTCGCCAGTGAAAGGTGCAGCACGTCAGACCCTAAACCCAAGGCTTACCACAGTGAAGTTAGGCGCGGGCTTGCCACGGCAGAAGTTGGAGAGCGTCCAAGTGGCGTTACGGAGCATGGAAATCTTGCTGTTCTCCTTCAGCTGCTCAAGCAGCGGCGGCAGTGCGTTGTGCCCAAGCACATAATCGCGGCACTTGGGGGAGTCACCGGCAATGTTGCCCAGTGCCCAAACAGCCTACAAGGAGAAGCTGTTCAGTACTATGCCACATTTTGTGCAAAATAGAACATAGAGCTGACAATCATACCTGCTCGCGGACATCGTCGTTAGGAGAGTTCAGGAGCTGCACAAAGATGGGCACTGCGTTGTGGTCGATGACCACCTTCGTATGCTCAGAAGTGCCCGAGGCTACGTTGGTAAGGGCCCAGGCCGCCTCAAACTGCAAGAAGGATGTACAGGACGTGTTAGGCAAATTCCCTGTGCTATGGCAACCTTAGGCGGCAATGTGCTTGCCTGGAGCTGAGGCGTGTCATGGCGCATCAGGAACTCCACGAACTTGGGGATGACGCCCGTCTTAATAACCTCCTCAATAGGCGGGTTGCGCTCTGCACAGGACACGGACAAACACAGTCTGTATGGGGACACATTCGCGACGTCCAGACCAAAGCGACTTACCAATCGACAAGAGCTTCCTGAAGCGCTGGGTTGCATCGTACTGCTCGCTGACGGTTCCGTTGAACACGCCATGGACCATCATGGGCAGCTCATCGAGCTGGTGCTGCAAAGGGAGATTGGGCGTTCCGATCACTCCCGCGCCGAACAACAGAGAATAGACTACAGTCCCACATGACATGGCAATTTGTTAGGATCAATCCCAAAAGTATCTTACCCGCCCAACAGCGTTCTTGGTGCTATCCTCGATGCCAAAGTTGGCGGACGCCGAGGCCGGCGCAAACGTGGAGCGCTTCTTCTGCAGGTTCTCATCGCGCTTGTTCTGACGGAGAGCGATGATATTGTCCTCACGCTTGCGGCGCGCCTCCTCGGCATCAATGCCCTTCTTGTACTCCTTCTTGCGTGACACGTCGGGGCGCAGCATTTTTGTCTACTTCGCAAATGCAGGAGTATGTAATTATAGGAGAAGTAGAGAACGCCTCCATAGTATTTTCGCGCGGGTGCCTTTGTATGGATTGTTTCAAAATCCACGCCCTCTCCTGGAGCCCTGAGCTGTCAGGCTTCATAAGGAAATCCCGCCTTCTAACAAACATTGCTTCTATTGTATGTGAAGCTGCGTAATATAAGATAAGGCAGCTAGGTAACAAGGGTTTGCGGCCAAGGAAAGTCTTGTCATGCTCGTTGCCAAATTCCCCCAGGCGCACCATTTGGGCCGTGGCTTGATAAAAAAACGACTTGTTCGCAAGCAGACTGACGAGCAGCTATTGTTGTAGCGGTTGTAAGAAACTGTTTGCTCGTAACAGCTGAATGTTGAGACTAGGGATGTTGCAAGCGCGGGCCTACCCCAGCAAAGCTCCTTAAGGCACCTTGACAGGCTAATTGAACTCTGGTACATAAAAGACTGTGCTATGCTTTGTTCGGGTTGCTTCACCCCTTGTTGCCTGCGACAATCCTCGCTTGTCATGCTTCGTCAGGATTGGCTTGCAACACCCAGGCCCGCCTTTGTGTGCCTCCCCTGCGTCCAGATACGACCATGCTTAAGATATTTCGAAATGTACTCAGGAATTATGTGCAGATGTTGCTAGAGGCTTATAAGTGGACATCTCAACGCCAACATTACGGGAAGGGGCTGGAAAGTGTCCCAAATTGAAACTTGTGTTGATGGACACTTTCCTCTAGAAGGGAGACGCAAACGTTTGTGACCGTCAGGCAGGAAAGTTTTGTAATCTTAGAAACAGCAGGCCACGTAGGGGTAATCCTCTATGCTTGTCAGGGCTATTTACTGTCTAAGTGACAATTGCCGTCGAATGGGGCTTGGCATGCCATGCGTAGTTTGGTTGCCATGCGGGCCTCTTGTACGGCGAAATAGCCTGGTGCACGTTTTGGAACGTACCCTGCGGCATGTAGGCATGCGGCCGGGGGTGCGCTTCCGGCTCGCCCCTGAGCTTGCAACGTCGCAGCTTAGTTACTCCCACCGTCCCATGTAAAGCTATATGGACGACATGCCTAGGATTTTTGTGACAGCGCTAGGCTAATATGCTTGCAGCGCCAGTGCGCATTAGCTCAGTGAATGTAGGCTATGCTTGCGCTGCCCAACATGGTGCCGATTTGACTCTTCTTGCCTGGTCGCGTCGTCGTCTGGTCGCTTCGTGCACCCAGACTCTCTTCACCATCCATCCGCCATCCCCCCTAGGCTGAGCTACTAGATCAGCGACAGCCGTTGGCCCTGACATGCCGGGTGTCGTACGCCACTACCATACCGGCGGGTGTCCGACTCCCTAAAAGCCTGCGATACTCGTATACCTAAAAGCCTGGTATGATGTCAATCCATGCGTCTCCTTAGCGCCTACCGGTGAAGCGCTTCTGGCCCGGCTTACTGTCGTGACATAACCGCAGATGATGAAGCGTGTTCAGACGACAACGCGTGTGCTGTTAGTGGCACAATGCAGGAAACGTTGCAAAAGGACCTAATCCATATCCGAGCAAACCCCGCACTGGTTCCGCGTGTCGTGGTACAAAACACCTTTTCGTCTTTCATAGGCGTTTCCTGGCAAGGGCTTGGACAATGGTTGCCTGGTCCTGCAAGGCGCACCGCATGTCCTTGTCCGCGTCCGTACCCACATCCTCCTCTTCCGTCCCCGGGTTCACTTCTAGACCACACCCGGGTCTTAGGGGCACATAGCGAAAACAGGTTGCATGTCGACAGCGCATGCTTACAAGGCTGCCTTCAGGCTTATTCATGGCTGTTGACAACGGTATCCGTCCCCGTGCTTACGGTAGCAACAACGAGAGTACGACACATCAAACCACCAATGTGCTGCTGACAACCACCATCACAAGAGCGCCTAGTGTGTATCTCTAGGCTGCCGACTTGGGCGCCATGATAGGCAAGAAACACCAGCCGCCCCGTTGGCGCCCACTGACGCCTGCCAAGGCGCCGCCAATCATGCATTCACGCTTGCGGCCTGCCTGAACGAGTCCATGCATGTGTCCTTGAGCTTGCATCAGGCACGTGCGGTTGACAGTCTAACACTCCGTCTATCCCCTCGTTTCACAAGCTCTGTTTTCACAAGCTCTGTTTTCTGAGGACTTTTTCCTGGCCAAGTTCAATAGCGCTATTGAGAAGGGTTGTCTGTTAAGAGGTGTCTGCCTGGACCATGCAGCAAATCTACATTACTCCTGAGCATTACTCCTCAGTTGGCCCAAGATCCGGCGCGTCTTCGACATGTCCTAAGCATCGCTGCGGCTGCGGCATTACACCAAATCACAACCAACCAGCAACAACAACAGCAGTTTCCGCTATGCCAGGCGCAGCCGCAAGTATACAACGCTCAGCACCACCAGCCTGCCCAGAACACACGCTTCCTCACGCCGTTCCTCACGCCCAGCGTTAACCTTTGAATGCGGCACCGGTGCATGTGTTACCAGCTGCAGGCCAGGACCACGTTACCTTTCCTGCTTCTGGCCAAGCACCTGCTCTTCCCCCTTGGCCAGGCGGCCGCCGTGGCCGTCTACCCCAATCCCAACCTCAGCGCGGTCGGCAGGGTACGACAAGCAGTGGCACAAGGTCCCAAGGGATGGGAGGCGAGTAGCGATCCACCGAGCGTAACTGGCCAGTGACGGTGCGTAGTATGGCAGTAGTATCCTGAATCCGCTTAACTAAATACGCTGCGGCTGGACTGCCACAACGTGCCCGCCCTTTTGGTCCTGGACTCCGGCTCATGCAAGCAAACAACATTCTCGCAGCCCATCACATGTTGGCCCGACCAGCCCACTCGTTCTGCCGTTTCTGTTCGCGCTGATTAGCGGCGCTCCACTTGCCTTTGCCCTTTTCCAGGAGGGGATCATATACCTGTGGAAAGATAGGCGGACAAGGCCAATAGGATTGATTGTTAGCAGCCGTGTTGCCGTGTCGCCTGTCCTGTTTATCGTTGCATTACCGCCCATGGCACGCCCAACGAGCACCTGACGTGCCATGCCCCCCAAAACTTCCTTCCTCTATAGCCCAAGACATCCTTCCGTTGACCCGAACCGTCTCCAGCACTAGCTTACCACATAGTCATCCAGGTTGTCCATGTCGCGGGCCATGGCGTCCTTGCGCTCCTTGCCCGCCTCAAAGCGATGCTCCCGCAGGCTCGCCAGCGCGTCGCCTCCGCCGCCTCCACCCTCCACGTCCTCTTCCTCCTCTAGGTACCCGTCTACACGCCACGCCGCGGGCATGTATGCGCGGTGGTCCACATCGGACCGCACCTTGCCCGCATAGCCGCCGGCGTCCTTGCCGCTGGCGCCAACATCGGCGGCGGCGGGGCCGGCTTCATCGCCTGAGCGTGCGGTTGATGGCTTTCCTCCTGCTGCCGGGGCATCAGGCTTCTTGGAAGCAGCAGACGGAGCACCTCTGTAGGAGGCAGCGACAGGGGAGGCGCGGTTACTTCTTACGATTGGAAATGCTTTGTGTGCTGGGACGGCTACACGCACGTGTAACCTGCAGATTGCGTGGATGGATGGGCGGTACCCACATGCCTGCTGGCCGGATCAAGTCCAAGCCCAAGACCCTATCCCACCCGGACGTTCACCTCACACTCACCTGAGTGCCGATGTAAATTTAGACAGTCGCGCCAGCGTCTCCTTCTCGCGATCCCCCACTGCCTTCTTGCGCGCCTTGTAGCGCTCCCGGTTCAGTTGCCACGGCTTCAACAGGTCGCCGTCCGCAACCTGGCAGATGGCCAAGGCACCATGCAATACGGTAAGCTCATACTGCCCAAAGACCGGGTTACGGGTTAAGGCCGCGGCATTGCCTTCGGGCTAAGCGGTGGCCCACCACAACAACTACGCGTCAACGATACCAATTCCAACATCCCCTTGACGGTGCGCCTGGCAGCTAGCACGCAGCGTCAGCAGTAGCGCCGCACCCATGCAACCCAACAACCCGCCCTGCCTGCTTACCTCGGCCACGGCCTTAACCCTGCCGTACGTTCGGTTAGTGGCCTCCTGCCGCATGGCCTCCAGCTCTGCCTGCCGCTCCGCCAAGTAGTTCCGAGAGCCGCCGGCGTCCCGGCCGCTGCCGCGCCGCTTCCCGCCGTCGTCCTCGTCGCCACTGGGGCTGGGGCGGCCGCCCTCGTCGCGGTCTCGAGACCCTGAGCGCCCCACGTCCCTGCAGCAGCAAAGGCAGCCAAGCCGCGACATGGTGACGGAAGCCGCACCGTGGTATGTACGGCGGCAGGGAAGGGCAGAGCAGGCAGCGGGATGCCGGCATGCATGCAACTCGGAGATGGCGAGCAAGCACCCTTCAGACAGCTCGTCACGAGACAGAGGCATCGTATGCTTGCTTACAGGCACACGCACCTGGCTGTCTTCGCCTTGGGCTCATCCCCTGCCTGTGTGCGTGCCGCCATGACTTTGGCGCGCATGGAGGCCGCGAAGGCGGCGGAGGCCGCCTTGGCAGCCGCGCCTTTGCCATCGTCTTCGGCATCCAGCTCGCCGCCGTCGTCTTCGTCTGCCTGCTCGTTGCCGCCGCCGCGTGTCGCACGCCCTGCAAGTGGTGAGGCCAAAGAAAGACCAAACCACACGTGAGGGCAAGACGAAGGGGGCTGGAGGCCCCTATCATTACGGAACTCGACCCCTCAAGCGCCGTTTGGCACCGTCCCACTCACGGGCCCACTCACCCACGGCTTGCTCCACGGCCGCTTTAGCCCTGGCCAGCGCATCCCCTGCGCCGGCCCCCTCTCCGCCGCCCTGCTTTGGCCGCTTGGCTGGGCGCTCAGCTGCTATGCGCTGCAGCTCCGCCTCCTCTATGGCCCGCTCCTTAGCAAGCCTGGGAGACGTCGGGGGGTTGAGGGAAAGACGGGGAAGAACACCAAGGAAGGCCAGCAAGTGAAGAAGAAGTCCGGTTGGCGACGGAACTGAGTGGCAGAGCTTTAAACCCTGATTTTACTTAGAGAAAGCCACGCTTGCTAATCCTTGCCCGGTATCCTAACTACCATAGGTTGGGAAAGGCAGGTTGCAAAGCGTTCATCACACCGTCGTTGGAGGAAGCCGCCAGGGCAGCTGGCAGCGCACATGACCAAAGCAGATTTCCAGCTGTCCCGTCTCAGCAGCAGGAGCGAGAGCATCGCAGGTCCCCAAGCACCACACAGCCTCACCGTTCGTCCTCCAGCACATCGTGAGCGGAGCGAATCTTGGTGCCGCGCCGCGCAGCCTGCGTAGATGCCTGCACCGCCTCCTCCTCCTCGGCCTCCGCCTCGTCGCCAAATGACAGCAGCGCCAAGTTCTTGGTCCGTCCCGCGGCACGCTTCTTAGCCTCGGCAGCCGCCCTGCGAAGAACGATGCAAGGGATGCAAGGAGTGGCTTGAAGGATGTGGGAATATCCTCCGTGCTTCCTTTCCGCGGGTTAGGTTTGCTTTCCTAGCAGCCTTGTGTTGTTCATAATGTGCGCATGCAGGTTTGTACTATTTCGCCAATGGTGCAACGGCATAGCCCACATAGGCCGGCGGGGCACCCCGTCCTTCGCTCGCTTGCCTCGCGATGCCCCTCGCAACGCTAGCTCCGTCATGACCGCTGCCTTCCATAGCTATCAGCTCCCCATGTTCAGGGCGCACCCAGGGCGCACATCCCCACCGGGCCCAACTGGTCTTCCTAGGGTCACGGCCAGTTTTTCCTTGCGGCTCAGTTTACCTAAACCCGGCCCCACGCACTTCTGCGCCTGCGCCTCCGCCTTCAGCGCCTCTCGGTCCACTCGGGGCGCCAGGTCGTCAAAGGGATTCCACACCACCTCAGCCTCGCGAATCACCGGCGGGTCCAGAGGCCGGTCGTTGTCGTCAACCTGGAGCGATGGGACGGGTTGGGACGGGTCGGGCATCAGAAAAGATCTGATCGTCAACAGGGGAGGTTGGAGGGCGGGACTATGTCGTGAACCCCGTCTGTCTGGAGCTCGCAATGGCGAGAATCACCCGGTAGCTCTTGTCCGTACACATGACACATCTGCACACCGTTCCAGGGTCAAGGTCCCAGGGCTTGAAAAATTCCTCCTCAAGACCTCTCACCGGCAGCTCATTAAAGCGCAGCATGTTGTACACCGTGTCGCCCACGACGCGGCCGAAGATGGTGTTGCGGTTGTTGAGCCAGTCCGCCTTATCCAGCGTGATGAAAAACTGCGAGCCGTTGGTGTGCGGCTCATTCTGGTTGGCGCAGGCGACCAGACCCCTAGGGGAATGGGACGGTGGGGCATGGAAGCAGGCAGGGAGGCATGGGCGCGGATTTGGTAAACGATACGCGTGTGAGTGTCTGTCGCGATTGATGTGTGCAGCGGCGAACAAGGAGCGCCCAGGGAAGCGACATGTTGAGGGAGACTGGGGAGCAGGGAGTTGGTAATGCGACGCAGAGGACTAATGGTGCCATGCGAACGAAGTAGGTGCCGCTGGGGGCGTTAGGCATGTGGTGATGAACGCATGCGGTGCCATGTCCAGTCATGTTTTGACGGGTGCCAGTCCCCTGGTCCCTCCCCTCCTGCCGCTGTAACTGCTGCTCAGTTGTCCCTACCTGTGGGTGAACCGAAGGCGGGAATGGAACTCATCTTTGAACGGCTCCCCGTAGATGGACTCCCCGCCTGCGCGTGCGAGAGATCGGCATGGGGCCCTATGATTATGAACTATCTCGTCGGCCATGGTTGTGCCCTACACTGGACCCGACCCTTTCGCATCGTCCATAGATGGTAGGGGTGCTGAGCCGGTGCCCTCGCATCATCCTCACTTTGCATCACCCATACCGTGGCCTCCATGGCCTCCATTAAGCCCATATGCCGGGCGCACTTCACCGTACAACACCTATAGCCGTACTACGGCCCCTAAACTGGAACACCTCTCTGCTCGTGCTGGCTCACCCGTCCCGCTGCCAGTTGGGTCGCCCCCCTGCGCGATGTAGTCCTTGATAATCCGGTGGAAGATGGTGTTATCATAGTACCCCTCCGCGCAAAGCTGGACGAAGTTGCGACAGGCCTAGTACAGGGGGAAAATGAAGAGGGAAGGGAAGGGAATGACGCCCAAGGGGAAAGGAAGGCTGCATACTGTAAGCGATGACTTTGGCTTGGTATGACCGTGGGCCTAGTAGCCAACGACGCGTGTTAGGTGTATGTATAAAGGGCAGGGAGACAGACAATAGGCTCAAGTCGCGTGGCACGAGACCACTTCAGCCATTGACGGGATGGATGCCATCGGCCATCTGGGTGTGGCACGGATACAAGCGCCATACTACCCTCCATCAATATTACGCAGTCATGAGCCCGTAGCGATACAGACTAGTGTGTTGCTAACTAAAGCGCACGAGGAAGCTCTCCCTCGACCCTGCTCTAGCACAACACCAACCCGCCGTGCGCTGCATAGGAATTCATTTCAACTGAACAGCATTGTTCTAACCAACCTTAGGTGCTTCCTTTGGCCATAATTCTACCTCCAGATCGCCCAAGCTTGTATGCAGGATTACCTACATCGCAGCAAGCATCCAGGAAACACAAGACGCTTTAACGTAGTATTACAATAAGCGATCCCTAAGTGCTGCTTGCACAGTGGGCCTGTGTCGTCTAGTGAGGACTACATAAGCAAAAGGCGTCGTTTGCCAGTACCTCACCTTGCCCTTGGTAGGGGGCTCTAAATTGTAGATGTTCGACATTGTTGCAATTAAGGTTGCTCGCAACACAGCGACCAAGTTCAGAAAGGTGACTAGTACGATACACCTGACCAACAGAAATCAGAGTAGAACTCTGCAAAGAGAGATGCCTTCGGTAATTTTTTCACACCCGTAATGCGATTGTGTAGCCATATTATTACCAGCTGTCCTTCAGTGGTTTGCCCCGAAATGTTCTGTGTAGTCAAGGCTTAGACGTAAAAGCTTGGAGCAACTGGAGCATGGCTGTGGCTTGAGTATACCACAAGGTTGGGCTTGTAGATAGATGTCGAGGAGGACGCTATGTTTCGGCTGTCGCGCGTCACATGCAGTTGCCGCAATACTTCACCTGTCCGTCCTTTCTCTTGAGTTCGCTTGCGTCCGATAATCCATTAACGTAGAATAGCATGTTAATCCTATGCTTTTGGGGGCGTGATCCGTTAGACGCCCTTGCAAACTCCGTGTTCGTGTTCTGGTCCAGCGCGTTTGCCTTACACCAACGACCCATATACCTAGGCATACTCATACTTACTCTGATCTTCACCTGGACTGACCCAGTTGTCCGTGACGGCCTCTCCAAAAACCAACCCGCAGCTGCATTCCAACTGCTCGAGGAGCCGGCGTGGTTCCCTAGGCTGCTCGGCTGCGACAACGTGGCTAAAGCACTCTTGGCTTCTGGGTTATGAATAGCCTTCGAATGGCTGAGGATACTCAGGATCAGTGCATGCCGACAGCCCTGCAGCCACGTCCCGGTTGGGAGAAAGCCGCCCGGAATCCAGACGCTGTCCACTGCAGCCCTGACATCTTGTCCACCCCAAGCACTGGCTACACGGGGCCGCTGTATCAGCCCCCTAAAGGTTCACCCCGGCAGTATAGTGAGGATGCCGGGGACATGGACCAGACGTCATACACATCAGTTCAACAGGTGTGTCGGGAGCGCTGTAACCCCATTCTTACCTTCCCCCCTGCTGTTATCCTGGGCGCAGTGCGCGTCAAGATCTACGTGTAAGCGGCGACCCCTGCCGCGCACTACTATGTATGCCTTAGTCCACTTTCCTTTCAAGCCTAACACCCAACTTGCATCGCTCTGCTTTGCCCAATCTTCCCATAGGGTCACAGGCTGGGCCGTACTAACAACGCGGACGGCACTGCCGCTAGTGTTTCAGTCGCTGGCCTCAGCGTGGGCCTCCAGGGCGGCGACAGCGGCTTTGTGTACGAGATCCCGCAGCCCACCGGCGGGCGCCCCGTGTGGGATTCCCGCTTCCACTTGGAGCGCACAGCCTGGGAGATGCAGCCGCGCACGGTGTTGCTGCGCCCGCCCTCCTCCAACGCCTTTCCCGGCGGCGGCAAGCGCTACAACATCTCCACCTCTGATGGCTACTTCAATAACGGTCCCGGCAGTGCCTATGGCGAGCTGCTGGCTCAGCAGCAGGGCCAGCGCCGGCCCTCTGGTGTAGGCAGCTTGGATGCAGAGCGGAGCACTCGATCGGGGTCCCCGAGAGTGGGAAGCACGGACGGCTATGGCGGCCACGCAACCATCCTCCCCGGCCTCAACGTCGTCTCTCCCTCCCTGAAGCCCAGTCCCTATCACAACCGCCCTGTCGCCCCTGTGTCACCTACACGGAGTTCCCCCGTGCCGGTACCGACTTCAGCAGCCTCGCAGCCTCGTCCATCCCGTGCTGACCTTGTAGAGTCGTACGTTGGACGAGCATACAGCCCGGAGGAATCACCGTACCTGCAGGGTGCGGGCTTTGAGACCACGTCCTTCTTGGCGGGTGGCGGCATTGCTACCGCAGCGCATGGGCATAGCGGCGCTACCAGCAAGGCGGCAGCGGCGGCGGCGGCTTCAAGGGACCATGGGGCAGAAGCGGACGATGAGGGAAGCGGTGTGGATGGTCAGGGAACCCACCTGCCGGCGCTGGACAAGGCTTACCTAAACAAGCCATGGGTCAGCAGCGTGTTGGGCGGCAAGCCGGCTGGCAAGGGCACGGTCAACCTGCGGCCGGCGTTCACGCCGGGTGCCGCTTACCTGCCGGCGAAGAAGCGGCTCGCGCGCAGCGCACGGCAGCCGACAAAGAAGCCGGAGACGGCGGTGCGGCGGCCAGCGTCGCTGCCCATTCATGCGACTCACACCATGGGCCACCACGATGGCGACTGTGCTGGGGCCTTTGACTCGATTGACCGAGGCCAGGACGCTGGTGCGCAGTCCTTGGGTGCAAGCGCCTGGCGCCCGTCCGGCATGCAGCCCATTCCGGAGGGCGTGCCGCCTGCGCCGCTGGGTGCCCGTCGGTCCGTTGGTGCTGGAGAGAAGACTGTATCACAGGAGGTAAGCGGCGCTGTGCTCGGGCAGTTTGGATAGGAAGGGGAGGGAGCCAAGGGAGGCTAAGAGCTTGGCAGGAGCTAGGGGTCCCAGCACGAGAAGGGTTGTAGGGATGTCGCACTCGTCATGGGGATCTGTGATGCGATTGCTGCAGGACAGCTCCACCCCTTGCCTTAGCATAGAGCTGAAGGGAGGACTGATTATACAAGAACTCGTTACACGAACTGACGCTGTGTGCCGTACCCTGTGACAGGAGGCGGACCGTCGCCGGGCTGCTCCGCGCAATCCCAACATCTACAGCCCTGAGCGGTACCCGCTAGTGGGGCAGGGCTGGTTCATGCCGCCAGAGAAGTTCCCGCCCAACCCGCTGTACGCCGGCGTCCGAGCCAAGTGAGCAGGGAGAGGGAGGCGGGGCGAGATGAGTGGGGGGAGGGGCAGTGGGGCTGGTCAGGCAAATGCGCGGCTTCCGCTGCAAGGGTTACGGTGGAGGGAAGCTGCGGCAGGATGATGAAGACTGGCAGCGGGGTACACTAGGTTGTGCAGTGTGCTTATCTTTTCATTGCAGCCTTCAGCGATTCCGAGTCGTACGGGCTGCTTGTCCAGCCTGTACCTACTCCGAGACCACCTTCTTGAAGGTCACCTAGACAAACACCGGTACACATGACAAACACTGTACATCCCTACTCGCGGCCAGTGTTTTCAGCACATGATTGAACCACCCACTAAAACGTTTCCCCCCGCAGGTACATGGACATTCGGCCGCGGCGAGATGATAATGAGCTCGACGTTAAACACAGCACCCCGCACATGCCCGACATCCACTTCAAGCCCTGGCTCAACCCCGGAAAGCACCTCGTCACAGACTCCTCCGCCCCGCCGCCCCGACCCATGGGTCAGCCTGGAGCCCGGCCATCGTACGCCGTCTCGCCCGCAGCTGCAGCCCCGCACAGGGGGCCGGGAAGGGGCGGCGGCAAGGGTCGGAAGAAGCGCGAGAGCTCAAGCGGAAGGAGCGTTCAGAGCGAGAGTGCCAGCGCTAGCGAAGCAGAGCACGGCGGAGATCGGGAGGTGCTTGCGGTGATCCGCGGGGTGAAGCTCATGTCCATGGTCAAGCGCGGAAACTTGGAGGAGGAGGCGCAGCTGCAGGTGGGGATGGGTTTGAGTTGTAGAGTCAGGGTTGCGGTATGGCTGTCCTATGCTTTGTGTACACCATGCCACCTGTTGTGGTACGGTGTGTATGGGCTAGATAACCTGCATGTTGTCTGGCTCTCGTTGTCTTGAGGATGTTGTCCCACATGCCACCGACAAAACGCTGCATGCATTGCTGCGCAGGCCGAGGAGGACGCAGAGTTTGCGGCTGAGGACGCTGCAGCAGGTGCAGAGAGGAAGGCCCAGCGGCAAGGAAACGCAGGGGGGAAGGAAGCGGGCGATGGGAAAGCGCCGGTGCTGCCATCGCTGCTGCAACAGCTGCTGGTGACGAAGGAGTCGACACAGGTAGGGCAGCAGCAGCAGCAGCAGAACCAGGCGCGGGTTGGGCAGGAGGACAAGGAGGAGCGCCGCGCTTCAGCGAACCACTCTGCCTCCCCAAGCCGGACGTCTAGCAAGAGCAGCAGCCACAAGGCCGCCCCGGTGCCTGCGGTAGTTGAGCAGGAGTCGTCCGCGGCGGGAGTCAGCGCTGAACCATCTGCTGTTACCAGCAAAGGAGGAAAGGCCGATAGCGAGGAGGAAGATGGAGCCAGCTCCCAGGCAGACGCAGCAGACCCTGACGAAGCAGGCGCTGACGACGAATCCGGTGATGGCGGTGAGGAGGATGATTACGAGGATGACTATGCAGCAGATGAGGAGAACGGGGATGCTGGGGAGGATGGCGGAAGCCGGTCGAAGGAGGGAGACGGGGAGGAGGAGGGGGAGCCCGCTTCGAAGGAGCTAGAAGAGCCTGCTGCAAAGGACAGGGACGGGGAGGAGGAAGACGAGCCTGCTGCCAAGGACGAGGGTGGGAAGGAGGAAGACGGGCCAGCTGCTATGGAAGCAGAGGGAGCGGAGGAAGGTGGAAGCGCTGCTCAGGATGGAGGCGAAGAGCAGGAGGATGCAGGGGAGGAGAGCGAGGAGAAGGAAGCAGCGGAGGACGAGGAGGAGGAGCAGAAGGAAGCAGCAGCGGAGGACGAGGAGGAGGAGCAGAAGGAAGCAGCAGCGGAGGACGAGGAGGAGGAGCAGAAGGAAGCAGCAGCGGAGGACGAGGAGGAGGAGCAGAAGGAAGCAGCAGCGGAGGACGAGGAGGAGGAGCAGAAGGAAGCAGCAGCGGAGGACGAGGAGGAGGAGCAGAAGGAAGCAGCAGCGGAGGACGGGGAGGAGGAGCAGAAGGAAGCAGCAGCGGAGGACGAGGAGGACCAGAAGGAAGCAGCCGCGGAGGACGAGGAGGAGGAGCAGAAGGAGGCAGCGGCGGAGGAAGAAGAGGAGCAGAAGGAGGCAGCAGCGGAGGACGAGGAGGAGGAACAGAAGGAAGCCGCAGCGGAGGAGGAAGAGGAGCAGAAGGAAGCAGCAGCAGAGGAGGAAGAGGAACACAAGGAGGCAGTAGCGGAAGATGAGGAGGAGGAGCAGAAGGAGGCAGCAGCAGAGGATGAGGAGGAGGAGCAGAAGGAGGCAGCAGCGGAAGATGAGGAGGAGGAGCAGAAGGAGGCAGCAGCGGAGGATGAGGAAGAGGAGCAGAAGGAGGCAGCAGGCGATGACGAGGAGTACGGCAGCGGTGGCTCCGCTGCCGGGGCTGAGGAGGCAGGGCATGATGACGATGACGATGCTGAGCTGGCAGAGGCGGCAGCGGTGGCTGTTGGGTACGGAGAGGACAGCAATGTTGCTGGTGGGGACGGAGATGACAATGAGGAGGCGGGCGGGGCTGAGGATGGGGCTGAGGGTGTGGCGGCCGGCAAGGCTGAGGATGGGGATGAGGGTTCGGAGGGCAGTGATGCGGCGGGCGGAGATGAGGGTGAAGAGGAAGGTGAGCCGGTGGATGGGGGTCGGGCGGAAGGAGGAGATGATGCGAAGGAAGAGGGCGGGGCCGGAAAAGAAGGCGAGGCGAAAGAAGAAAGCGAGGATTACGACGGTAAGGTCACCGCGGTCGACACGGACTCGGACGATGCAGGGGACGGTAGCGCATAGGTGGGGTCAGGAGGTTGCTAATGGGAGTGGGCTTCGCTTTAATCGTGAGCATTACGCTGAGCTGCGACTGCAGGCGGCCGCCGCTTCGATGCACGTGGGAATAATAACAAGGTTTCCGCACTTCTATGCCATGAGTAGCCACGTTTCGTACCTAGATTAGAACTGCTTTGGGCGGTTTCGCTAGCATATAGAATGCTTGCAGGTTGCTGCCTTTTAGCATTGTCATAGCTATGTCTGACTTGTGATCGTGACGTACGGGAGATTATCGTGACGTACGGGAGACTATCATGTACCGTAGAGTGTGGATATGCGTAGAGGCGGCCGAAGTGGGCCGTTGCTTATGGTTGTTCGTGTTTTCTTACAAGTGCAGTAATGTGGCTGCGAAGACGGTGGGCCGAAGTGGCGATAAAACGGCATGGAAACAAAAGTAGGGCTTACCACCATCCGTCGTCCCCGTAGTCGGGGGGCATGCCGTAGACGGTTGGGCCGAGTCACGCGTGTCGTGGACATGTGTCATGTTGGCTCGCACGTGTTTCGTATATAGCCTGCATGCGTGGCCAGGAGGGCAAGACCAAGGTAGCACTGTATGTCCTTAGCGCGTTTAGGTTTGACCTAGCCGAAATGGCTTCGTGGGGAAGAGCGCGGATCATAGCCCTGAATGTGCCTTATATCCGCAATGATGCAACAAATGTTTGCTCGGTGGCACTAGAACGCTAACAGATAGCCGCCAAGAGTCATATGTAATTATACCACCCATGCATGCGACCTGCGTCTACGTCTCATCCTCCGCCGTTCACGTCTGTATTCCTTTGCCGTTAGGGCCGCTCACTATTCACAAACTAACCACCCGCCATCACTTCTTGCTACTCATACATACACCAGTAATTGCAGAGACCCACTTTCCAGCCCATCTTAAATGCAACGGAACTGCCTCACGCAAAACACAGCTGCGCAGCCGTCGCCTGCCTCAGCTGCGGAACATGCCCACCCAATCGTTGCCAGCCTGTAGCATTTCTCAAGTAAGCCACTACCGGTATCCATTAGTACCGGTGGCGCATGGCGGACACGCCAAACCCGACATCGCCATTTGACTGCGCAGTGAGGCGGCGAACGCCGCTCCGGAGTCCAACACCGCCAGTGCTCCGTCCAGAGTCAGCGCCTGGAAGCACTTCACCAGACTCCAGGACTGCCGCAGTACAGCGTCGGCGCGCGGGTCAAGCACCAGGACCGGTGCCGGAGCCGGCGTCGCTCCTCCACCGCACGCTGGGCAAGACCGGGAGAGGCTGGGCGAGAAGCAATCCGGCGCTGGGTTGCCAGATGCATCGGCGAACCCCTTCACAGTGTTGCTACGAGTGCTGTTGTCGTACTGCCTGTTACCGTACTTGCTGCCGGGGTACTGCAACGGGCACCCAGGCACCAGCCCCAGCGGGCAGCCGTGCAGCAGGTAGCGTGCGCTGCCGTCGATGACGCGCATGCCGCGGCAGGTTGCTGTGGGAGATAAGTCCATTACGAACGGGACATGAGCTGAAGCGCACAGGACCTGCGCGTGGAGGAAAGCATGGGGTTAGGAGGGTTAAACCATAACCCTCCGGCTGGACATGGCTCTTGTTGGGCATCCGGAACGTCTGCACAGCCACCTTCAACTTACGAGCGCACCGTATGGCTTACAACGTTTGGCTAACTTCAGGTACATCCTCAGGGGCAACATTCGCCAATCGATTATTGCCGCTGACACTCTCGGCAGGCATCCGTATGCATCTCCCACCTCAATGAGGTCCTCTTTGCTCTGGAAGTTACCCAGGCTGTGCACAGCCATGTTTGGCCACTCCGTCACCACAACCTGCAGACCCGCCTCATTGCACAGCTCTGCGGCGTCAGCCGGCAGCAGCTCATCCAGCCACTGACGCACGATACCGCCCCACACGCCCACGAGACCCATGGGTCGCGTAAGGATTTTGTGCTGCAGCAAGAGGTTGTGTGCTAGATGCAGGGCGGCTCTGGGCCGCACTCCGCAATGGGAGAAGGCAGCGACGAAGGCACCGCTGGAAGAGCCGACCATGGGTGTACGGCTGAGGTGCTGATGCTGTTGCAGGTGCTCTAGGACGCCTGCGCGAGGGTTGGGCGAAAGCCAGATGGGCAAGTAGTGCAGTTGAATACTGCATTCCCTAACCTTGGTGAAATGGTCAGCAACGGATGCGTTTGAGGCATGCGCTACTTTGCTGGGCTTGATTTAAGCGATTGAGCCAGCCTAATGAACATGTGGCAGCACAAGCTGGCCAGACTATTAGCTGGCTTTCTTCATGCATGGGGGCCTCTACCGGTCGTCTCACTCCTTGCAAGGAAAAACTGCGTATCGTACACCCACCCAGCTGCCAAAAGAAAAGGACGCCAAAACCAGGCCAAGATAACACCACTCGCTGTCCGGGTGCCGCAGGCGGTGACACTCGTGACACTGTTCCTGCACCCAAAGCCATCCATCACGGTTAAGTCATGTGCGGTGCTGTGCGGAGTACTCTTCGGAAGAAGAGCAAAGGTCAGCCCCCAAGCCCTGCCGTAGTGAATTATCATATCTGGGACGGGTCCGAACCGTTAGGAAGCCGAGCTTCCCCGCCCCCTTAGGGGACTTTAATCAGCGCCACATACCTGTCGAGCTAGTGCCATTGCCCTGAGCATGCCCAGGCATGCTATGAGACTCACAACCGGCCTGGCAGGTGCACGCAAGCGCCGCGCCGTTCCCGCCGGAAACCAGCGGTTCTTGGGCAGAAGGCGGATGCGGTGGACACCAGGCTTCAGGCCACCACCAGTACTTGATGAGCGCGCTCGCCAGCTCTGCTAGGCACAGCAGGACCGGCAGCATCCACTGGATTAACATCCCTGGAAGAAGGATGCTTGCGAAGCGCAGGGTGCTGCCGGAGCCCTGTGCTTGGACGCGTGGTGGCTGGAAGGCCACCCTGTCCGAGACCCGGCGTGTGGTAATGAAGTGTAGGAGGGCTGGTGCATGGGCTGCCATGGGGTTTGAGCCTACCGGTATGAGCGCGGAGCAATGGATTGAACCAGAAATTAAAATAAGCTCTCTTCTAGGCAACCGTGCACGGATCTGAGCGCAAGCGTATGCTGCTTGCATGCGTTACCGAACCTATTAGTTGCGACCTGCGGGTCGAATCTCGCATCGCAAAAGCAAGAAACGCAGAAAAATAACTCAATCGATAAATGGACTATGATATGAGACACAATACATAAGAGGTTATACGAGATACGATTACGTTTTTGTCATCCCATTCTTTCGTCCATTATTGGAACCAACCGAAGATACGGTTCACAGCATTTTCCCTTTATAGAGTTTAGGGCAATGCCTGCTGATTATCTGGGACATTATAGATAACACCTCGCCTCGCACGATGGCGTTGGCCGGCGGCTTCGCCCCGGTCGAAACACCGCGAGTCCTTGACGTTCGCGATTTTGCGCAGGCTAGAGAAACAGAGGCAAGTTTACGAAACCTATTTTTACCGGACTTCGCTTCAGCGCTTTCCATCCACCTTTGCATCGCTATGCCGGTTACGTTCGGCGTAATCTGATACAACTGATGCGTATTCGTGAAATAGGAAATGTGCCTGCGGAGTGTCATTGACCGTAAGCCTGGTGCGATGACAGCTTTTACCTCCGCCTGAGGGGCACATTCCAAGCCTCAGGCGGTAGCGCGATCTGGCTAGCCATTGAAATGCTCTCATGCCTGCTCATACCCACGTACAAACTGCTACCCTGTTTGCCTGCGGGCCCGCAGCTTCGCTACTTGCTACAAACAGTACGGCAGGAGGTTGGCGAGAGCCGCTTTGGCGCTCCCTTCTTACCGCGACACCTACGCAGGCGGGTTTGGGGTCTGGGATGTGTGGGGGCGGCGGATCAACCGTGTTTTGTGGGGGTCAGCGTGCTACCGCTCTTCAGGGTTTCGGCCTTCCTGTTCCTCCTGGAAACCTACCAAACATACCTACCAAACGTACCTCTGCTTGCTGTAATAGCTGTAAAGGAGGGCCCTGTAACCTGCAACCAGCATCGTGGTTACGGCTACACCATACATGCACTGGCGTCGTTGCCCAACCACCCCGGCTGGCTCCTGGAACACTCCAAAACCCCCACACCCTCGTTTCCCCCTTGGCGTCCGTTTACTGCTCAACCCCAACAGGCGCGCCACAAGCCATCGCCGCTTCGTCGTTAAGCGGCGCCCCAACCACCGCCTAGCGTCACTTTATGGCCCAACATCCTCTGAGTCTCCTGCTGTGGAGGCGGGCGATGGACGCAGCGGCGAGGGTGCTGGCCTGAGCACAGCCCAGCCGGGAGGAGCAAGGTCAGGCCGCCGCGTGCGGCCACGTGTGGCTGATGAGCCGCCGAACGCTGCTGACTTGTGCAGTGCTGCTGCGGGTGTCGTGGCTGCTGCTGTGGGCGACAGAGGGGATGACTCGCAGCCCAGCACTAGCGGCAGGGTAAGGGCTGGGGAGCAGGGCTTTAGGGTAGGGTGTTAAGGTTGCTGCTGACGTTGTTGAGGAAACCCGAGGGAAATGCGGTGGGCTGTGGTGTGTGTTACGTCTCGCAGCGGCTTACTACGGTAGTCGAGCGCATGGCCGGGTCATCGGGCTAATGGACTGTCATTATCACTCCTCGTAGCTTTCCAGCTGCACCACAGCGTATCCTAAGCACAGCGTATCCTAAGCACAGCGCCTCATTCGTACCTTATGCCATGCTTACCCCATCCCTTTTCACCCTGACTCGCCACTTCCCTCAGGACGCCTTCACCTCCTCAGCCCCTCAGCGCCCAGTGAATCGGGCCATGCGGCGCCGCGGCGCACGTCTGCAGGCCGCCATCGAAGCCGCCTGCTGCTCAGTGGACATGGTACCGCCAGCCCGGCCGGCAGGTCCGCCGGATGCTTCCGCTGAGGCCTCTCCGCTGCCCAGTGAGCCTACGGGGGTGCACGGCGCAGGCCCCGAGGAGGGCGCTCCGCGGCCGGAGCTGCGGCGGCTTGAGACGCACGTGTGGCACGCCCGGCGCATGGAGATGGAGCAAAGGTGGGGGTTAGGGAAGTGCAGGACGGAAAAGGGGCTGCGGCACGGCGATATGAGGGCGTTTGGGCTTATGGATTTAAGCTGTAAGGCTTATAAGTGCAGGTGCAGAGACCAGCGCTCTTGCCTTCATCTATTGGCTTACCAAAAGCAAATTAATCTTGGCGTGGACAACGTGTCCCGAAATACCGGTTACCCTCTCTAGCCACAGCCTTGAGCCTACTTTGCCTGCAGTAGAGCACTCGAACCCTACTCCACGAGCGAGCACTCCCTTTCTGCCGTCTTTGCCGTCCCCCGCCACCATGACCTCCCATCCGTCACGCACACTCCCTGCATGGTGTTTCGCAGGTGGGGCCACGTGCTGCCTGCCCATGCGGTGGGTCGGGGTCGCGGCAGCCGCTCCCTGCTAGCGCAGCTGCGGCGCGGGGTGCTGCTGCATGACGCCAGCTACGAGGGCTGCGTGGAGCTTCGAGGGCACCAGCGGGAGCTGGCGGCGCTGCTCAAGAGGGTCAGGTGCGTGCAGACCAACTGAAAGGGGTGTACCATGGCTTGGATACCCGTGCAAAGCGTAGTATCGAAGCCAGGGAAAAGGAGGGTAAGGCGCGTGTGCGGTTGGTGGTGCGACTGATTACGTGGGTTGCCTACTGGTGGTGGCGGCCTGGAGAAGGTGTGGCGTCCTGGAGAACGCAATGTTTACTACGACGTTCAGCACCCGTGTAGCTCGCTGAACTCCATGCCTGTACGTTACCGTTCTTGACGCCCGCCCGGCCCATCCCTTTCCACCCTTCCCGACACAGCGATCCGGTTCGGCTAGATGAGCTGCTAGACCGGCCTGAAGTCATCAGCGGTGCCGCCGAGTGGCCCATCTTTCTGCATCGCCCCGGCGCCTTTCCGGGTTCGCCGCTGGCGCCTGCTCGCGCCTTGTGGCTGACGCCGGTGTGCGCGCAGCAGCCGCGGCAGCCTGCGGACCAGCATGCCGCTCCTCAGCTCGACGGTGCTGCTGGCGCTGATGCTGGTGCTGGTCCTGGTGCTGGTGCTGCTGAGGTTGATGAGGAGGGCTGGGCAACTAGCTGTGTGCTGTGGCTTTGGGTCCATGCGGCGGCGTTTGGGGACGTGTGGGAGGCCCTTCATGAAGCCGCAACAGCGGCGCCGAACAGCGCTCCAGCCCCTGTTGCCGCTGCCGGTGCCGCTGCTGCTTCTGCAAGAGGCGCCGACGGTTCGGGCTCCACCGCAGCGCCCCATGACACCTGCCCAATGGCCAGTGGTGGTAGCGACAATGAGTGTGATGCGCCGTCGTCGCGGCCTCCGCAAATGCGCGTCACCATACGCGCACGCTGCCGTGACCTTCGGCGTATTGAAGTGGTGGGTGCGGCAGCCGGCACCGCCCTTGCGCGCGTGCTGCAGCCGCTAAGCAACACGAGCCCTGCTTGCTCTTCCGACGGGGCTGGCGCCAGCGGCGGTAGTGACGCAGACAACGGCGGCAGCGGCGGTGGGGTTGGTGGCGGTGATGCCGACGAGGCGGATCTGGGTGCCAGCATCTGGCAGAGCGTTTGGCGGAGTTCCGAAGCGGGAGGAACCGCCGCCGGCGCCTGTGAGGGTGCAGCCGGCCAATGGCGGTGGCGGTGGCCTGCGGGTGCTGTCATTGGCATGGTGGCCGCAGACCCCCGCCTGGCTGCGCCGGTGGCGGTGGGGGCGGCGCAAGCGGACGCGCTGGTGGCTGCTTCTGCAACGGCGTGTGTTGGGAGCGGCGGCGGCAGCGGCGGTTGTGGTGTTGGCACTGACAGCCAGCGGCGGGTTAGCGGCGGCTTGAGCGATGAAGCATCGCGCCGACGGCAGCAGCAGCGGATGTGTGAGCGGCCACGTCTGCTGCAAGAGGAGGAGCTTCGGCGGCAGTTCCGACAGTGGCCGGAAGCAGGTCGGTTGCTGCTGTGTGATGACTGGATTATGTGATGGGGAGCATAATGCTCAATGTATATGATGGTTTTCAGTTACTCGGTGCACTGCTCTGGGGGTGGCTGAGGGCTGCCGTGACTATGGATTTTACCGTTAGCTACCTTTGTGAACTCTGCGGCTTTTGTTGCAGCTTTTGTTACAGCCTGGCTGCCGTTTCTACCGAAGACGTTACTGGAGAAGTCGCCTGCCATCATGCCATTCACGCATCAACGCAACTTGCTTATGACAGGCGATTGGACGGCGGGAGCGTCGGCCCTCTGGCGCACGCATGAGCCTGAACGACCAACTTCCTCGTCTTCTGGCCTCGACCGCAGCTCGGTTTGTCCCATGCCAGTACCACCGCCCATGTCCCAGTCTGCCATCGATGACATTCGCCGGGCCGTCCGGCGGCAAGTCCTGCGCGCCGGCATGGGCTTGGCTCTTCAAGCCCAGGGGGGGGTCCCGGAGGCGTCCCGGACGACGCAGGCGCAGGGCCACGTGACCCATGGGTCAGCAGCGAGCTTTCCGGTGCTGCTAATACGGCGGTCTGCCGGGCTGCGCAGCGCGTCCGTTGCAGGAAGCCAGTCAGCGGCGACGGAGCGTCATGAGGCTGTGGGTTGGTCCATGGTGCTGCCGGCGAGATGGGTTATGCCGGTATGGCTGGCCCTCACCTTTACTGGTGAGGAGCGTGTTTGACCCATGAGTCGGCATAGGTAGCAAGGAACTCTGGGGAAAATACATCCCAGTCGCAAGCGCTTGGGCTGTTTAGGGTGCGGCTGGGGTGTGAGGAGTGGAGGAGTGCATATACGACATGTGAGGATATGGTCGTTGCAGACGAATGCAAGGCTGTCAGTTACCTTATAGGGGCCGAGAGAGTGAGTTACCATTTGCCCTTTCCTGCCCAGGTGCAAGGCCCATGGGACAGCTGGAATGGCGTCAGGTTGCAGCGCACTGGCGCTCGCCATGCTTCCCATATGACCATCCTTTTACGCCGGCTGGCGAGAAGTACAACCGCGGTCGATTTGCGGAGCTCGTGGCAGCTGCCTCCAAACGACCCATGGGTCGGGCCCGGATAGCGGATGCGAGTCCCTTGGCGGACTGGACCAGGTGAGGAGTCCAAAGTTTCGTCCAGGGTTTAGCCGCTTTGGGCAATCCGTTTCTTGAACTGTCTGATTCTGGTAAGGCGCGGTTTGCTCATTGGGGCGCCGCACACTCGATTTACCAAGATCACCCGGCGCGTCTAGCAGTCGGCAGGCACTTAAACACTGGATGTCAGCTAAAGCCACCTTATTGTGCAACCACATAACTTCAAATGCCATTGTGGTATGTGGTCCTGGCCCGACATCTGCCGCAGGTTGGCACGGTTCGTAGACATCAGTTCGCCAAGCCAGCCACCGGAAGCTCTGCTCGGGGGCCCAAAGCGGCAGCCACCGGGGCTTCCACCTTCCAGCAGCAACTCGGACAAGGCAGTGCCCTTCACCACGTTGGCATACCCGCCTACGGGCCCTGAAGCAGTAGACTCCTCGCAACGGCTGGTGAACTCAGGAGCGGCAATGCACCTGGTAGACGGTTCTGAGGTGCCCAGCAATGGAGGGATCGGTGCTGCCTGTACGCCGGCGCCAGTTATGCCGGTACGCTCTTGGGGACTGATCTTGAGCGACAGGTTGCTGCGGCGGATTGAGCAAGGCGCCGGCATACAGCAGGGAGGGTCTAGCGGGATGTGTGGAAAGATCAAGTCGAGCCTTCAAGGCTGGACGCTACGAAAGGCGCTGAAGCTTGGCCTGCTTACGCCGACGGTAGCACCTGTCAGAGCGCAACCTGTTCCAGCTTTGCACGTGGAGGCGCTTCCTCAACAGGCGCCCCAGCCGCCGATGCAGCACCTTGTTTTTGTTGGGCTGCGGGTGGTAGGGCCTGGTGTTTGTGAGGCTGGCGCGGAAGTTCTGATGCCCTGCGGCGATAGAAAGCTTGCCGTGTGGGGCTCCTGCAGTGACTTTGCACCCCAGCGTGTAGCCCCGGAGGACTGTAATGTGGTACAGCAAGCGGCGTCGGCGGCTCTTGAGCAGCATGGAGTCTCAAAACAGGCTCTCCTCCTGGGGTACGTGGTCTCTGCGGCACCCTTGGGTTCGGAGCTGTATCCAGGAGGCCTCGCAGTGTGCGATGCTGGCAGTCTGGCCCGCCTGCTCGCTAGCGATGAGAGCCAAACGGGGTACTGCAGGCGGGATGCTGTGGCCGGCACCGCAGCTACGTCCGCATGCAGCGGCTGGGTGGTCAACAGCAAGTTACTCCCCAGCAGCGGCCGTGGAAGTGCGAACGGTCGCGTTGTCCGTGTCTGGGTGCGCAATCATGGCTCTGTAGCGCTGAGGAGCTGCAATGCGACAGTCTTACTGGAGTACACGTGTGGCTAGGCGCAGGGGAGAGAGGGCGGTAGCTCGTAGCAGCTACCATGTGTCTAGGGCGAAGAAACCTGGATGTGGCCCTCTTAATAAATCATCTATACCGGTATTTTTAAAGCACTCTTTCATTCGTAAGATGGAAGATAGTGGTGTACGGCACCCATCGGGCAGGTGTACGTATTGGTGTGATTTGCTCGATATGGGCGGCTTATTGTAACCGGGCGAGAAGCAACTGTTCTTGAGGGAGTGATACGTGGCGAGACAGCCCTTATCGGCGTCCGTTAACCCAGCCGCTACATCGTTCTTTCTTGAGGCGTCAGCGTGCAGGCAACCAGTAAGTCCCATGATGGTGGCCAAGCAAATCGCTTACAACTTCAATCACCCTTTACTACTCGTCCAACAGCGTCGAAGGAGTGGCAGGCGGTGAAAAAGCTCTTGTTGGCCGTGAGTAGCGGCCGTCCACGATTTTGTTGGACAGTCAGCAGACACGGTAAGCCACGGGCCTGTCATCCGTCCGCTGATGACAGTCACCCTGGGTGCATGCACATTGGGTGCGTGCTGGTCTGCCCTGTCGTGCCCCAACGCTGGTTTGGCCCTCTAGTGCCACCGGGGTCCGTACTCCCCCCCACAACCAAGCCAGCATTGGGTTGGTTGTCCGCAAGGACCCCCGACCACGCCAACACAGGCAAAGCGCGGAAAGAGACCACTGCAGGTCACGCCACAGCACGAGAAGGCATGACACTCGCTCCGTCCTTCCCTGGCCGTCCGTCCGAGCCAAACTAACCGTCCGTCCGTTCCTCTCCTGACCGCCCGCTCGGGCCGCAATAACCGTCCGTCCGTTCCTCTCCTGCCCGTCCGCTCGGGCCGTAATAACCGTCCGTCCACTCTTCTTCAGCACCTGACCCGTCAGGCCATCCCTAACACCAAAACCCCAGTCCGCAGGCCCCACACTTGTACGGCAGCCTCAGCCCTTCGACTCCCCCTGGAATCCAGACCAGCCCTTTCGGCCCCGCCCTTGCACAGCGCAGCCCCCTAACCCCAACGCGAGCCCGCCATCCCAGAGCGCAGCCACCCACTCAGGACCGGTTCCCCTCAGGACCGCAGGGCCCCCCCAGCACCGCACCCCCGCTCACGCCCGCTCAGATGAGCCACTCCCGCACGCATGCCAGGGTGGCCTGCTCTCGGCCCCCGTCCTCCCAGGCCACCACAAAATACTCGGGCCTCATGATGGCCCCTCGATACCGCAAGACCCCCACACGCAGCCCCTCCCCCTCCAGGCGCACCCGCCTGCCATCCAAGGCAGCCGCCTCCTCATCAAACCTCCTCGTTTCCGTACGTGGAAACAGCAACCTGCCGACCTCATCCCGCATCACCACTTGCTGTGGCCTACCCGAAGGCCCCGTGACCGGCCCCTCACTCTGCCCTACGTCCCCCTTCACCTCACGTGACCCTGCTGTCGCCCCCTGCCCGTCAGCCGCCCCCGCCGGCGACCCACATCCCAGGCCTACCCCACCCGCCGAAACGAGCACCACCGCCGCCGGCTTGGCCGCCCCCGCACGCGAAGGCCTCCCCCGACGGCGCGCAGTCCGCCCAGCGGCAGCCTCAGCCCCCGCCGCCACCTGGCCCGGCTGCCCGGGCGCCGCCGCCACCACCCCGGGGGGCGGCGGCAGCACCGGCGAGGCGGCGGCCTCCTGCTGTCCCTGCTCCAGTTCGCGGCAGCGCGGGCACACCCACTGCCCCCGAGGCTTCCCCCGCAGGCCCAGGCAATGCCAGTGCCAGCCGGTGTTGCACCCGTCGCACAACAGCATCTTGCTGCCATCATGCGGCGAGCCACAGACCTCGCACTGCAGGTCCCGCTCCGGGCGGAACAGCTCAGGCCTAACCGCAGGGTCCACCTCCAGATGGCATGGCAGCAGCTGCTCCACCCGCTTCCGCACCCGCGAGCCGTCACGGCCCATCAGCACCGCCACACCCATAGGACCCACCGACTCCACCCGCAGGATGTTGTCGTACTGGCGGAACTGCAGGGTGTGGGCGACGTTGCCCCGCCGGACATACACGTAGTCGCCCGGCGAGAAGACCGTAGGCTTGGCCAGGTAGCGGCCGGTGCGAATGGCTGAGTAGCGCAGGGTGTCACGGTGCTGCGCTATCAGCAGGTTGCCCGCCGCCGCTGGGTACGCCTGCCGGACCCACTTCGCTCTGTCAACAATCGATGCCGCTGCCGCCTTCACGTCGTCGAAGTCAACGGGCTCCGCCAGCCGCTCACGAACGGCAGGCGGAATCACCGGCTCCACACCCCCATAGAGCAGCTGGTACGGCGAAAAGCGCGTTGCCGCCTGCGGAGAGCAGCGGTAGCCCAGGAGCAGCTCAGGAAGAGCCCGCTCCCAGGCCCCCGGATCCGCCGCCTCGTAGCAGGCCTTCCGCAAGGCCTCCTTCAGTACCTTGACGATGCGCTCCGCCGCCCCATCCGCCTGAGGATGCCCCGCCGATGTCAACCGATGATCGATGAAGCAGCGCTCCAGCAGCTCCGCAAACTCCCCCTCAAACTCACTGCCATTGTCCGTCACCACCTCCGCCGGCGCCCCGAACCGCGCCAACACGTCTGCATACGCCTTTGCCACCCGCCGTGCCGTCTTGTCCTTGAGAGGCGTGATCTCCACGTGCTTGCTGAAATGCTCGATGGCGACCATGCAGTAGACGTTTCCGTCCGGCACCGACTCCGCCAAAGGCCCCGCTAGGTCCACTCCCCACCGATAAAACAGCCCCTTCACCTCCAGCGGCTGCAGCTGCACGGGCCGCATGATCCCCCTGGCGTTGCTGAGGTCACACGCCTGGCAGCTCCGCACCGCCTGCTGCACGTCATGCCGCATGCCCCACCACCAGTGCCCTGCCCACAGCAGCGCCAACGTCCGCTTCACCCCGTAATGCCCCACCTTGTGCGTAGCCTCCGCCAGCGCCAACCGCGCGGCCGGCGGCGGACAGACGCGAGCCCGCCCGCCGTGCACAAGCCGCAGTAGCTGCACTCCATCCCACCTGTAGCGAGCCGCGCGGCGAGCCACCCTCCTTGAACACCCGCTTGATGGCATCAAAAGCGCGCTGCTGCTCCTCCCCCCAAGGACCCTGCGCCCACACCGTCGCCTTCGCGGTCAACGCCGTGATCGGCGCCACCTGAACTGCGTTTTGCTGGTTCCGTCTCTGCCTCCCGTAACCGGAAGGCGCACTCCTAGTCTTGCTGTAGACGTAGAGCGCTCCTCAGCGCCTCTCGTCCCGTGCTGGGGCGGGCTTCAAGACGGCTGAGCCGCGGACTGACCAGGCCCACGGGGAACGGATAACCTATCGCCTATTCTGACTGCTACGTTGGGCTGCCCAACGCTTGGGAGATCGTTGTCTATGACTACGTTAAAGCGCGCATGTAAGCTGTAGATCTGCGCCGCAGATCAGGAACGCATGAAGCCCTTCATGGTTCTTACAGGCAGTACATGAGTATGTGAGCAAAACGCAGTGCCCTAGCCCGGGCACTGCGCCGCCTAACGAGACAAGCACTTGTACGACAGATACTCTGGACACGCCAGAGCGATCTCTCCACAGCCCACAACACTTAAAGCAAAGGAACTGCGATAATACCAGCCATTATAACCGGAACCACTCAGTCACTTCAGCAGTAGCAATTCGCACCGTCATCATCCAACTGAACCATGGGACATGCCCGCGAGCGTCACCACCCGTGACCACAAACTGCATGAGCCAACGATGGGGCACGACAGCCCACGTCATCAATGTTACGGCTCCCATTCATCATGATTCGATCGCTCATCACCACCGGCTATGTCCTCCATCATCGAGGCATCGAGTTCGATCACACACAGGGTGTGCATAGTGTCGCGCATCAAGGGTGTTGCCTTGACATTTGCCGACGGACATACACATAGACACTTTGCCAACCGACTATTGACCAATTCTTTCCCTCCTTCAGTTTGGGGTATCTACAGTCACAGAAGCTGGATATTCGTTGCGCCCTAAGCCACCCGTTGATGTGTGGCGCGGCAACACATGACGCACCGCTATGGCAGCAAGCAAAAGGATGATATTTGGGTTTCAGAAGGATGATCTCTTTGGGTTGCAAAACGGCGGACTGGAGATTATGGGGATCGATCCCATGACCTCACGCATGCAAAGCGCGCGCTCTACCACAAGCTGGGCCCGGGGGGCCCGAGGGCCTGACATCCTTTGGCGAATACATGAGGAGGGGAGGTGCAATACGTCACGGCGCGGCAGGGGAGGTGCAATACGTCACGGCGCTTGTGCAGTACTGCCGCGCAGGGTGCTGGGCCCTTAAGCGCCCCCCGGGTTCTTACTTGTAGGATGCGGGAGGAGTAGTCCTGTCCGAGTGCGCCGACTGGGTGGTAGTTCCCGCCGGGGGGGGGGGCGGGTTTTACAACATGGGCGGAGGGGTTGCAACAGCGCGCGAGGGGTTGCAATACGGCGAGAGGGGGTCGAGCGTCTGGAGGGCTTTGAAGAGTGTGAATTGCAGGGGAAGGCAGAAGAACAGCGCAACAGGTTGGACGGGGAGGGAAGGGGGAGGTAGGCGGAAAGACGTTGGAAGACGACGGGAAGGAGCCGGGACAACCAAGTAGGAGAGGAGGAAAGAAGAGGAGGGCGGGATTGTGATATGGGAGAAGGAGGTGGCTGGGAGTGCATGCGGGAAAAGCAGGGAAACGATGCATGCGGCGAAGAGGTTGGAAGCGGTCTGTGACGGGAGGGAGGGCTTGCAAGTGCCGTGGGAAAGCTTGCAACAGGCGGGTAGGGCTTGAAAGATGTAGAAAGGGGTTGCAAGGCGGGGGGAGAGCTTTGAACACGCGGAGAGGGCTTGCAGCACGCCTCGTTCCCAGAGCCCTTCAGTGCGCGCGGCGATGTTACCTCAAGGTTGCAGTTGCTACGCGAGGAGTAGGCCTGCTGTGATGTGTTGCCGCCGTCGGGCTTTGTGGTGCTGCTGCATGCATGGACGGGCATGGATGGGGCAGGGGGAGCCAGGTATGGTTAGTGAGCGGCGGTCCAGGGAGGTAGGGGAGGAGGAAAGAAGAGCGGCTGGGGATCATCCAAGCAAAGGCAGCTGGCAGATATGCAGAACAGAGTAGCGCAATGTAGAGCTGCGGTGCTGGGCCCATAACCGCCCCCCGGGTTCTTACTTGCAGGATGCGGGAGCAGTAATCCTGCCCGAATGCATGTT